GCCAACAGTCAGTTCCATATCTGTGGATGATATAGGGTAAACAAACCACTCCTTGGACCGCAAGACAGCAACGTCCTCAGCGGTCACAAGTGTTACTCGTGAGATGGGTTCATCAACAGCCTTGAACGTCTGAGAATAGTCAGCAAATACGTTGCATGAGAGAACGGCGCTCTCGATTGTCGCGAACTGAGCCCCATCTCGGAACAGACGAGACACAAGCGTCACCTTCCTCCCAATAGGTGTGTTTTCCAGAGATGTGACGCGGATGTCGCTGTCCACTATATCTCCCACATGAAGCAGCTGTGCACCTTCTGACAGTGAAAACCTGTTGTAGAGGTGGACGTTGTCCAATGCACCATCGTATAACACAGGTGACATCTGTATGGCTGCAAAACCAGGCCAGGTAGCATAGAACAGAACGTCCATTGGGGCAAGTTGGGTACCGTCCGAATGCCGCATGTAGCTATCCGACATATTGGGAATACTGTTGCACAGGCGACGAACAAGGCCCTCGGTAACAGCGTACGGCTCGCACTTCACAGGCATAGCATCAAGAGACACGTCGACAGCCTCAATATCTGGGATTTCTGCCCCCAGTTTCAGGGCTGCCACCATGATGCTCTGGATTCTCTCAAGACGACCATCACCAATCTCGACTATTGGGGATATTGGCAGTGTCGGCTCATACCTGTAGACAAGTTCGAGCTTGAAGGTATTTTCGAAAATGCGGTGAAAGATAGTCGCAGTGATGGCACGGGATTTGTCGATGGAGATGGAAACATCGGCCATTCCTTGAGGATCAAAAACCTCCAGCCTGGATGGAAACCCGTTGTCCAGTGTAATCTTTACCGAATGCCCGGGAAGCGGCGTCAAAATCCGCCGGATAGCATTTCTGGCACACCGCGTGCCTCTAATAATATCTGATGCGGTCAGCAGCGCGCTAAGCCAGCTCTTCTCTGTGCCTGCTAGGGTGCTCAACCATGAATCAACACTTGGGAGCTGGGCCTTCTCGGCCGGTAACACGTATGTGAGTTCCGACGGATTAATAGCTGATGTGACCGATGAGACGGGTGGCGCTGACGCAATATCTGGGCTGATGTACTCCACACGTGGCACGCTGGAAATATCGCCATTGTACTGATTCTGGATGATCTGGTCAACAAGCACGGCGTTAATGCTACTGACCATGCCTTGTGTATGTAGCCAGATCATATCTGCGTTTACGCCCGGTGCATGACTTCCCCGAACAACCATCTCCCAGGACTCACTGTTGGAAATTAGAGACGAGTCCTTGACCGCCAAGTAGGCCTCGCTCTTGAGCCATGCATAAATTTCTGTGTCGACAATAAGGACGAATGGGATGCTTTTGCCTTCTGTGTGTCTACAAAGCCCGGCGAGGTAGTGAACATCTTCAGCAAACAACTGGGTCTCGCGGATTGCAGGGAAAACCTCTAACAAGTTTTCGATTTTCTCGGCCGGATCGCTTATCATATTATGCCTCTGGAATATGCGCAGCCGCGTGGATTTGGAGAATCTGTCTTCTACACGTCTCAGAAATTTGCTGACCAAATTCCGATGAGAAATGTCAAGCCACTGTGATTTGTGGCAGGTATACATGAGTTCGACAAGGCGGCCGATAACTTCCATATATGTCATGTCCTGCAGTTCCACCACACCTCCATCTGCATTTATGCCAAACCATGGCCGCGCAGAATAGCTGCAGAGTAGCCTGATAATTTGCTCTCGATGCGTGGTGAGCAGGCCAGCATGCATGTCCACCGGATGCGAGAATACAAGCTGATACAGCTCCTTAATAACCCGGACATCATGCTCCAAGGAAAGGCTGATGTTGTCGGCTGGGGATACCCCAGCAGTGTCCGTCACCTGGCTCGACAATGGAACCACACCGTCAACTGGCATACGTGCGCAGTCGAATTGGAGACTCCATTCGCCAGTGTAGTATGGTAGTGCCTCCTCAGCTACGCTGAACTCGAGTCCTAGAACAAGGAACACATTGCGCAGCGATCGGATCTTGCTGTATGTCTCGAGAATTGGTTGGTGGAAATCCCTGGCTGTTTTTTGGCTACTGGTGTGCCTGCCCATCCACTGTATCAGTACCGGGAACTCTGTGCTGGCGGTGGCAATCTGGAGGACTTGACGGATACCAAGTGCTGAGTCTGGGTGGAACGAAACATGGCGAATCCCAGACTTTTGAAGGTCGCGGATAATTGCACTGCCGGTATCAACTGACGGAACGCCGCCACTGATGGTGAGACCAGTGATTGGAACACCGTCTCTACGCATGCGCAGGATCTCCAGATACTGGAATGACCACTGCTTCTGGTTCGCATAGTCAACGTTAACGGCAAAGCCATGGCCAGGTGTGAGCAATGCGTGGACTCCGTAGACTCTCTCCCTGAACACCTTCTCGCGGTACATATGGCTACCACACAGCTCGGTGTGGTACCCGGCATTGCTAGCCTCTGCCACAAACCGGTCGTCGGAAACGGGTGGGGATGCCTCTGCAAGTATAACTGGCGGCAAGCCAAGAATGCGTGCCAGAGGTGAGTCGATGCATATTCTCCCGTCAAGAGCAAAGCGAGCTAGTTTATGGATATAGTCGTTTTGCCAGTTGGGTGCAGAGAAGACGCAATCAAGCTCTGATCTGAAGAGATCGGCCTTGGACCCGAAGCGCGATTTGGGATCTGCAGTGAGCGATGTGGCACTAATGATGGTCGTGTCTTTGTCATGAATAACACTATGCGTCAGCCGAGAGAAAACGCTGAACCCGCCCGTACTGAAGTCGACGAAATGTGTTGCATCCACGCTGCTAACTGATGCTGGCCAGTTGATAAGACGAATGCAAAGCTCATCAACAACTGTACGTGTAGCATCGGTCTCTGAGCGAAGATCATGGGCATCGGCTCCAGTGTAGACAGCGATATTCAGGTCAGAAGCTGCGATGCCCCACCCTTCATCGACAATAACAGGATACACCCAGTTTGCTGACTCCTGCAAAAGCTCGCAATGGCCAACGATGTTGATGTTCAGGAAACATTGTGGTGCAACTGGCCTGCGTAGCGAGGGTGGGATACCCGATTGGTCTTCGTCCGGATGGGCATAGCTTGCACGAACCATCTTCATGAACTGGAAAACGACTGTGGTGCGACCAGTGACAACAAAGCTATCATGGCTGTTGATGATCGCCAGGAATACGCAGTCAGTCGGCCGGGTGCTGTGCTGGTTAAACCGAGCAATCAGCGCATCGATAGTAGGTCTGCTAATACCACGAACCGCAACCATCGGGGAAGGCGTACCCTCGCGGTAAATGTACTCGGCAAAACTATCGCTGTTGAGCGTATCCTGAGGCGTGCACATCTGATTCTTTGCTGCAGCCACCATCAGGATACCCAGCGCCTTCTTGGAGGAATCATAAAAAGACTGTTCATCAGTCAACGAAGCGAACAATGTAGCAAATACAAGTCCCTGGCAATGGCCAATAGCTCCTAAAATGTGGTTTCAGACATGTTAGTAGATTGAACCACTATCGAGCAATGTCCAGATAGCACGCAGAGATAACTTACCTTTGAATGACCGAGAAAGTTCGCCTGGACTAAGCCTGAGCGTCTTGTACAAGACCATCAGGTGCATTAGCTGAACAACTGCCACAGTAACAATAGACACTGGCGTACGAGAGAGGTACTGGGCTGGTGGTCGGGTATCTGGCGAAGTAATCCAACGAACCATATCCAAGGGGTACTTGTAGACCGCAGCCAGTCTTTTGTCGCAAGACGTGCGTCGGACAAAGCCTGATATCTCGTTGACAAACTCGTGCAGCACCGTATGAAAGGTATGGAGCACCAAAGCGCCCTCCTCAAAATAATCATTCATACCGTCCTGGCCACCAAACATAGCCACAAGCTTTGCCTTGCCACCGGTAAACAGAGCTGGACGTGGCACATCAGGGAGAATTCCACGCGACTCGAGCTCTGTCCATACCGAGTAGTAACCACGGAGAACTGCGTGCGCCTGGTCCCGAGACAACTTGTGATCCAAGATGACGACATGGATATTATCCACTGAGCAGTACGACGCGTGGAAATGCTGGAACGCAGCGATAGCAACGCCAGAGTTCTTTGTGGAGCAGTACTCGATGAACTCGGACAAGACAGTGATTGGGGCCGTAGGATTACTGGGGACGAATTCGCTGGCCAAGTAGGATGCGTCGCCGCAAACGTCCTTTGGGACATTAATGGCGGCTCCGTGAAGAGCGATGGTACTGTTGAGCATGGCTGAAGAACGATAGCAGAGTAGGCTGAAAAGGATGTCTCTTATTAGAATTTAAGGATGAGGCGAGCGCACCATGTAGCCAAACACCACCCCAATTTATATGCAGTGGGTTTTAGCGTAAAGCGACACCTAGCATCAGGAATCTTGACACTGTTCATACTATATCAAGGACGGGCACTCCCAGGTTGTAAAGTGATGCAAATAGTATGTGAAACAGGAAGTGACAATGTTAATTCTCACTGCTAGCAATATTTAGAACAACCACTCACACTACCAAACAATGCCCAGAGTTCAAGAGTAGCTTGGTTCCTGCGAATACAACCTGGTAATGCAAGCAGCCAACAGGCACTAGCTGTTTGATGGCCGTAGGTGAAGGCGACATGTATAGCAAGCCAGGCACTAAAAATTGAGAGAAGTGTTTTTGCAGGGTAGCGTTAGAGAGTTATCGTACAGTCTTTCCTTAAATTTTGGATGCGGTGGCCAAAGATCCTTCTGACTAGATATGAATTTTAACCGGTAGGCGTCATCAGAAGCTACGGGTTCCATAGTGTAGCCGGTTATCACTGCGGATTCTGATTCCGCCAACCCGAGTTCGAATCTCGGTGGAACCTGGCATCCAGCTGGTGCTTAGGCTGGAAGCTGCTCCTTTTTCTTTTTGCCCACCAGCCTGAGGTAAAAGATATTTTTGCTCGGATCCATTTTGCCGTAGCGATCGATTACGTACAAAATAAATGTGGTTGCAAGAAATTGCAGTATAGCTTTGCTTGTCGCGTTTCTGCTGAGGAATAAATTGTGCTTAGGGCAGGCAACTCTACATGCGAGTGCACACTTTATACTTTTATTCCAGCAACTTGGGCTCGAAAACACGGAGGCTGTTGTCGGATGAGGCAGCAACGATTCCAGTCGAGAGAGACCCAATCCAGGCAACGGAGGTGATGGCGCTGCTGTCTCCCAGCGCGCACAGATGGTGCCACCCCTTGACCTGGAAGATGTGAAGCTTGTCGTTGGCAAAGGCCAGGTATCCGCCGGTCTTGTCAAACCTGATAGCAGTAAAGGCAGCAGCATCGTCAGACTCCAAGTCACTAGACGACCACTCGCGGACCTTGCGCTGTTTACGAAGATCCCAGACGGCAGCTGACATTGCGCTTGTGGTGGCAAAGTAGTAGCCGTTCTCGCTAAAGTGCAGGCCAACAACCTGCTTTGCCTCTGCCTCAGTTGCCACGTCAAGAGTAGCCAAGGTCTGCTTTTGCTTGACGTCAACAATCTTGACAAGGCCATCGGCGGTGCCAATACCAATGAACTGGCCGTCAGGGTGGAACTCGATCTGAGTGATCTGCGAGTCGAGCTGCTCTGTGATGACAGTGTCGCCATCGATGGTGTGGATGGCCCAGGTCCCGTCAATTGAGGCGCTGGCAAAATACTCGCCACCAGGATGGATAGACAGGCTTGTCACCTCGGCCGCATGGGTCTTGATTACATGCTTCTTTGTCCAGCCGATCGCCTTTGCATTCTCATGAGTGTTATTGGCCTTGGGCTGCCAGATCCGCACTGATTTGTCGGCCGACGCAGTGATAATGCGCTCTCCAAGGCCACCGCCGTTGATCCAGAGCGCAGCATTGACACGTTTGGTGTGGCCCTTGAGCGTGGCCAGGGTTTGGTCCTTCGAGCGCGCATAGACTTCGGCGTGGTGGTCCTCGCCGGCAGTCAGCACAAGCTCACCTGTGGTATCGACATCCAGTGCCAGGATTCCAGGCTGGGTCGTCGAGTGGAGCGACTCCACGGTAGATGCCAGAGCAGCAGCCTTCCACTGGTCGGCAGGGGTCAGATCGGCAGGCAGTTTGCGCTTGACACGACCCTTGCGAAGCTCCGTGGCCACCTCGGCCGACTTTTCGTAGTACACCTCTTCGGGGTTGCCAGCGTCAACCTCCATGGAAGCACCGGCGGCATCATCTGCGTCTACTGCCTGCTGGGTTCTCAGTTCACCAACCTGTGCCTGTAGCGATTCGAGCGTCTGGCGTGCCTCATCGCGCTCCTTGATCAGCCGAGCGATGACCCTGCACGATGCATCGTTTTGGTACAGTGCCTGTGACAACTCCTGGCGCACCTGCTGGTACTGCTGCTTCAGCGTAAACGTCTCGAGGACAAGCGCATCCCACTCGTTCTGGAAGGTCGACAGAAGCGCAGGAATCGATGTCAGTGTGGGCGGCCGTGGCTTCACTGCTGGTGGGTCCGCATGCACAGAAATGATTTCGTCCTCGGATAGCGAGTGCTCGGTTCCTGGCTCCCGGCCTTCCTCGTCCAGGTACTTTTGCAGCAGCCGTTGCTCGTAGACGCGCCCGGTCTTTGCAGAGATAACCGGCGTTGCTGGCGCCTCTCCCGAGATTGCGCAAATGAAGCTCATGATTTCGTTTGGGCAGGCAGAATATTGGAGACGTCAATTGCGTGAGGGAGGGAGAAATTGAAATTGCCTTCAAGAGCATCACAACACAAGCATGTCGACGCGTTTTCAGCTTTTTTTCGCCTAGGCCAGAGCTAGTGATCTGACATCCTTGATTGTGGTGATCGGGATGGTGATCAGTGCGTTTTTCGCTTCAGGCGTGTTATTTTTTCATTGAGCAGTTGGTGCAAGATAGTGCCAACAAGCGCGCTTGAGTTTTGTCACATCCTTTTCCCCCTTGAACTTTTCCGAATTCAACGAAAATAAAAATGGTAGGTGTCGGCGCGATGGATTCGGCACGCGACGGATGGACGCAGAGATGCGCACCGACAACAGAATTGGATGATGGATTGATGCGAGCTGCACGGTATTAAAATGGCGGAAATTCGAATTCCCATCTGCCCCGAACTCCAACATATAGGCTGCCCGCCCCGTTGTTTCTGTGTTTGGCCTGAACGGCTCCAAGCTCGACGCTACCGTCCCCCTCCCCGCGGTCTTCAAGGCCCCGATCCGCCCGGATCTTGTCCAGTTTGTTCACAAGAACATGGCCAAGAACCACCGTCAGCCGTACGCTGCCAAGCAGCAGGCTGGTGAGGAGACCTCGGCCGAGTCGTGGGGTACCGGTCGCGCTGTTGCGCGTATTCCCCGTGTCTCGGGTGGTGGTACGCACCGCGCTGGACAGGCCGCGTTCGGTAACATGACTCGTGGTGGTCGCATGTTCGCCCCCAACAAGGTCTGGCGCAAGTGGCACGTCCGCACCAACGTGAACCAGAAGCGTTACGCTACTGTGTCCGCTGTTGCTGCCTCGGGCGTCACCGCCCTCGTTGTCGGCCGCGGTCACCGCGTGCAGGCCATCGAGGAGGTTCCTCTTGTCGTCTCGGCCGAGGTCGAGTCGATCAAGAAGACCAAGGAGGCTACTGACGTGCTCAAGGCCCTCAAGGCCTACGCCGACGTCGCCAAGGTCAGCAACACCCGCTCGGTCCGTGCCGGCCGTGGCAAGCTGCGCAACCGCCGCCACCGCCAGCGCCGCGGTCCCCTGGTCGTCTACGCCGAGGACAACGGTATCACCCACGCCTTCCGCAACCTGCCTGGTGTTGAGCTGATTGACGTCACCCGCCTCAACCTGCTCCAGCTGGCCCCTGGAGGTCACCTTGGCCGCTTCGTGATCTGGACCCAGCCCGCCTTCGAGGCTCTGGACAAGGTCTTCGGTACCGAGACTGAGGTCTCCGAGCAGAAGAAGGGCTACACCCTTCCCACCGCCGTCATCTCCAACCCGGATGTCGCTGGCCTCATCGCCTCCGACGAGATCCAGGCTGTTGTCCGCCCGGCCCAGTCGCGCTTCACCAAGCGCCCGTACACTCAGAAGAAGAACCCTCTGCGCAACTCGCAGGTTCTGGTCCGTCTGAACCCGTACGCCCAGGTTCTGCGCCGTGCCGAGATCCTCGGCAAGAACAAGAAGACCACCAAGGTTGCCTACAAGAAGTCCGCTTCCAAGAAGTTCCTGGACATCCTCAAGGCCGACTAAGTGCGCCCCCCCTTCTTGTGCGCTGCTGACTTGTCTGGCTGTTTCGTAGTTTTCTCTCTTGCAAAGAAGGATCAACCAAATAAACAGCCTTTCTTGGGTCAGTCGTTTTTTTTTTTTGCAATTCCTCGTTTCATTTAACGGCGTGCAAAACCTGGGCATTGGTCGGCACTTGTCCCCTTCTGCGCCATGCGTCTGCGGAAAACAAGCCCCATCCAGAGGCACGGCATCCTCCAAACGCCCGAGGAAACCTATCCCTCTGACACCGCCATAACCAATTCGCTGTCTGCTACCCAAGCGTACACATACGGTGCGTACATGTTGGTAATAAATATATTTAAAAGATTTTCTCTTTGCAAGAGGCAGGTATATATTCACAAGAGACAGAGGTGACGGGCACGGTCGCCAGCTGCTTAAGCCCCGTAGCCCTCCTCCTCGTCGGTGGTCCGCTGGGGCGGGTGGTACCAGTTGCCGACCGGGAGATTGAACCAAAAGTTCTCCTCGTTCAGAAGGATGGCAGCCGAGTTGTACATGGCCATGAGACCGCAGAAGAAACCCATCCAGGCACCAGCCTTGATAACAGACTCCTTGCCCAGCCAGATGCCAGCGGTGTCGAGGTCGATCTCGAGGTTCAGCAGGACAAACATGAGGATGTTCGCAATGTGCGACTTGACGTTACCGGCCAGCAGGATGAATACCCAGATGCTCCAGGCGAGCGACTGGATACCGTTCTGCTTGCGCCTGATCTCGGGGTCCTCGTTGGCCTGGAAGTCGATGACGCCGATGCCGGGCACCATTGCCAGACCCTTGGCCAGCCACGAGGCGCCAAAGGACGTGAAGGCAGCACCCTCGAACGTGTCGCCGTTGGCGATCTGCCATAGACCGGCCGCGAACTGCGCCAGACCGGCCACCGCGATGCACTGGCCGGCCAGCGAGCGCGTGCCATGCCCGTAGCCCACAGACATACCGGCATCCATCATCGACTGCTGCACAGTGCACATGCCGAAGGTGATCAGTCCCAGCGCTGCTGCGTTACCGAAGCGGCGGAACTGCGGGGGTGGTGCGACAATCTGGATCTCACGCGGTGCTCCCATGTCCTGGGGATACGGGTAGCCGGCGTAGTTGACGGCAGGAGCCGGAGCTCCCTTGGGCTCGCCCTGGTTGGGGGTAGTACGGCCACTTGAGACAGCAGTATCCATGGTGATGATATTATTTAGTGGGAAGCGAGAGAGAGAAATATGGCTATCAGAGCGGAGAGAGGAAATATAACAAAAGTGTAGGAAAAGCGTGTTTCTGTACGAATAATGTAGCTGTGTTTGGTAAGCAGTGGGGAGTTTGGCAACCGGGACCCGCTATATATACAAATCTACTCAGCTACTTTAGCGCCGAGTCAGACGGAGCCAAGAGCCACCAAAAACAAAAAAGCTCGCTTTTTCCTGCAACAATAATGCAACGAGTGTAACATGCAGCCGGGTTCTTTTTCGACTGGGGGCCGGCTGCCGGTGTGATCAGTGGTGTGCCCCTATTTCCACTTTAGCCCACCCCGATGGACGGGATGGGGAATGGAGAGGATATCGCTGCCCTCGCAGCAGCACCAGCACCAGCAGCAGCAGCAAGCGGCTATTGGGACTTGCCTATTGACTGACCAAAAAAGCATCCCACTTTGACGCTTGCTTGGGCTAGTGGTCTAATCCCGAATTCTGCCCCCAAAATTGGGCCTGGCCCCCCGCCCCTGCGCAAAAACATGCAGCACCCCGCATGCTCCGAGATACCCAGCGCCCCCTTCGATCGGGTGCTGATGCCTCATGATATTCCTAGGGAGGCTCTTCCCGGCTTGGCCATCGGGAATTATCTAGCCAACAGCAGCGGCGCCAGCTGACGCACCTGCCGCTATGTTAAAAATAACGCTGCCTCGAACCTTCCAGGGGCAGCCGGGGGGACCGGTTGATGATGGTAAGACTCATCCCCAATAGCACTTTGTTAGCTAATCTGCCTCCCCCATTGCCGCACACGCTTCAGGCCACGCAACTGTCGGACCACTAGCTCCCCTCCCGAGTGGACGGCCATTGCTTCTCAAATGACTGAGCTTCAATACAGTGAGACCAGCGGTGGCCAGGCCGGTCTTTGTTGGGAGCCCGTCCCATCAGGACGCAGCAGGGAAAACTGGTGACTTTAAATTTCCTAAAGCTGCTTATTCCAGCCACACCACCATCCATCCGTGCCTGTCCGGCGTACCCGCCCCTGCAGGGCGCGAATGCGATATTTTTAATTTTATCGAAAAGCCAGGGATGAAGAAGCACTAAGTCTAAGCCCTGTACTCGGTGTGCTTGTATTCCAACACGTCACCCTCCTCGCGCATCTGCCTCTCGGCCTCCTGCCTGGCCCAGGTACGAACCCTAAAAAATGGCCACACATAGAATAATGTTAGCATCAGTGCCCTTTGGTGCGCAATCAGCGGCGGTGTTGGCAGGCAGAGCTGTCTCCTGTCGCCCCCTCACTGTGCCCGTGCTTGTCGTCGAACAAGGGCAATGAGGTCATCTAAAGCGGCCCCCTTACCTGGTGTCCGGCTTGTAGTAAAGACCGACGGCCGCCAGAGCAAACGCAAACCCGAACCCGCCGACCCAGATCGTCTCCCAGCCTTCCTTCTCGTACTTTTGTCCGGGCTACACATATCGAAAATTACCGTGACGCGACCAGTCAGTAGTGGCCCGGCTAAAATATGCAGGCGCGAGTGCTCCCTGTCCTTACCTTGACACCAAACAGGTAGCCTCCGGGCTCGTTAAAGTGCTGTGCGCCATGTCCGCCACGAACAAGCCTGGGTGCAATGCGCGCACGGGTCGAAAGAGCAGCCAATCTCTGGAACGTCATTGGGCCAAAATGGATATTGTTAATGGGAATAAATTGGACGTATAGAAAGCGAAAAGTGTAGGCTGTTAAATAGTACAAATTGAACAACTACGAGTTTAAATTCTCGAATTGGAGCGAGAGCACACGCCTGTATACAGCGAGAGCGCACGCATAAAGCGGGCTCGAAGATAACAGGAAAAAAGCAAAGGCGCTGGCAGGCAGATCCCCCGATTATATTTGTCTGGTGATTCTTGGCTCCAATCAGATCAAGACCGATTTCGAATTTTTGTGTGGCCAAGAGGCCTGCCTTAGCCCCGCGAATTAGTTAGCGCTGGCTCTGGCAGGAAATGGTGCTAGTTCTTCCTTTCCAGACACCATCTTCAGGTCGTTTTATTTTAAATCGGTAAGGGGACATGAATCGATTCAGCTTGCGGCGGGCCAAAGTTGACGGGCGCAGGACCATTCCCGGGCGTGGATGGGATGGATGAGATGGATGTGCCCAAAATTGTCGATACGCCCAGGAAATTTCCGGAAATGCGAAATTAGCGCTGGGGGAATGCTGTCCATTCGAAATGAGTAACGAAGCAGTGCCGTGCACTAATAGCCTCAACCGCGCCCTCTCCCACCCACCTTTTAGAACACGATGAAGCACATTTTCAAGGACGACGTTATCAACGTTCCCGAGGGCGTTACTGTCGAGGTCAAGGCCCGCCAGGTCCGCGTTACCGGTCCCCGCGGCACTCTGCAGCGTGACCTGCGCCACATCAACATGGACGTGCAGCGCCCGACCCGCGACACCATCCGCGTCATTGTCTGGCAGGGCGGCCGCAAGCACATTGCCTGCATCCGCACCGTCTGCTCGATCATCAACAACCTGATCATCGGCGTCACCAAGGGCTTCGAGTACAAGATGCGCTTTGTCTATGCCCATTTCCCCATCAGCGTTAACATCGAGAAGAAGGAGAACCTGATCGAGATCCGTAACTTCCTGGGCGAGAAGCACGTGCGCAAGGTCCCCATGCTCGAGGGCGTCGAGGTCGTTCAGTCCATCAACGTCAAGGACGAGATCGTCCTCACCGGTAACGATATTGACAACGTCTCGCAGTCGGCCGCCTCCATCCAGCAGGCCACCCGCGTCCGCAACAAGGATATCCGTAAGTTCCTTGACGGTATCTACGTCTCGGCCAGGGGCAACATTGTCAAGGAGGAGTAAACTCTTTCAGTAGTAATTTGCTCTTTGCTTTGAAGTCTTCCCTCGTGCAAAAAATCATGAGGGGGCCACTCCATGGGCTCTCTTTACCGACCTGACGTATCATGCAACATGCAATGCCCACTGTATGCCAAGGGCTGGTGATATTGGGCCGTATGTATGCGGTATGTATTTTTTGTTATAAGGAAGTTCTTAGGCCGACTCGTGGAGCCCCTGCGCCATGTACAGCTTGGTCAGGGCCGGGCCGCGGCTCTGGGTGATGCCCTTGGTCAGCAGGTTGAGGTTGGCAGTGTTGAGCAGTGCGTCGAGGCGCGAGGGCTCGGGCAGGGTGCGGAACATCTTGTCCAGCTCCTTGTCGGTCTCCTCAGGCTCAGGCTTCTCGCCGCGGGCGATGCGGGCGGCGTTGGCGTTCTTCCGGCGCTGCACATACTGCTGGCGGCGGTACTTCTCCTTGGCGGCGCCGCGCTGCCAGTACATCCACTGGTTGGCATCGTGGATGTGCTCGTCGATGAGCTCGCCGATGGTCTCCAGGTGGCGCGTAACCCCCGACGGCGTCAGATCCAGCGCGTTGGTGCAGAACGGCCGCGCCAGGTGCGCCGGTCGCGACGGCAGCAGGCTTGACAGCGAGCTCAGCGAGTCGCTCTCCGCATCGTCCGCAATTGCCGACCGGTCCGCCAGCTTGCGCGCGCGCAGACGCGCGTTGAACGACGACGGCCGCTGCAGGCTGTCAAGCAGCTCCTGCTGCACGCTGCCTCCCGGCCACTGCAGCTCCGCAAGCAGCGCGCTGGCCAAGTTTGACGACTCAATCTCAATCGGCAGCTCCTCCAGAATGTTGCCGTACGTCAGACCCTTGGTCGCCAGCTCCTCCGTCGTGAACTTGCCCGACGCCGCCAGGTCCAGGTACTTCTGCGACAGCCGGAACGCCCGCAGCGACAGGTTGCCCGCCTGCTCCGACTTGGCCGTGTCGTGGATCAGCACAATGGACGAGCTGCTCGGCGACGCCTGGTAGCTCGCCTGCACGTCCAGCAGCGGCTGCTGCATGAAATCCCCCAGCCGCGTCGACTGATACCATCCCACAGAGCTGCTGTCCACATTCACCTCGCGCAGGCACTGGATCATCTCAATCTGGTAGTTCGTCATGTCCTCCTCTGACCCCGGCTGTGTCGGCACCGGGAACGCGTTGGTCACCTCCAGCACCCCGTCAATCTCCAGACCAAGCAGCTGCCCGTTGACCGACGTCGGGAACGCCTCGCGCGAGTGCTTCACAATCTTGAGCACCGCCAGCGGGTCCACCTTGACCGATGTCACCTCCTTTGTCGCCTCAATGTCCAACACCGACGCCAAATGTGCCGGAATCGCACTAATGTCGAAAGCCCCCAGGTCGTTGTTTTCATTGAGCAGAGCCGTCATGGGCTTGGCTTGGTTCTTCGAATCCGCGGCAGCCATCTTGTAAAAAGAAAAAGAAATTGGAAGCTGAGGGAAAAATTAGAGAAAGGGGAAAAGTGTGAATCTGCCTGCGAAAAAGTAGAAAATTTTCACCCTCCCCAATGCTGCAGCCGCCCCCTGCCAGAAGCGCCAACACCAGCCAACGAGAAAAAAACGAGCAAAGGCAAATGGCGATTACTGGATTTATTTATCACGTACGAGGCTGGAAATCCTGGTAGTTCTTGTACCCACCGCCGTTAGCGGCCAAGGGGCACAGGCGCGTCTTTGTGCCCCAGTAGTCGGGCATATGGACATTGGGCAATATCAAGACAAAGTATATCAGAATTGTCGACAGCGCAACGCCCGAGTCCAAGGCCGCTGACAAGGAAAACGCGTACCGTTGCCAGAAGCCATAGCGGTACCTGTGGATCAAGTACTGGAACACAAAGCAGACAAAGAACCAGCTGGTCATGGATGCCGATGGTGCCGGCGGCATGTTTCCCAGCACCGTGAAAAACACGGGCAGATGGACGTATCTCCACAGGCTGTTTGGATAGCGCTGCTGCAGATACCACACCGGTACAGGCAGCATTGCACCAACCAGGAACATGTAGAAGAGAGGCGAGTACGGAGAGCCGTTCTGGAACAGCCGCTGCGGACCAACCAGCCCCCAGATGACCGATGCAGAGTAGAATGTGCGGGCACTGGCACAGCTCCATACCTCGTTGGTCGTGCAAATGCCCTCGATCGCACGCAGGATCCATATTGCGACGCCGCACTGCACAAAGCCACAGGTTGTTGTACCCAGTACCTGCGCGATGAATACGTGTCGAGGTGGAATCTTCATATAGTGGCCCAGCTTCTGGTCGCTGACTAGCATCAGTGTCTGAGTCATCGTGATATAGCCGTATAGCTTGAACGTTATGTTGGCGACAGGGTCACCAGCCCGCAGGTACCCGATCAAAAATTCGGTGATCACGTTGAGCCCTGGCTGCTGGTTGCTCAGAGCCTGGACGATACCCACTGGCACCAGAAAGATGAAGGAGATTGTGATGGCAAGCAGCATGTAGTACCATGGAAGCAGGCCGTATACCTCGCACGCCGTGATACCCAATGCAAGCATTGAGACCAGCGTGATTGCATACCACCACCGGGGAACCTCTAGATACTTTCGCATCAGCCGCGCATGCACATCGTCGTCGCCCACATTCAAGTGGCGAAGGCGGTTGTAGATATCCCGCCCATGGTTGAGCGCTGTGTAGACAACCAGGGTAACGATGCCGGCAAACGACAGACCGTAAACGTATGCGAATTGGAACGGCATGCGAATTGGGCCGTACTCTGCATACTTCTGGGGGTCCAAATGGCCTTTGGTATCCATGACCTGAGACGTGTCGTAGTAGGAACCATTGGCCAAGAAAATACTGTTTGAATAGATTGGCAAATTGCCGGATCCCCAGACATCGCTGTAGTATGCTGCGGGCGTAATAACCCACATGGTCAGGACAAAGGCTGCAAACATATTGCATGCCATGTACCACGGAATGGCGATTGGCGAAGAAAAGTAGGCCGACGATATCACCGACCAGTCAAAGGTGAAGTTGAGCACGCCCAGCCCGTGGAACGCGTCGCCGACCTGCTGGGCGATCACATTGTTGGGCGCAGCCAGACACAGAGCCGGCACAAACGTCAGCACTGGCATGACAAACCCAGGCAGGATGTTGTACACAAACATACACCCGAACGCGATCCAGAAGAACCTTAGGCGCGAAACGTGGTGCAGGTACGATGTCTTCTCGTGGAATGTCCGGAATAGCGTCACGCTGACCAATGATGACGGCCAAATCATAGCCGCCGGGTACACCAGCAGCTCGCGCATCAAACCAGCATAGCTGTAGCCCAGCATCAGCGACGAGAGGGTAATCAGTATGGCTGGTAAAAACCCCATCGGCCGATTGTAGTAAATGGTCTCGACCACAAGGATATCGATGGAATACGCGCTGGTAGCCGCCGATGCAGCAAAAATTGATATAATTGCGTGCTCCTTGATGCTGAACGGGCCAGGGTTGAACGTCCATGTATACCCAAAGGTATTAAACTTCCGTGTCGGCAGTATCCGCGACATCAGGTATCCCATCGGAAACGATACAATCTGCACAAAGAACCCGCCGATAGTGATAGGCGTGGCCTTGAACCACAGTAGCTGGTTGGCGAACCCTAGGGCAACTGAAAAGAACAAGCCAAGCACCACAGATCTGAACGTCAGTGAGGGAACATGGGTGTCTCGTGGAGCAACTGCAGACCGCACCATACTGTAGGGCGAGTCCTCGGTTGGAGCTGCTGATACAACGCGCCCATCGCTGAGTGAGTTGCGACGCCATGGGCTGAGCGTGACCTTCTCATCGTCGAGCGGCATGGCGAATCCACTGACTTCTGAGCGCTCGACAGTATGCTCCAGGTAGTTTGCAAACATGTCGCTGCTCTCATCATGGTGATAGGTCACCAGGGGACTATCTCTGCCGCTCATGGTATAGCAGATAAAATCTATATTACAATATGAAACAGGCCGGTACAGGAAATGAAAGGTCTCTTTTGGAAATAGCACATGCAAAAAGCGGAAGGAAGAGGAAGGGTGGAGCTAACATGCATTTTTATTCCGCAGGGGTCAGCCCTTACAAGTTTCTTATACTCGAAATAGCATGTGGGCTTTGGCAGAGCAGAAAAAAGCACCCTCACAAAAAAGGATGCATAGAAAAAACTGCCTCCGAGCAGCCTTCCCCCTTCCCCCATGAGAATTCAAATCCGACGTGCATTTTACCACATCAAGGGCTGCCAAACCGCTCGAGCAAATGACCATCCATTCAGCCTGTCAGCGTTCTCTGGGCAAGTTTTAAACCGGACAGAGTGTTTTAGCGATGCCCTTTTTCCCGCCCTATCGTCTGTTTTTTGCGCTGGACATGCAATTTGTTTGCTGTACGCAGGTTCCATATCCGATTGCAGGCTGCACATCATAACGAGCAATCCTGGCCATCCTCAGCGCCGCCAACTACCGATCTGAAAACAGAAAGAAATAGCTTGTTGGGTAGAGAACAAGCGAATGGTTTGGTGATGCGGGAATACTATTCTTGGTTTGCGCATCGCCCACTGGACCTACCTGCTCAAAGCGCCCTATGGCCCGTAAGCACATCTTGCTATCGCGGATACGCTCTGCTACGCCTGCAGTGTGCCTCTAGCGCCACCCGGCAATCTTTATGGACTTTCTTGCCCGCAGATCGAGCACCAAACAGAGCAACATCACCTCAAGTACCTCCAGTCGCCCAACATACCTACGACTTAGCACAGCTTTCATTTCCAAATATCTTATCCAAACCGTGTGCTTCTGTCGCGAACCACTGTACGACGCTCGGCCAATTATTGACTGCGTGGCATGCCGCATATTCCCGGGGCCATTTCGATATCGCGCAGATCAGGGTGGTTTGGACGGTGGGAATAAAACGGCCTGGATGTCTTTCCAAACCAACCCAGCTTCATTGTAGGGATTGCCACCGCCAGCCATGCATATATGCATGCATACTTTTCCCACAGAGAACGCATGGCCAATATCCGTCCCGGTTTGTCTCCCAAATCGCAGTCCTATCACAAGCGAGTGATTGCCAACGCACTTTTCAAGCCGAGAACACTTGATTTTTCATGTGCGCCCAAAAACGCAAGCCAGCTTTCGCTGCTTTGAAAGGACATAAAGGGGCATGCCTGGTACCCAACCACATCTCGGTTTGTGGGTCTGCTTGTTGCATCAAAACGTGGTAAAAAATTATTGCATTTGTGTTTTTCCTGACACCAGGCGCTACTGCACAAAACCGTCCAGACCCGATGCAAAGATATGGCGATTGGCTCTTTCTACCACCAATACAGAGTGCTCACGTTTTGGTACTGCTCGGGCGATACCATATTGCCCCTATTTGGACATGGGACTGCGTCGATTTACTTTTCCGCACCCGTGCCCAAAATACATAGAGTTGAATCCCAGCCATGCCCCCTCTTTCCCCAAGCGAATCCCCCAGGCTCTGGGATCCCTCCCCCTTTCGTATTTTCATACTGCCTGTACTCATTGAAATGAATAACAACGCCGTTGACGACGTCTGGGATCTGGACCAGGATGACTTTGAAAGCGAGCGTGTGGTAGCAGCCCAGTCTCTGGGAAAGTTGCAATTGGCATTCGGTAACGCCGGTTACAAATATGGAATCGATGCCAGCAAAACTGACCACATGCAAGAAGGATTCGATAAGGGCTTTGAACTCTCTATCGAGAAAGGCAGGATCATCGGCAGTCTTTTAGGAAAACTGCTCGCACGCCGCGACATTTGCAAGCGGCTGGACCTGCCTGTGGAAAACATCGACTCGGTCGTTATGCGCCTCCGCGCCATTAAGCATACGACTGCATTCAGTGCCAAAGCCCTGAGGGGTGAGGATGACAAGACTACCACCGACACCTTTGACGAACTAGTTAAGGATGCCCATGCGGTATTGGATACAATGTGCGTAGTGTAGATTTGCAATAGAAAGCGACATTTTATTTTCATTTTCGATCGATGGATGGTAAAAATGAAAGCTGGTATTTAGCTGGTGCATGGAGGCGATGGAACCGGCGCAGGGTTAGAAGGGGTGGCAGTTGGACCAGCTGGGTTAGTGGGAGCTGGGCTAACAGGGGCTGGGTTAACAGGGGCTGGGTTGGCAGGAGACGGGTTAGCAGGTGCTGGATTGGTGGGTGCTGGATATACGGGTGCAGGTTTGGTAGGGGCTGGGTTAACAGGGGCTGGGCTGACAGGGGCTGGGCTAACAGGAGCTGGGCTAACAGGAGCTGGGCTGACAGGAGCTGGGCTGACAGGAGCTGGGCTGACAGGAGCCGGGTTAACAGGCTGAGGAATCGCCGGATTGGAAGGCACTGGTGTTGGGTTGGAGGGCGCCGTACCACCATTGTAGTCTGGAGCGCTAGATGTAGGTGCGGGGTTGACTGGCCCAGGAAGAACAGGTGCCGCGGTGCTGCTGACAACGCGCTGAGCACCACAGCCACTTCCACTGGCTCCAGGACCGTTCAATGCGACATCCGGGCAGGCAGCCGCATCGAGGTTCACATTTCCGAGAAGGGCAGGGAGTAGCGCACGCTTGTCGACCTGCGCAGGCGCTGCCACACAAAGAGGGATCGCAATCAACGAGAGAGAGAGAATCTTGCTAAAACCGAGCATGATCACAAATGGAAGGCGAAATGGATGAAGGGATTTAGAAAGCAAGGGAGTGAGGTACGAAAGGGCAAAGAAGAGTAAGCAATCAATAATGAATATGACAACAAGCCCGTCCAGAATGTGCTACGTATTTTATACACGACCTTTCAAGAATGCCCTATGCGTATTGACTAAGGCGTCTACACGCATAGCTTCTAGCTCTGATGCCCATTCTTTGAAAAACGTTCCTACTACGTTTATGCGTCGGCCAATTTTTCAATATGCCATATAACACACCCCCAACTTGTTAGGAATATATCCCAACGTTGCATGCACGGCCAAAAGGTCGATATTGGTCCGTGAAAAGCAGACCCCCCACATGATACCCTGGCGGCATAACTGTCTTGGCATTGAGGTACCAGCAATTCCTTATTTGCGTCCGCATTTGCCCATGCTAGTATCAGAATCAGCCGAGAATAACATGCTTCAAAGAATTGCACTCACTTTCGGTCCCATAGAGACAAAACTATTTTAAAAAAATTACTGCTCCGGTCCGCATCTCCCCGCTCATACCAGCAAAGCTTCTGATGGCTACATTTGCCTTTTTGTTTTGTTGGTCAACTTCCAATTGAGAATGCCACCTGTGCGGAGATCTGCGAGAGTCAACGAGTTCGCAAAGAAGGCTACTCGCTCGTGCAAAAGTGGAGAGTCGCACACCACTACTGCTCTATCCAACGATGCGAAGGTAGGTTACAGCTACTGCAATTTTAAGCATTGTGCATGGTTGCATGTGATAACTTCACCCTATGCCGCTACTAGATCTACGGATACTGGCTGATGAAAGCTGAGCCCGAGTCGCGCATCGTCAAAGGAAAGGACGTGAAATTTAGCATTGACGATCTCTATGAGATGAAGGATTCGACGTCGTGCTGGGATGGAGTGGTATGTAGCTGGCCGGTTCTTGTCCATTTTACTGGAGCGTTTGACATTACTAGCCCACTGAGAACATCGTTAGAGAAACTACGAGGCGCGAAACATCATGCGCGACAAAATGAAGATCGGAGACAAGGTAGGCTATAGACGCGCGGCACAGACTTGTGCATATGCCAACCATACTAACCATCTACAAGTAGGTGCTCTTTTATCATTCAAACTGCAAGACACCTGGTATTGCGGGAACCGCTACTGTGGTTAGAGAGGCATACCCGGACTACACAGCATTCGACCCAGAGCACCCCTATTACGACCCGAAATCCAAGGCTGATGTACCCAAGTGGTTTATGGTAGGTATACTTTAGAGACATTGTAGATTCTCATCAGCATTAATCGCTAATGAGCTATATATAGGTTGATGTCAAGTTTGAGTCGAAATTTAGTAACATTATTCCGCTTTCGGCCCTGAAAGGGTACCAGGAGTTAAAGGATATGGTTCTAATCAAGCGCGGAAGGTTGTCGGTTCAACCAGTAAAGGCTGGCGAATACGACTTTATCCTGAAACTTGGAAATAAATAGTGAGCTAGAGCTCCTACATAGTGGAGAAAGAAGTAGGAAAATATGAAAATTTAGGCAAAGGCACCAGCAGGACCGGTTTTGATACCTGTTGTGTCTCGGGTACGATACACTTAGATATACAACCTCCTGCAACTGTCTAAAACACGTTTACTCTCCAAGCACCTTTCCACGACGTATATTGAACGTATGAAATATGCTGTATGAAAGAAGGAAGGAGGAATCGCCAGGTGAAAGGGCAAGCGCCCGTCTAAGTAGTGGCGCCAGCCGCCCGGAATAGTATGGCCGGCCATTGTGGCCTAAAGGTCTTGATCCATGGGTTCCTAAAATCATAAGGATTTGGAACCACAATACCAACTACCTACTGAGAAACAAACAGACATCATCATTTTATTCAGCCATCAGTCACTAGTTGTGCACCAACCTGGATTCAGAATCCGGGCTGGTCACGCGACAGGGATGCGGCGCATTTGGCTGAGATATGATGGCACACAGCACATCCAGCGGTATATGGGCAGCTATACGTGCTTTTGCTCTTCCTAATAATGGCGAGGAAGACACTTTAAGAGGCAGAGGTGGAATGAAAAGAAGAGTGCGAAGGCGGAGTCGCTAGGCGTACCGCCGCTTTCCAGCTTATTGGACAACCATGGCACCCACTCTGTGGCAGTCTAGGTGCAATGCATGTGCCTTGTTGGAGTACACCTTTCTTCGGTTGCTGGACACACTCACTGAGCATGGACCCAGCCCCTGCCACATTCTCGGGAAAACGTGCACCATTCGCTTAGGGCAATCAAGTAGGTTATGATGTTCTCCTGCAATACTCGCATATGAAGCTAGCACTAGTGTGCACCACGTAGGCACCATGCCTTGCCACACAGAGTGGCAATACTAGGTAGACTATTCATGGGGTAGATGATAACAAAAATAGGAATCAATGCAGACTGCTTCTCATGGCAAAATGAGATTACCTATTGACACATTCACTAATGCAAGCAGCACACGAATTACAAACACCCATCACATGAACCAAGCATCGTTGGAATCAAATGCGAAGCTTTATAGGTGAGACATCAATGCCAAGCAAGTGCTGGCAGTAATACAATGGGTAACCGTATATTCCTATATGAAAATATTTTCTCGAAATTCAGTGAAAAAGGAATATTGGTTCTGTGGTCTAGCGGTATGATTCTCGCTTAGGGTGCGAGAGGTCCCGGGTTCAATCCCCGGCAGAGCCCCATTCTTTTGCACAAGCTCATTTCGTTGTAGGGCTTTTTTTTGCGGAAATAGACACTGGCCATGCAAAAAACAGGCACAGCTGCGCTTGACTCCCGCCACATCGAGACTAGGGATGGCAAAAAGAGATGCTGCCTTCTGCCAGAATCGAACTGGCGACCTTCTGCTTACTAGGCAGACGCTCTGCCAACTGAGCCAAGAAGGCATCCCATTTGTTGAATCCTCAGAAAATCGATATGTATAAAATACTATGGATACAGTGCTCCATCGTTTGGTTATTTTTTTGCTCCTTTCCACCCCTCACCACTTCCATTCAGGTATAGCTTTCACTTTGACAGATTGCTCGACTCTTGCTTCATATCACCAAGGCATTATCAATGCCCCCAATCCATGCAGCCTGCCTCGGTTAGTCGGCATCCCTAATACTGCATTCTGTGCTGATGCTCCTCAGCGGAACCATTCAGGTAGTGATCGTCCATTATTCATTCGGCTATCCCCATTAATGATCTGTCCCCACGTTTCTCACAGTTGCTCCATACTTAATTGCTAAAGTTCTGCTATCATCCCTGCGTTAGCTATCAGTACACACCTTGCACTGATCTTGGAGACATGCAGAAAAATGCACACCTACGGCTTTTTTTTTTTTCGCCAGAGGACACTTTATTAGGCGTTTGTCCGCCCGAATAGAACACCTCAGGATAGTTTACTTCGGTATTTTGGAAAATGAGCCAAGTGTGGCCTATGCCTCCCCCAACAGAACAGCTCGGCGCTTCCGGTTCAGGCCAAAACACCGTGTACAAAACCGGCTTTCCACTCCTCTGTTATGCATCTTCACGTTGAAACTAATTAACCGCTTGCATATTGCATGGACTATGGTTCCCTTTCTCGTAAGAGTGTTAATCATTGGCCAGCATGCTTTCATTTTTGGACATTGGCAAAGCTATTGCCACCCCCTTCGTATGAGCCGCCCAAGCCCACAGCAGTCATGCATCATATACTTGACTGGCTTCCCATCCACTTTCTATCTTTTTCACTCCCTTCCTTTATCTTGTTTTGCTGTTACTTACTCAAACGACATTTTTGTAAACTATCTCCTCATCATTAGCTATTGTAAACACCATACCTGTATTAATTTTCTATGTCCACCGCCCTAGCACTATCCAAGCGGGCCCCGAAACTATCGGAAGCGGATCGAATAAAGGTAGCAAGCTCTACTGATAAGACTAAGCGCATATCCCGATTTCTGATTCAAGGAGCACTCGTTTTTCACTTATCCGCTACTGTTTATTATAGGGTATTGCTGACCTCGGGAAAACGCTTGAGCCGGTTGGAGTGACGGACACTGTAACCATTGCAGTTTCTGCCTCGCTCTACGGCGTGACTGGGCTGCTGGTACTCTACGCCCTCATTCACCGAAACTACAGACCAATCCGCGCAAAAAACATGCCTCTGACCACTGTCATGTATATTGCGTGCATTGTGTGGTTTCTAGGCGATATTGCAACCAACGGTCTCGTCTACAACGTCGGTGTATGGAGCAAGTGCAAACTGTGGGTCATCTGGTTCCGTGACCTAGGCGGCTATCTGTACTCGTCCATTGTACTGCTGCGTGCTCACGCGCTCAACCGCATCTTCATCCAGCGCAAGAGCTTTACTGGCTGGGCATACTATATGCCAATCGTCATCCTTGCCGCTGCGCTACTGATCTTTTGTCTAACGGTCCAGCTAATTAGTGATGATCTCACTGTCTCGTACCTCTCAAAACTGGAGATTTGCCACTATGTGGAAGGATTCAAGTGGGGGAGCTTGGCGCTGCTCTGGTTGGTGTGGTTTGCGTCGCTCTTTTACTACATCAAAATTCGCCATATCCAGACTGCGTTTAACGAATTTAGAGAAGCATTGGTCGTCTTCTTTATTGCCTTTACTACCTTGCTGGAGACCTCGTTGGTTCACGGAATATTCCCAACCTACCCACTAAACAGAACCCTTCGTACTATTACAACCTACGTTGATGTTGTATGCGGTAACATTAGTGTTTGGGTCTTTTTGGTTTATCCAGTTTTCAAGTGTATTTTCTACCGCGAGAAATACGAGCATGAATGGCTTGCCAAGCTTGCCCGCGATGGTCTCCAGCGCGAATACCAGATCGAAATGAATCGCAGCGCCAACACGTCGGATTTCGCAAAGATGGGGAGTGGCCACCAGCTCACAAGTCTTAGCAGTAACGACCGAACCTATGCCACCGACTATCACATCACGCTTGACTCGAATTCAGAGATTGCTAATTTTTCTAGCTATCGATAACTCTCATGGCTACGCCCTGTCATGGAAGGTTCCCAGATGCCAAGCTTGTTACTAAAATTATTTCCTTGTGCCAAGACTACCTGCAAAGTGTTTTGGGCTTTAATAATGAGTGCTCATAAAAAAAGCAGCAAACTTCTTTGTGGATTTAGACAATCCAGTCTATTTATAGCGCTTTTCATCTGTTAAAATCCTCAGGTCCCCGTCTCACGATTGACATAAAGCTGCCGATGTTTGGCCGAAAAGTGAGTTTGCATTAGCATCTCCCCAACTCACATCATTTGCATTTTTCCCTTTTGCATATCTCCATGCGTCCGCCACATACCAATTCACTAGCTTCCCGAGCAGTTTCAGACACTGATAAAGTTGAAATCACAACGCTACTAGGCTATCAGCTTGAGCTTGTTGGTCCTTCGGACTATGTTGTTATCGCAGTCGGTGCCGTTCTAAACATTCTAACTGTTTTGCTGATCATTTTTGCCTGGCTGAACCAGACATACCGGCCCATTCGCGCAAAAAACCTTCGCTTGACGACACTCATGTGCTGTGCATGTGTGCTGTGGTACTTTGGTGATCTAGCTACCAACGGGCATGTTCGTCTAACTGGAAAGTGGCGGTTGTGTAAGCTCTGGTCTATCTGGTGCCGCGACGCCTCAGTCTTCACATACTCGGCGCTCATGTTCATCCGAATCTATGCTCTAGATCGGGTGTTCAACAAACACAAATCGTATACTGGCTGGGCGTACTATGGTCCTATATGGGCTCTGTTTATAATAATCATCGCCTTTAGCGTCACTGTCCAGTGGCTGGACGACAGCGTGACTGTGGCTTTCATAGAGACTATCGAGATCTGCAAGTTTGGTGTCGCGTTCCGTTATGCGAACATGGGCCTACTTGCAATAATATGGATTGCAATTGCTGTAGCTATGTTCAAGATACGCAACATCGAATCTAGCTTCCGCGAGGTCCGTGAATGTGTTATCATCTGTGTACTAGCACTATACCTCCTCGTAGCCACTGCTGTCGTACAAGTGTGTGCCTCAGATTATGCATTGAAACGTGGACTCCGCGCGTACGTTACCTTCTCGGATCTATTAGTGTCGCACGCCTGCCTTTGGATCATTCTTGGCCAGCCAGTGTATATGCGTGTCTTTCGTAAAGATTACGAGCACAGGTGGTTGCAGAGGCTCACTCGTGATGGCTTTGAAAATGAGTATGATGTTGGCCCAATGTCTTTTGTTACCACAAAATTGGATTCTGATAGTGATGATGGCATGAGTAGCATCCATGGTTCTAGCTATGACGGCGGCTCAACCATCTACAGCTCATCAGTATCTAAGTATCCTTTGCCTGATTTGAATATCGGTGCACCCTCAGATGCATTCCAGCATATCAATCTCGATGAGAAGCCCTTACCATCCATCCCCCCTCCAACACCGGCAGCTATAAGTAATTTTACTCGTAGCAGCGAAATTTCTACAAAACTCACATTCACTAGATCGCTACAGCATTTTTCGTAATATTAATTCAATAGACGTATTATGTTCAAAGGATAATGGATTAATCAACACAACACGCTATAATGCATAATGAATGCTCTAGGCCAACTACAGGACATTATCGATGACATAATGGTTATATCGCTCAGGAGTAAGCTAAAACTACATTTCTTTGAAGTTCCACCATTTTGATGGCCGCTCAATGTATACAAGGAACGACATCTAGAGAAATTATTCAAGCGATTGATACAAGGCTCCTACAACCTATGCTAACAGGGTTTTACTTCCAAACTTTATTGATGATCCGGCCAGTGATGTTTAAATGACAGGTAGCAACCACAGAGGATCTCAGCAGATTGAACCTATTACTGAACGGGGCAGCAGCCGCAGCACAGAATTCAAGCATGAATCCTCAGTTCATGAAGGTAGAACCATCTCTTGGCCTGCATATCAGTCTGACTCCATACGCAGTGCAAAGCAGCTCTCTACACAGCTAAAATATGGTCAATAAGCTTTTCGGCCAGGTTCCATTCATTAATAAACTCAAGCACGATTCGGACCCCATCATATCATCTTAGCTTTCTCTCAAGCTTAAACAGCGAAGGGGAGTGCGAACACCTCATGGGGACCTGGTACAACAAGGGAGGGAAATCTATGCAAGGTAGGCATCGTGGCAATCTTTTTGTTTATTTGCATTACATAATACCAAAAATAGTACTAAGAATACCTGCTTCAGAGAAGGACTATATGAGGTAGCAGCTACCCAGAACCGCCAATGACCAGTTTGACCAGATACAACCAATACGCAGCTTAGCAAACATATGCTTCTCTCAGTGCCTGTAGCCAACTTTCTGCCAGACCCAAACACCTCCAAATAAAAAGATAGTATTTGTTTTGTAAATCTGCTCATGCGCCTGTACCCAAGCTGTCCCTGAAACTAGTTGGTTTGCCTCTGATTCCTTTGACGGAATAGCAGTGGCAAATTGTGAATCCCTTAGCCCGTTGCTGTGCATTTGCATTCACATCCACTATTGCATACTTCTCAGGTTTAAGAACGTTGTCAACAATACATGACAAGTTTAGACTTGGAACGGCTCCCCTTTGATTTGGAATCTATGCTCATCTCCGCCCTCAGCACTTGCACTACTGCTATCTCTCATTGCTTTACTTTTGTTTGCTTATTCTTCATACGTTAGCCCACCATTTGTCTCTACATCCCTATAAAGCAGTCACAGAATAGACTAGATAGGCTTACTAATGCTTCAGAAAAGGAGTACTTCAGACGAAGAGAAAGTCCAGGTATGTTAGACTTCAGTACCAGTACCAACGGTTAGGATATCTCTAAGCACTAAGTCACTATATGAGCTCTTGGAGTAGATTGCTGCTGCGCTAGGATACAAGCTTGACCCTGTTGGACCAGTCGACACTGTCATTATCATTACTGTAGCATCGATGTATGGAGCCACTTTATTTGTCCTACTATATGCCTGGTGGAACCGCAACTATCCCCCAATCCGCCGGAAGAACCTGCTGGCAACAACAGCTATGTACATAACTGCGGCGCTGTGGCTTGTTGGTGACATTGTTACAAATGGGCATGTGCATTTGGTAGGACCATTCAAGTACTGCATAATCTGGTCTGCCTGGTTCCGGATGCTTTTCTGCTATGTCAATGGCTGCTTTGTGATGATTCGCCTTTATGCTCTCTATCGAGTATTTGTTCAGAGCAGACCTAGCCACAGTGTGAGCTACTGGGCGCCACTGATTGTATTGGCTGTCCCTATTCTGGCATTTTGCATCACACCCACTGCCCTTGACAAGATGAAAATTGCATACTATATCCAAAGCGTCGAGCTGTGCAATTATACAGATCCATTCCGTTACACATTTATGGCCCTGATGTGGCTCATTTGGCTCACCAACCTTATTCTGATGATCCTCATTCGCAAAATCCAGCCTAGCTTCCGAGAGCACCATGAGTCATTCATTATATCTGGCGCTGCCATTGTGAACCTTGTGATAACCACTGTTGTGAATGTCACAAATCCTACATTCGCACTGGATCTCAAATTGCGATCAATTAATACAATATTTGATTGCATCGGTAGCATTTTGGCTCCATGGATTATTATTATTTTCCCCTGTTACCAGTGTTTCTTCCACCACCACGAATACCTCCGCATGTGGCTGGATAAGCTGAGGGCTGATGGGCTGGCTAAGCAGTATGAAATTAGCACAGAGACTCAGTTTGGTAACCGTTGCACATCATATTCAAGACTAGGCTCGGACAAGGAACACATTACAAGACCTCAGCCAGAAGATAATACTGAGTTTATGTTTCACAATTCAACATTGAATATTAGGCTGTGAAATACAAATGAACATGGGACATGTATAATGACACAGACATGTGGCACTGGTAGAATCTGTTAACAGGTAGCGAATCTAAAGATCAGACGTCCATACAAATAATAGTTAAGTCTATTGTAACAGCACTATTGGCACATTATATCACCATTGCATCACCAATGTGAGAGAGTGGTGTGAGCTGAAATATGCTGTGCCAGATGATGGGGGCTGATCTCCATTACAATAGACAGATCCCACACACAGTATGGTCCTGCATATATAGAGCCTATCTAATTTGAAAATAACCAGCATTGTGCGAATTCTGTAGCACTTAGTTTCTACTCAGAAAAATAACCAACGCAACAGGAGGAGCTGCCACTATGCCTTTTGGGCCAGCGGTACCTACCATTTTGTTTTGTGTAGGGGTTATAAAGGTGATATTTAATACCGAAGAAAGGAGAGAAAAGAGAATAAATAGGTTTTGTGGATGTATCTTCAATGCGGCCATTTGTGCAACTCATCAGAGGTCTGATGTTACCTTCGTTGTGCAGGCCGTAGCAGAGCTCTTGCTGGTACCTGGTTTGCCGTCACCTGGCTTGGCGGACATGTCGACGTCAGGGACAGCCGCAGCGGGGGCGCAACACTATGATATGAATGAATTCAATCGCTAGGCAGGACACTTGGTATTTCTTAGCGATATAGAGAGAAAGTAGAGAGTTGCGCATCAGGTAGAGTCGTGTATTGATGTCCGTATGTTGATGTATGTTTTATTTTTCAAGAAATTCCAGAATTCGCTTAAAGGCTTTGGCTGTTGTAGTATAGTGGCAGTACATCACGTTGTGGCCGTGTCGACCCTGGTTCGATTCCAGGCAACAGCACATTTTTGCTTTTTGTCGCCAAAGTGATTGCTATGGAACATGTTCAAAGAGCGGCCATTTTGTTTTTTGCTGCTATACCTTCATTTCTGCTTTTTATAAAATGTTTTTGTGATAAATACTATTTCTATTGCGTTTGAGGTGCTATTTGACCAGTTCTGTTATTAGCACTGTGAGTATTGAACCTAGCCTAATAATTCTGTCTAAAGAATTATCTTGATGTATACTAACCATTAGCAGCCACTAGTATATTTTATAGATTTCGTTGCCTTTTCTGCTTCAGTATTTGGTCAAGAGGGCTATTGTGGTATATGGGGGTCATTCCTGGACTTATAAATTTTAGTAAATTATAATTTTGTTAGATAGATATTTGAATAATCGTTTTCAGAACCATTTTTTACTACTAGATATTTTTGGAATAGATATTTATAATTGTTGTGTCCAGAATGTTTTTATGAGTATAATTGATTTTAAAAATACAAATATTTTTTTTGCCATTTCACCCAAACTGCCATTGGCATCTTGGAAAAGTTTCAGTGAACATAATTTCCTTGTGGTTACTTAGCCACATCTATTGAGATATTGACTTTTGTTGCCCAATGATAATTAACCCCAAATATGCAATGTTTTTCTTTCTGGTTGAAATTATGTTTGCTGAAGCTTTTCTAAGATGCTGATGGCAGTTTGGGTGAAATTTTTATTTCACTGAAATTGCCAATAGTTTCAACATGTATAAATAATTATTGTGTAGATAACTAACTCTGAATGACCTCCTATATTAATAAAGTCTGCTATATAGAGAAAAGCATAGATAATAAGTGTATGCAATTTGCTACTAATTATATCCTTTATGCTAATATATATTAGATATTAGTCATTGCATAGAATCGTTATTGATATTATCTGATTATTCCAAATACTCTTACTCTTATAATAAATAGGGTAGTTTTCTGAAATCCCAATTGGTATCCTTAATAATATCAATAGGCTGATATTTTAAACCCTTAAATCATCTCTAATAAAAAATTCTATATATGGGGATAGCAAAGTACCTAATTACTAGTCACTTGTGGAATTAGGTTAGTGCATAAATATTTGTGATAAGATGCATAGCTATTGCCCTTATAGGTGGTGGATATTTCAGTACTACTTCTCGATGGCTGCAGGCACAAATGGAGCAGATCACGTCTAGCTCATCATCAGTTTTATTTTCTTGTAATGCCGTGACCTTGTGTCAGGCATTCCATGGATCAACTACAAATCAGTGGGCACATCAAGGTGATCACCAAATGTTGTGAGAAATCATCGAAGCTGTCCTTTTGTGATATTTTCGCATACTGAGCTCGAGGTAGATGTCGATAAAAATAGGAGCAAGGACCGGCGGCCCAGAAAGCTGTGATTTAGTCCTTATGGCCTATAAATAATTGGGATCCAAGTCAGGTCGTTGTATGTCCAACAGTGATGGATGCCTCCACAGGATCCATATAAAAGTACGACGATATGATAGTAGCTCTTGGATTCGATAGTATTTTTCAGTAGGTATATCGTGTATCTAAATTGTTCACCATCGACAGAACGGAGCAGATTTAGTGCAAGCCAAAGAATACTCAACTCATATCTGTGCACTCGGCACTCGTTAAAGCAAGCAAACACCCCCCCCCCGAATCTCTTCATACCTTACTACACTCTCTGTGTGTAGACAGACTACCTCGTCAATCTCCTATTTTATTCTCGCGAACAAGAATTATTTAAGATGGCAACGATCAATGCCACTCCCCCCATGACCGCCGGACCTGTCGAAGCAGGTCATGGCAGAACATTCTGACTTTTGTCATGTCGTAATCGGTCCACAGTTGGACCACGACAATGGTTACACATCAAGGGGTTTTATTTGTCTTCCTTTTTTTCTTTTACTTCTCTTCTCTTCTTCGTCACATGCCGCTGTTCCGCTATCAGGACGGACTGCCCCTGACTATCGCCGGTCAAGTTGTCGCCCACGAATGGATTCGCGGCGATGTACCTGGCTCGCGACGTCCACCAACAGATGGCCGCTGATGTGTATACATCGGGTCTATACGGATGTGGGAACACTGTCCCGTGGTCGCCCGGCAGCCGATAGCAGCAAGTAGCATACTCCGTTTGCCGAAGTCCATCCCGCCGAACGTGTATAAATACGGCCATGAGCAGTGAGCAACTTTTAGTTTTATTGTCTACTTTTTAGTATATGATCTCGTTAAGGAACAGTTCACTGAGTTATATTTCTATTTAGTTTTCCAAAAGATAGTTAGGACCGTTACCGTCGAAGTAGTAGATTACCTCGCAGATTTCCACGAACGAGAGAAAAGAGCTTGGTAGTTTACTATTTCACTAGGATATCTGAATTTCCCGCGATTATTATTATTATTATTATCATTATTATTATTACCGTTTATTCACGGATATTCGATTCAAGCAAGACCAACGACTACAATGTCCTTCATGACCGACCCAGACAGTGCTGGTGATCGACTCACTGATCAAGCCTCTCCTTCACCCCTTTTAAACACCAAACTTTTGTGGTGTTTAAAAGGGGTGAAGGAGAGGCTTGATCAGTGAGTCGATCACCAGCACTGTCTGGGTCGGTCATGAAGGACATTGTAGTCGTTGGTCTTGCTTGAATCGAATATCCGTGAATAAACGGTAATAATAATAATGATAATAATAATAATAATAATCGCGGGAAATTCAGATATCCTAGTGAAATAGTAAACTACCAAGCTCTTTTCTCTCGTTCGTGGAAATCTGCGAGGTAATCTACTACTTCGACAGTAACGGTCCTAACTATCTTTTGGAAAACTAAATAGAAATATAACTCAGTGAACTGTTCCTTAACGAGATCATATACTAAAAAGTAGACAATAAAACTAAAAGTTGCTCACTGCTCATGGCTGTATTTATACACGTTCGGCGGGATGGACTTCGGCAAACGGAGTATGCTACTTGCTGCTATCGGCTGCCGGGCGACCACGGGACAGTGTTCCCATTTCCGTATAGACCCGATGTATACACATCAGCGGCCATCTGTTGGTGGACGTCGCGAGCCAGGTACATCGCCGCGAATCCATTCGTGGGCGACAACTTGACCGGCGATAGTCAGGGGCAGTCCGTCCTGATAGCGGAACAGCGGCATGTGACGAAGAAGAGAAGAGAAGTAAAAGAAAAAAAGGAAGACAAATAAAACCCCTTGATGTGTAACCATTGTCGTGGTCCAACCGTGGACCGATTACGACATGACACTTTCAGAATGTGGATTGGTTCCATAGTGTAGCCGGTTATCACTGCGGATTCTGATTCCGCCAACCCGAGTTCGAATCTCGGTGGAACCTTCCTTTTACTTTTTGCTTTCTTTTTGATCTCGCTAGCAACGGAGCTGAATCCATCTACTGCGGTATGCGTGCGTGCGTATTGGTTGCATATCAGCATCCTCTCGTTTTGTTCGGTCTTCCCTAACCCGCTGAAAGCTGTACAGCTCCAGGGTTAGGTGCAAATGAGGACTTTCGCAATATATTGTTCAGGACTAGAGCCACGCATCGGCCACTCCCTGTGGCTTGTGTGGAAATACCCTTGGCACATACGAGCAAGCTGTGGGAGAAGTATATACGTGTTTTCGCTTCAGTGTCGTTGAATCATTTCTAAATACCGATAAGAATGTCAAGCCAAACATCACTGCACTTATACAGACGGGCCATCGACTATGACGAAAGCGCTGCAGCGAGGTGTAACGCTTTTCGACATACAGACCACCAGAGCCACCCAAGAACAGCGCTGATGGCTGGCAGTCGTCGGCCAGCAGCACTCGCGAGGCAGGACCAGCGTGCAGCGGCACAAGCAATGGCTATGAAGGGTAGGTTAGGAATAGCCACACCAGCTTGCCAAATCGCAAGAGCAGATGAAGGGTCGCCATCCTATCGAACAAGAGAGCGTTCTGGTGGCAGGCAAAGTCAAGGCACCCCTTCCAAATGAGCTCAAAAGGAGAAACGATTCTCACCAGGTAAACTGAGCACCGTCGAATCATGCCAAGACAACCGGACAGGCAAGGGAATGCATGAGCAGAAACCATGTGCTCGTCTACGATGCGATAATTAGACATTTGATGGAGATTCATCACAAAGGAGTTTCAGGATCCAAGCTGACTTCCAGAACGAGTACAGGCTGAACCTCACAGACTATGTGCAGCAAAGCATCGACAGTTCCGAGTTCATTAAAAGGGATGCCGAGCTCCAATGCACCTTGTCGAAGCGTTGGCAAGAGCTCTCCAATGAAAAAATGGAGAACAACATGCGCATATTACGGTTTGCTACTGTAGTTGCTCGTCTTTCAAGGGCAGACGATTCGTAGTGGATATGTAGAGCAATAAATAAAGTGCATAAGGGGAATTTCAGCAAAGCACTACCTGTGTAACACCTTTTTGCGAAAAGAGTAGCTGTTGTCACCAATGTGATAATATCATCGGACATCTCCGTTTTGGATGCCAGAAGGTATTCGCATTAAATAAGGACAAAATACAAATGCCATATACTCATGTTTCATGCAAAGGTATCGTAGATGGCCACATAAAATAAATTTATGAGATTACCATTATACACAACTTGATTATTTCTATTGGTGTGTAATATAGAGCGTCTCTAGATTAATGCCACAATGCAAGCCTGTACAAAATAGCTACGTGGATTCATTTAAGTTTCTGGTTACTGTAACTAGCATGCTTCAATAAACCCTTCATTACTATACATTATGAAGCATAACGAGAATAATAAGAGATATCCCAGCCCTGAAATTGAATCTTGTCGGGCTTGGTTAGCAGAAGCATATGTCAGATTGTTAGTACTCATATTTGTAGGATAGCGGATATTTCCCATCTTCACATAGTCGGACGACATTGCTGTACGGCTGCTTTCGATCTGGTATTCGCGCTGCAGACCATCGCGGGCGAGCTTAGCAAGCCATTCGTGCTCGTATTTCTCGCGGTAGAAAATACACTTGAAAACCGGGTAGGCCAGAATGACCCAAATACTTGTGACACCGCATGCAACATCCAAGAAAGTTGACACCGTGCGGATAGCCCTATTGAGAGGGTATGTGGGAACTATGCTGTGTAGCAGCGAAGTCTGAAACAGTGTTGCAAAGGCAAGGAGGAAGACAATCAACGACTCACGAAATTCGTTAAACGCAGTCTGGATATGGCGAATCTTGATGTAGTAAAAGAGTGACACAAACCACACCAGCCAGAGCAGCGCCAAGCTCCCCCACTTGAACCCTTCCACATAGTGGCAAATCTCCAGTTTCGGGAGGTACGAGACAGTGAGCTCATCACTTATTAGCTGGACCGTTAGACAAAAGATCAGTAGTGCAGCGGCAAGGATGACGATTGGCATATAGTATGCCCAGCCAGTAAAGCTCTTGCGCTGGATGAAGATGCGGTTGAGCGCGTGGGCACGCAGCAGTACAATGGACGAGTACAGATAGCCGCCCAGGTCACGGAACCAGATGACCCACAGTTTGCACTTGCTCCATACACCGACGTTGTAGACGAGACCGTTGGTTGCAATATCGCCTAGAAACCACACAATACACGCAATATACATCACAGTGGTCAGAGGCATATTTTTGGCGCGGATTGGTCTGTAGTTTCGGTGAATGAGGGCGTAGAGTACCAGCAGCCCAGGTCACGCCGTAGAGCGAGGCAGAAACTGCAATGGTCACAGTGTCCGTCACTCCAACCGGCTCAAGCGTTTTCCCGAGGTCAGCAATACCCTATAATAAACAGTGGCGGATAAGTGAAAACAGATACCAAGAAGATTATCAATGCGGATATAGCAGACGGCACAAAAGTCCGCTATGAGCCTCAAAGGTATACTCATCCAAAACCATCACAACTGAGCATAGTCTGTTATAAGGTATATATGATTCTACGTTCAATGAACGCAGCCGTCTACAAATACAAGGCTAATACCTTTATCCTGTCCTCAACCGACAAATTTGGTGCCCTTTTGATGAGTGCCAGAGTAGCAGACATTGTTCGGAAAGTTTCCTTTTTCAGGTAACAAATTATGTTAAAAAATAGTAATACAATAGATATAAAAATTCAAACGGGTTGGGAAGAGAATGAATACGTTGAGCGAGAAGGGAGAGGAGTGAAATGGTAGAATAAGTAAGCGTAAGAGTTGAGCTAAATATAGTACTCAAATCTAATGTGGCTAAACGTCGCTCTGCGGTTCCCGGAGGATGAACATGATTTCCTAAAAGCCGAAAAGAATATGTATTGGTCAGCAATCAGCGTCCTTACTAGAAAGAAGCCTTTTATGCAAGCAGCCCATGGCCATCAGCGTGAGGCTGCATGTTAGGTGGACTGATAATCTGCTTATTTTAGCCTGCCAGTTCATATGCTAATGATTGGTCAAACACCGAGCTCATGTTCTTGAATGCAAAGAGGGAGGAGTAGGATGCATAGCCATACAATAATTGCCATTGTCAATCACTCGGCCAAACACCGCCAATATGCACAGCGTACGTTCTGAAGCGAACAGGTATAAATCAAGAATAGAACAATTGGCAAGCAGTCTACATGCGTGCATTAAGCTGCATAGTCCACCACAAATGCAATGTGTGAGCTGACAATTAAGGCAGAACAAAGGGGATTTGAAACTATCTTTGGAACAGTGAGAAGCGTGGGTAAGAATCATTAATGGGGATGGCCGAATGGCTAATGAACCATCACTACTTGCATGGTTCAATTGAGGTACAGGAGCTGCACAGCATGCAGTATGAGGAATGCAGAATAGCTGACGCAAATTACACGGATTGGAGACATTGAGAATACTTTGGTTATTTTTTGCTCCTCTCCACCCTCACCAGTTCCATTCAGGTATAGCTTTCACTTTGGACAGATTGGCTCGACTCTTACTTCATATCACCAAACTATGGAGCACAGTATCCATATTATTTTATACATCTCAATTTCCCAAAAGCACAGCAAATAGGATGCCTTCTTGGCTCAGTTGGCAGAGCGTCTGCCTAGTAAGCAGAAGGTCGCCAGTTCGATTCTGGCAGAAGGCAGGATCTCCTTTTTTGCTATCCCTAGTTTCGATATGACGGGAGTCAAGCGCAGCTGTGCCTGTTTTTTTGCATAGCCAGCGTCTATTCCAGCAAAAAAGCCCTACAACGAAATGAGCTGGTGCAAAAGAATGGGGCTCTGCCGGGGATTGAACCCGGGACCTCTCGCACCCTAAGCGAGAATCATACCGCTAGACCACAGAACCAATAATCATTTTTCACTGAATTTCGGGAAAATATTTTCATACAGGAATATGCGGTTACACATTGTATTACTGCCACTTGCTGCATTGATGTCTCCTATAGCCGCATTTGATTCCATGCTGATATGGATGGTGTTTGGAATTCGTATGCTGCTTGCATTAGGGAATGTGTCAATAGGTAATCTCATTTTGCCATGAGAAGCAGTCTGCGTTGAGTCCTATTTTTGTTATCATCTATCCCATGAATAGTCTACCTGGTATTGCTGCTCTGTGTGGCAAGGCATGGTGTCTACGTGGTGCGCACTAGTGCTAGCTTCATATGAGAGTATCGCAGGGAGCGCATCATAACTCACTTGATTGCCCCTAAGCGAAATGGTGCACGTTTTCCCGGGAATGTGGCAGGGGCTGGGTCCATGCTCAGTGAGTGTGTCCAGCAACCGAAGAAAGGTGTACTCCAACAAGGCACATGCATTGCACCTAGGACTGCCGCAGAGTGGGCGCCATGGTTGTCCAATAAGCTGGAAAGCAGCAGGTACGCCTAACGACTCTGCCTTCGCACTATTCTCTTTCATTCCTGCCTCTGACTTCTTAAAGTGTCTTCCTCACCATTATTAGGAAGAGCAAAAGCACGTATAGCTGCCCATATACCACTGGGATGTGCTGTGTGCCATCATATCTCAGCCAAATGCGCCGCATCCCTGATAGCGTGACCAGCCCGGATTCTGAATCCAGTTTGGTACACAACTAATGACTGATGGCTGAATCTTTACCTTTATATAAAACTTTATAGTCCTAAAAAGTGTCCGACCGTCCGCTAGAAACTATTTAATTGGTTAATAAAAATAAAACTCTTAAGCTTCAACACAGGTTTAGGTGGCTTGCTCCGTAAACTCCTTTTTGATCTTGTGCTGGTATCTGACCTCATCGGTGAAACCAGGGTGATAAGTTGTTATTGTAGTGGTCACTGGTCTCCTACTAGATATCTCCATTGGTTCAGTCGCAAGAGCTGCTCTCATTGTCGGTCAGCCTGATAACTTCCATGGCGTCATCATGGTGGTCATCACCGGACTGTCGCAACACTCTTAGGATATTTATCTATGAGCATCTATTGAATGAGGCCATATAGCTCTTTTAGCGGTCATGCAATATTTGTGGGTTTATTTTATAAATTAATTTGTCTTATGAACATGTGTAAGCAGTAGTATTTGGGCCACAATGGATCCCAGTCTGTATAGACTGATTCAAGAGTCTGTATCAGTGCTAAGGGCCCCAAGAACCATGACAAGCCAGATCATTATTAATAAAAAGTTCTTAATGCTATGCATACGCAATACAGCGAAAGCTGAACAGCATCATTTCTCTTCTTACTTGCCTATTGAATTTCTCAAATGAATATTACTCGCAGCACTACTGTCATAAAGACATCACTTGGTGGTATTGGCTTCCGTGATTCAATGTTGCCTCGCCATAGAGCAATTTGTACACAGCGTCAATATCATCAAAGAGCATGACATACATGCTTGCACGATGGATATTACTCCATCAACTAGCTGAAGATGGATGCTTTTGTTTGACATATTCCGGGCAAACCCTATGCCCATTCCGTCACCATGTGCCAGATCCAAATCCCCACCTGTATAAACTTTGTGGGCCCGGAACGGCCCCATCCTCTCCTTTTTCTCCTCAGCAAATTTTCCATTTGATTCATTCCATAAAGCTCATAACTACTGGACCCTCTGAAGGTTAACAGCTTTTGACCCTGCAACATTTGGTAAAAAAGGGTTTTTCATTCCATTTATTTGTTTATTTATCACAATCTGAAAGCAAAGACGGCCATATCTGCCGAGGATTTCGTTAACCGGATGGACAGGTCCGAAACTGTTAACCGCAGATTTCAGTGATGTAATTAGATATCATATCTATGATTATCTATTGCATAATGGCGATATTGAGCTACATGGATGTATGCGAACATGAATCAGGTAGCGACATACGTGGATACCGAGCTGATGACAGCATACAAGAACAACATTGCGTTGCACTATGGCACTTGTCTACAGCGGATTCTGGCCAAATTGATTGATATTCGCAGCCGCAAAAACACACTGCACAGTAGCAATGGGCAATGTGTCCTAAGGCTGAGTTCAATAATGCATGTCAAGTGTATATTTATACACCTGCACAGAAGCTCCGCCAGGCAGTTGCCTCTAGGCACCCTGATCTCAGTGTGCTCACCCCACCGATGCTTGCAATCTACAACAAGCTGGCACCAGTCCTTAATGCCTATGATGCCAAGTACAGATTCGCCAAAGACAGCCGATACTACGATTGCCAAGGTAAATCCACTTCAGCATCTGCGTGCATATATTCGTCTATGCCAGCTTATCGAGAATGAGTAAGCTTGGCAAGTCTCCTCCCTCAATGCTTGCCTCTGCGGACATCATAGGATCCCAGGCCATGTGTGCTTAGACAAGCAAATAATCAAGCAGGTGTTTATTTCGAAAACACAGCGAGCAGGTTACCAAGATCAACGCAGCAAAGGCAACAGAGGCAAGGAAAGCAGCAGAAAAGGTGAAAAATTGGCCAAGAAGGCTGCATGTGAAGCAGCGAAGATGCCATCGGATGCAACAGAGGCCACTGCAGCAACTGCAGCAGTAGCGGCTGATTCACTTGCTGCTGCATTGGCGGCAGCAGCAGACACTGTTGCAGCACTTAACAATGCATATGCACCAGCACCCCCAGTCTGTGCACACGACCCGGTCCAAGGGATCACACAATCTGTGTGGGATGTGTGGGGCCAGGTCGCAGATCTAACATCAAAGCCATTTAAGGCGCATGGTGATAGAGAATTCCACGGAATGGCAACAACAGATGGTGTAACGATATGCATTTTGTTGCAAGACAAGGTATCTAAGGCTGATGGTGCAGTAGATGCTGATGCTGCGGGAGGCGATGCTGCAGGAGGCATGCTGCGGGAGGCAATGCTGCAGGAGGCGATGCTGTGGGAGGCAATGCTACAGGCGATGTTGCAGGAGGTGGTGCTGTGGGAAGGCAATGACTATAGCTGACTGTCGCTATATCCACCAGATCCCACAGCCAGAGCTGCAGAATCTGAAAGGCCGCTGTGTATTCATCGATCCAGGTCGGGGCGATTCACTGCTATACATGATGCACGAAAATAGCAGCAATGGGAAAGAAGGGTGAAAAGAATGCTCTACCGCTACACACGACAGCAGCGACAATAAGGAGCTCAAGCTGCGCCACTATGACAGGATTCACTGGGCTACAAAGGATCAAGTCCCTAGAAGATGCTGTCCGCAGAGCAGAGGCAGAGCTTTCCAAGCACTGCTGCCAGGACCCTTAGCCCAGCAAAATTCCGTGCCTACGTTGCCTGCCTGTGCATCTGTGCGGTGTGTCCTAGCACCATTTTATGCCAGCACGATGACAGCGCGAAAGGTTACCAGAGCAGCAGCCCACTAAGTCAAACAAGCAGCATCCAGAGGCGCTGGAAAGGCCCATCCGGAGTGTCGGGATCCAGTCCCAAGGTGTACCCGCTTCACCGCAAGCTGCGCCTTGATTCATTCATGAACCAGGCCCGTGCAGACCACAGGCTTGCCGCGAAACTCCGGAGCAAGTTCGGTCCAGACCCAGTGCTGATCATGGGCAATTGGAGTGCGCCGATGGCCCGACACCATGCGCCGATTCGTGGCAAGGGATGGCGCGACAAGTTCAAGCACCATGGACTTTGAAGTCTATCTGATCGACGAATTCCGGACATCGTCGATGTGCCCGTTCTGCTGCGAAAAGTCGCTGCAGACATTCCGGTCATGTTCCCAACCCGCGGCCCTACCAGAGATCGAAGAACCCAACTGTGAAGTGCCATGGCCTTCTCCGCTGTACAAGCGAGTCATGTAAGCATGCTATGGCACAATACAGGCGGGCCTATTTGTCTCGGACTCTTGAACCGCGTCCTCGCAGCAGTTCTAAACTTCAGACTCGTTTTCTAGTCACTCTGTGGTTCAGGCAGTATTCCTGAACGGTTCCGTCGCTTCTATGGCCATTGCTACCGATGCTTCTGGCACCACTCCGGCAACAAAGAGGGCGCGCAAGAGGCGTGCAGCAGCAGGCGATTCTGCAGCCAGCAGCAGCGAGCCAGCGCTGAAGCGCCTGCGCTGAGCAGGCCACCAAGATGGGAAATGTCCATGATCGACATTGCACCAACAACCATCCTGACACGTTCAAATGACCGGTTTGCCGTGATGCTCTTATCGACGTGTCAACCCATGCTGACTAGCAGCCGAGCTCGCATCGCGAGCAGAGTATTTCTAGTAAAATGATAATATTGGTAGAGAAATGGGAAAATATGAAAATTTAGGCAGAAGCACCGGCAACAGCAGCCTTGGCAGCAACAGCCTCCTCGGCAATGGTACCGACGTTGGCTGCTTTCTTCGTAGCACGGACCTCGTTGACAAAATCAGCAAACAGGTAGCCAGTGTCCAGCGGTCCGCCCTTTGCCTCAGGATGGAACTGCACCGAGCGGAAAGGTTTAGACAGATGGCGGATACCCTCGTTGGATCCGTCGTTGGCGTTGACATAGTAGCGGTCCCATCCCTGGGGCATGCGCGAGTCGTCAAGCGCATAGCCATGGTTCTGTGAGGTAATAACGCACTTGCCAGTAGTCAGATCAACGGCAGGCTGGTTGTGGCCACGGTTACCAAATCGGAGCTTGTAGGCGTTCAGACCGGCCGCCAGACCCATGAGCTGGTTGCCCATGCAGATGCCGAAGATGGGGCGCTGGTAGGCGGTGAAGGCAGCACGCAGGTTCTCGATGGTCTTGGTGCAGTGAGTGGGCGAGCCGGGGCCGTTGGAGATGAAGATGCCATCATATACGATCGAGCTCCTTGGTGATATCATGGTTCCACGGGAGCAGCGAGACCTTGGCACCCTGGTCGCACAGTGAGCGGATAATATTGTACTTGACGCCACAGTCAATCAGCGCAACGTGCACGTCGCCGGACGGGGTTGAAGACACGGACGGCGTCGGTGGAGGCTTCGGCCTACAAGGTTGTCGACATTCGGGTCGACCCAGTCAATGTCCTGGGTCCTCAGTGGGCTTAGCGCCGACGCTCAGCGAGCCGAGGGTGGAGCCTTGGCCACGCAGAATATGCACAAGGGCACGCGTATCAACGCCAGTGATAGCCTGGGATGCCCTCGCGCTCGCACCACTCGGAGAGTGACTCGACAGCATTCCAGTGGGAGTACTTTGTGGCGTAGTCGCTGACAATGATGCCTCGGCACTGGATCTTCTCGCTTTCAAAGTGCTTGAGCAGACCGTACGAGTCGCGGGTGCGCTTCGGGACGCCGTAATTGCCGATCAGGGGCTGGGTGAAGACAAGGAGCTGTCCGAGATATGACGGGTCGGTCATAGACTCGGGGTAGCCCACCAGCGAGGTGGTGAAGACAGTCTCGCCGACAGTCGAGACCGGTGCGCCAAACGACCCACCAGTGAATGTCTCGCCGGAAGCGCAGCTGCAGGTGAGCAGTCAGCGAACCGGGGACCACCGGGTAGTGGGCATGGAAGGGCGCATCGGAGACAACCGAGGCGAGGCCACGAGTGGCAAGAGTCTTCTTGAGAATGGGGGAGCGGGTAAGCGAAGTTCATTATTGGCGGGATAACTTAGTGGCTCGATGTCTTCCAGACCTGATCGGCAATGTAATCGGACGAGTTCTTCTCGGAGCTATGCACGTACATGAACGGGCAATAGAGGGTATGTATATGTATGACTAGTTACACACGAAGGAAGGATTGGGGCGTCCTACGTATAAGGTGTGTAATGTGGCAGAGAAGGTGGTAGAAAGGAAAAAGTCAAGAGTTGTGGATTGTAGGGCTGAAGAGCAGGCGCGGGCCGCGGGACGGCTTTTATACGTCCAACAGATCGCACTACAGGACTATGAAACAGCGGGCGATATTTGAGTCTCGCCCAATCCACAACAGCGATTGGTTGGGCTGCTTGTCAAATGTGACTCACACAAGCCGCGCCCGCATTGTTGGCGCTGGAATGGGGAGGATGGTGGTCACTGCTGCTGCTGCTGCTGCTTGCAGTGCTGCCCTTGCAAAAGTACGTCTGGAGCAGTGGCAAAAGCTGCTCGGCGACAGCGTCACCCCACTGCGGACGCACAGAGGGGCTCCAATGCGACTGCATCGACAGGGTCAGCTTCTCCAGCACTGTCATGCTCTCTTTGCGGCGGAAGCGCTTGGCCAAATCAGCGCGGTTGTCCAGGCACGAGTGCTCCTCGATGACACGCGTCATCTCGCCTAGCAGCTCGTCGGGGATCGCGATCGTTGTCACACACCTCGTACTCCATTGCAAATGGCACGCCGTCAGCCGGTGGCTCGCTTGGTGGCTCGACATAGAAAACGTTGATGTCGCTCACGCCGTGAGGACCCGAGCCGCCGGGTGGCGACACTATCAGGCCCACAAACGGCTCAATGTCGCTCTGGCGGCACAGCACCTGGTACGCGTGCTGGTTGTGGATGTCGCGCACGGAAGGGTGTTGCCTCGAAGGTCGGGTGCGAGTGGAACCAGCCAACCACCTGCATGCCACGTGCAGCAAATACCCGGCGCGCCTCGACCTCAGACGCTGGGTCCATCTCGCATTCGGTCGTGGTGCTGGTGCTGTGGCATGGGAACGCAATGTCGACGTCCAGGCGCCTGGTGTCCGCCGAGAACCGGCCACCCAGCAACCCGATGATCTCAGTATACATCAGATGCGCGTGCAAGTCCATCAGCGCCAGCGCCCGCGCACTGACGCGTACCGCAAATGGCTGCGCACCACCAGCAAAGGCCTGGCATGGGATTAGCCGGAACTCGCTGTTGGCTGCCCATTTGCCGTTTGTCCTCTTCCGCCGCTTGCCCTGGCTGCTCTCGTCGCTTGAGTAGGTGTAGTCACCGTCTGCGTCATCTGCACGTCCTTTCGATAACATCATGGGAGATAACACGCCCGCCATACAGCTCGTCCTCATACACCCATTCGCCGTGATTGTTCCGTACCCGCCGGCGTCGTGCGCTCGACAGTGGCACATGCACCGCCTGGTCATCAGACGAGCTCGACACCTGCGAGTACCGCCGCCGCCGCCGCGGTGCGTCGGGGGGTTTCCGCACTGGCCCGCTGCGCCGCGTCGCCCCGATATTGATGATATTAGAGTTCTCCAGAAAGGTGTGTACCCGCCCAATTGCGTTGACATCACCGCAGTGTCGCAGTCCGGCACGTGCCTTGATTTTGGTCAGATACTGCGGCTTTGTCTGCTCCCACACATCCTACCATGTAGTTGCGGATGGTCATGTACCGCTCTGGCGTCTTGTTGGCCTTGCCTTTGAAGAACTCTGTGCAGCCTGCACGCTCTATATCGCATGTGGACGTCCGGTCGATTGCAAACTACAGGGCACGCTTAGCAGCAGGCCTGTGTATTGTGTGCGAGGCGCCCTGAATTGCCCTTACCTTTGGAGGACTGCCAATTTGGTTGGTTAAAGGCGGCGACTGCTGGTTCTCCGGTCCGTCCATTTGCACTATTCTCAGTTTAATTTAGGCAAAGCAATAATTACAAACATGAGGTTTAGAAAAAAAAAGGGAGTGGTGAGGAAGGAAAAGAAGAGAGGTGGCTCCGGGACAGAAGATCCTTGACAAATTTCTGCCAGCTGGAGCTGGGGCTCTATGGAGGTACGTGCAGCTGCTGCGCCGGTTTCCAGGTAGTTCCAGATGACCAGAGGCCGAGAGCCTAAAATTCTTCACTGATGCCTTGGTCCCTGCGCATAGGGGGCTGCTGCTGTAGGACGAGGGGGTGTGGTCTACAACGAAGCCTTGATCAGCGCTCTTCGTAGAATTTGTCGAAAAACTGCCTGTACAGAGCAAATATAATAAGGCGCCCGGCTCAAGTGACTTGCTGCAAATCCTGCAACCGCCTGCAACGGGTGAATGCGCACCGGAGTGGCAGTCCCAGCGGCGCATTTTTTTAGTGCTGTCTCTATCCCTTACGCAACCGCTTCTCTTTCTTCTCCTCACCGCCACTTGCCAAGCTATTATTTGCACTCTTTAACGATGACTTCTCAGTACCGCGTAAACTACCACCTGCGCGCGCACAAGCGCGACAACCTCATCGAGTTCATCAAAGGCATGCTCCTGACGCCTTTCGTCCTGCACGCCCAGCCCAAGCCGGTGACGCAGTCAGAGCTATCGGAAATCGCCCACTCGCCGCTCCAGCGCCGTCGCTCCTTGGCCATGGAGGAGAACGCGTTCCGCTACGCCGAAATCATGGGCAACATCCAGACGCTCATCGACGAGCACCGCGAGTTCACGAAAAACAGCATCCCTATGTACTCGCGGCTGGCCAAGCTGGTGCCCTCTATCGGCAATTTCTTCACTGCGCTGCCGCTGCGGGAGGCCTTCCTGCAAACAAACAACATCAACGCGATTTCAGCCCGCAAGCACGTGCCACCGAGCTTCAACGACATTAGGCGCATCCTGAATACCGCCCAAGTCATGGCCATCGCCGGGAACGTCAAGCTGATCACCTTTGATGGTGATATGACGCTGTACGACGACGGAAAGAACTTTGAGGAAAACAACGCCCTGACTGGCCTCCTGGTGAATCTGCTCAAGCGTGGCGTCACAGTGGCCATTGTGACTGCAGCAGGCTACGGTGGCAATGCCGAGCGCTACGAGCATCGCCTGTCTGGCCTGCTCAAAAACCTTGAAAAGGCTGAACTCACCGAGCAGCAGGTCAACCGTTTCTACGTGCTGGGAGGGGAATGCAACTTTTTGTTCCGCTGCAACGCTTCCTACCGGCTGCAGTTCCTCTCTGACGACCAGTACGAGTCCTCGCGCCTGCGCTCATGGACTGACGCACAGGTCCAGCCGCTCCTGGATATTGCCGAGCACGAGCTCGCCGACTGTGTTGCGCGCATGGGCATTAAGGCCAAGATCCTGCGCAAGGCACGCGCCGTCGGCCTGGTGCCGGAGCAGAAGCTCACCCGCGAGCAGCTGGATGAGTGTGCGCTGTCGTCACAAATGGCCCTGCTCAAGTTCCAGGGCCAGCCGTCGTCGACGCCCTCGGATGTGCCGATTCCGTTCTGCGCCTTTAATGGTGGTAACGATTGCTGGGTGGATATCGGAAATAAGCTAATTGGCGTCAAGATTTTGCAGGAGCTTGTAGGCTCGGCTCCCGACGAGACTTTGCATGTCGGGGACCAGTTTTTGTCAACTGGCAATGATCTGTCAACCAGGACTGCGTGCTGCACTTGCTGGATTATTAACCCCGAGGAGACCCAGGGGATCTTGACCGAGCTGGATACGTTCATGAGCCAGAAGGAGTAAGCTTAGAGGGCTCTTCATACACTAAAACCGGTACAGGATACAGCTCCATCATCTTTATAGGTGCATAGGACTCGTTAGGGTCACATCTGCATATCCATTTTGGTATGTCAGCATGTTATCCGCATAACTATTGCAAACAATATATTGTTGTCAAAGCCACACATGTTGCTCTCCCAGGCACTATAACTATACTGAAAGTGTGTCGCTTAGGCGATGGCCATCTTCTGGCGAGTAGCAAAGTGCGACTGCAGAGCCGGCTCAGGCCTCGACAGCAGCGATGACCTTCTCGAACTCAGGAGCATTCTCGACCGTAACGTAGGAAGCGAAGCCATCACCCTTCTCCTTGTTGTTGGCACGAATGTAGCTGATCATGTTGTAGAATGCGATATCAACATAGGTAGTGTTGCCTGCCGATGAAGTGGCCGTTGCTGCCGTTCTCGCGCAGCAGCTTCGAGTACACCTTGACAGCAGTCTCAATGAGAGCGATCGTCTTCTCCTTCAGCTGTGTCTTGCGCTCGCCTTCGGCGCCGGTGTAGAACACAACACTAAGAAGAATATCAGTGAACTGGTCACGCAGCTGCTCCTGGCGCGCAGCAGCCTTGGCATCAGTAGGAAGCAGATCGTAGTGTGCGCAGGATGTAACGCTCGATCACAATGGACTCGGTGAGCTCAAATGTGACATTATCGCTGGCATCCTTTTCGATCAGGACCGGCAGGCGGCCAAACGGCTGCTCACTCTTGGCCGCGGGCCACTCGGGGTGCTCCTCGGTCCACTGGGCGCCAACAAAGTTAAGCAGTGTACGAATGTTCTCGGCAAGTCCAGGAACGTCAAAGTAGCGCAGGGTGTAGCTTGAAGAGTTGGTCATTGTAGTTGTCTGGAAAGATGCAGTTGAAGAGGTGTTCTTGGGGAAAGAGTTGCTGCTGCTTTTGCTGCTGTTGGTAAGGTGTGGAATAGAGGGAAGCTCATCGTATGTTTTATACTGATCCAGAGCTGCTTACGTCGGCCGTTGCCCTGCTAGTGGCAAAACTGGGGACACCAGTGCTCCTCCACATGGTAAGCGGACATGCCGTTCGCAAGAAGGCATTGACCAGTCGTGGCTACTGCTGTGCAGTGTTTATCAATTTGTCAGCCTATATATTTTGGCCAGCGGGAATGCTATAGAATCTTGGAGGAGATACATGCGGGTTGGCACGGCGACTGGCCTGGAGAAGGTATACTCTGACGAAAGTGGCTTCTGAAAAGGGGTCCCTAAAATTTGATGTGATGTTGCCATGCATGGCTGACAAATGCTCATTCCTCAGGGGCCAATCTAATTGCAAATCAATAAATTGGAGATTGGGCGCTAGTTGAATAGCATTTTATCTGGATACTTCAGGTGTTCAGCCCGTCAAGCAAATATTTCCAGTATATATTGCAGCATTCCATATACAATATCCGGTGTAACATATGTCTACTGGGGTTTACGCCGGGTGAGCTGCTTCCATCCCAATATAGGAGGCGCAGAATCGCAAGCTTCAAAAACATAGATGTGAATATCGTGGCTAGTCAGGTGAGCCTGTTGTGCATTCTTTACTAGACATACTCTTATCGACGTGTCAACCCATGCTGACTAGCAGCCGAACTCGCATCGCGAGCAGAGTATGTCTAGTAGGTAAAATAGTTCAATCGTTGCCATGCCGATGGTCTAATGGATGTCAATGTGCGGTGATCACTGGATAAATGCGATCACTATCGCCCTAATTGATTACTGCTAATCTGATCCTATAGATAGTAAAGCGGGGGACTGGCAAGTGAAAGGGGGAATCGCTATCTCGCGCTGGAAACTGGGCGCAAGGCCTGAAGAATAAGAGGGCCAAAAATTAGCGATAGAGCAGTCCGGAATTGGCACAAATTCCACTTTATTGCTCTTGTCTTTTCCTTCGAGTTTTTTTATTTTCAATTCAAAGACAATCAAATCGAAAACATGCTGCGTGCCTGGGCGTTCCCTTACATGAAGCTGATGCACCCGTTCATCATTGGCGGCGTTGCCACCCTGTACACTTTTGCCAAGATTCAGGACACCATGTGCGAGTGTAAGTGATAGCAGAGCAGGTTAAGGGGGAGGGGGAGCCAACAGCAGAAGAGCTATACTAACATAATTTCTGCTGATAACACTTGTAGCTGAGGTGTACGCCAACGACCCGCGCAACCCGAAGTATGCCGAAATTCAGGCCAGGAAGCACAAGGCCGAGGGCCACTAAATTTTTGCGACGCCGCAGAGGTTTGTCTTTAAGTGTTTCTCTGTGCTTGAATACATCTTGTCCGTTTCGCTGCAGAGGGGGTTTTAGTTTTTTCTTAGTTGAACACCATAGTCAGGCGAACAATAGCCACTGAGGGTATAGCATTTAGGTGTGCACGGGGGACGCTGTATATAGACTATCCTTTTTTCTTTCTCTCTAACAGCTCTCGTTTGTACAGTGTTTTTGTGACTAAATGACACCAGAGGAGGAACGGCAAATAAAGGCAGCCAAGCGCAAGAGCCAGCTGATCGTCCCACCGCTAAACTTTGCAATGATCGCACCGGGAGTGTACCGATCGGGGTTCCCGAATCCCAAATCGCAGCCGTTCCTGCTGCAGCTGGGGCTGCGCACGATCATCTACATATACGATGGCGAATGCAAAGACTACCATCCAAAAATTCATCAGCGACAACGACATCAAATTCAGGCACTTTTGCGTGACAGCAAACAAGGAGCCGTTCGAGGAAATGGACCACGCAATGGTGAGCGAGATCCTGGCAGTTATTCTGGACACGCGTAACCACCCGTTGCTGATTCACTGCAACCGCGGGATCCGCCGAGTCGGGTGTGTTGTTGGGTGCGTGCGCAAGCTGCAGGGGTGGGCGATGACAGGCGATCTTTGACGAGTACCAGCGGTTCTCGGGTACCAAGATCCGGATTTCAGATCAGGAGTTCATTGAAGGTGTTCCAGACACCGGTGCACGTCGACCCGCAGTACAGACCACAGTGGCTGCTCATATAGAGGAAAGCAAAAAAGAGGGAGTAATAAAAAAACATACAAGACAAGCTAGATAAATCCCCGTTCTACCCCTTCATGCGGGGCTAACAGTCAAACTTCCAGATCTTGACAGACTTGTCCTTTTCCAGCGAGCCCGAGGCAATGATGTTTTTGAGCGGATGGCAGTCGACGCACAGGACAACATCAGTGTGGCCCTGCAGCTTCTGCACGATCTCCTTGGTCTGCAGGTTCCACAGGTAGATGCACTGGTCCTCGCTGCCCGACACAATCCACTTGCCGCCGGTGATGGAGAAGGTGCCAAAGCAGCAGTATGTCTCGTTCGAATGGCCCTTGTAGACCTTTAGGCATTTGCCGGTGTGGTAGTTCCACAGACGCAATGTGCTGTCGAGGGTCGACGCCAGAATGTACTTGCTATTGGGCGAGAACTTGACAAACGAGACCTGCGGGTTGTCGTCGTTGACGATTGTCTTCAGGCACTGGCCCGAGGCTACGTCCCAGATGCGGATGAGCCCATCATAGCTGCACGACACAAGCATGGTGCCGTCGCGGTTGAAGTGCACGGCTGACACAGGGTCGGAGTGGGCCGGCAGGGTCTTGATGCACTTGCCGGTGCTGACATCCCAGATGCGCACGGTCTCGTCAAACGACCCCGAGGCCAAAAGCGTCGACTGCGGGTTATAGCACAGGCAGAACACGTAGTTTGTGTGGCCACGCAGCACCTTCAGGCACTTACCCGAGTCGCGGTTCCACAGCCGCACGGTCTTGTCGTCGGAGGCCGTGGCCAGGTACTGCGAGTCAGACGACCACGCCACGTCCGACAGGCCGCCTGCGTGGCCTTCCAAGGTCTTGTCGTACTTTCCATTGTAGGCATTCCACAGCTTCACTGTCTTGTCAGCCGCCGAGGACGCAAGCCAGTTACCGTCGGGCGAAAACTTCACCGACGACACGCCCTTGCGGTGGCCCACCAGCGAGTACTTTAGCACATAGTCCGGCTTCTCCGGCATTGCGGGGCGGGCTGCAGCAGGCGTCTGCGCAGGCGCCGGCCCCATAGACACAGCCGGGCGCCCGGTCTCATTAGGAATCCGCCGGACATCCGCCCGATCCCCCTCATTCTCGCTAGCGCTCTCCTCCGACTCGCTCTCTTCTGCATCTGCCCGCCTACTGAGCGCCTTGCGCGCCAGCATCTTCGACGAAAACATCTTGCCGCCGCCCTTGCCGCCTCCCCGCGGATACACTGCAGGCTCCTCGTCTGAGCTCTCCGATGAACTCGTCGCTGGCGAATTACGCGATGGCGGCGCCGACAGCCGCTTGCCTGCGCCCAGAGACTTTCCCGCCGTCCGGTGCGAGTGCATCTTGCCCCCCATTTTGCCCGCCCCGGGGCGTGGCGGCGGCGGCTCCTCGAACTCGTCAGAGGACGATCCCGAGTCCGAGCTGTGGTCGCTGAGGTGCGGCTTCTTTGGTTGTGTCGGCGAGGGTGCTGGCGTCAGCTTGCGCTTTGAACCCGGCGAATCTGGTGCTTCGTCGGCCATTTTTCTTCCCGGTGTTGTTAGCGACGACCACCCGACTCCAATGAAATAGAATTGAAAAAGCAAAGAAATTGAACTAAAAAAAGTGAAGAGTGGTTTAGAAACAAAAACGCGTTTGGAGGGATATTGGCATTAAAAAGCTCAATGTTTTTACAGCCTTGCTTGATTGGCTGCTGGTGCGCACTATAATATCGTGACCGATACTGGGAGGTCTGAAGAGCGTGGAGCATATTAAATTTTTTCCAAAAAAAAAAAAATACTGTGCGAATAGCTGCACTCTACTCACATTCTTCTCCATGGACACGCTCGCCGACAAGCTAGCTGGCACGCACATAGGCCCTGTGGACGATGGGGCATTGCCTGGGTTGGAGGATGCGTACCGGAGCCTGCTTGAAGTAGTATCATATCCGATTCTGCACAGCGACAAATTCAAGCATCTAAACATCGAGCCTCCCAAGGGCGTTCTCCTCTACGGGCCACCGGGCGTGGGCAAGACGCACCTAGTCCGATCAATAGCCACCTCTACCAACGCCACCCTGACGACAATCCACGGGCCCGAGATTCTGACGCCATTCCTAGGTGACAGCGAGCGGTTGCTGCGGGAGAAATTCTCGACCGCCCTCCACACACAGCAGAATGGCCGACCAGCGATAGTGTTTATTGACGAGATCGACAGCATTGCGCCGCATAGGCAACAGAATGCAGGCATGGAGGCGCGGATGGTTGCGCAGCTACTGACGCTAATGGACGGGCTGAAGGGACGAGGCAGACTGGTGGTGATTGGCGCGACCAACCGGCCAAACGCACTAGATCCGGCTTTGCGCAGACCGGGGAGGTTCGACCGGGAAATCTCGATTGACGTGCCAAACCAGATCGCCCGGGCCAAGATCCTCCACCACTATTTGCAAGCAATGCCCATTGAGAATATCGACATTGCAGGGCTTGCTGAATCCACCAACGGGTACGTCGGCGCGGACCTATCGGCGCTCTGCCGCGAAGCCGCCATGCAAGCGATCCGTACAAAGGGCAAGGGAAAAGTGACGCAGCGCGACTTTGCCATGGCCATGCGGCACGTGCAGCCGTCGACCACCCGTGGCGTAGGCATAGATGTGGCAGAAACCACCTGGACCGATGTCGGCGGGCTAAAGGACACCAAGCTCAAGCTAATCCAGGCTGTGCAATGGCCGCTCGAGCACTCCCAGGTCATGCATAGATTGGGCGTCACGCCGCCGCGCGGCATTCTAATGTATGGCCCGCCCGGCTGCAGCAAGACGACGTTGGTGAAAATCATCGCCACGCAAACCAAGGCCACATTCCTGTCGGTAAACGGCGCCCAGCTCTACTCGCCATACGTCGGCGATGCCGAGAAAACCGTCCGCGAGCTGTTCAAACGCGCACGAGCAGCCAGCCCCTCTGTGATATTCTTTGACGAAATCGAGGCTATCGTCGGCAAGCGTATGTTTGAAACAAATGCCCAAGGCGACTCGGTGCAGGAGCGCATTTTGTCGACCATGCTCAATGAAATGGATGGGGTCGAGGTAACCAGCAATGTACTGGTCATTGGTGCCACCAACCGCATTGATATGGTGGATGCGGCGTTACTAAGACCGGGAAGGTTCGACCGCATCATCTATGTGCCGCCGCCAGACCGCGCTGCCCGCAAGGAGATTTTGGAGATACGGGCCCGCAGAATGCCATTAAATGCAACAGTGGATTTCGATGTGTTGGCAGATCTGACCCAAGGGTTTTCGGGTGCCGATTTGGCCAATTTGTCGCGCGAGGCCGCAATGATTGCACTGAGGGAGAATATCGACGAATCCAGGGTCAGCATGGAGCATTTTGACAGGGCGATGAAGGCAGTGCAGCCGTCGCTCAAGGCAGACCTGATGGAGTACTATGGCAGGATGCAGCGCGAGTTCGGGTAAGGGGCAGAAGCGCGACTGCCGTTCCTAGAATAGGCTTGGGGCCCAATGTATGCAAAGTTGGATCCAGAAACCGCATCACTGTAGATGGCACGTATAGATGTTTCAAGACATTCACACTATTCAAAAACAAAATAGCCGTAATACAAAAGTTGGGGAAGGGCCATGTAATGTCGCCATTTGTGCGGGATATGGCGAGGAGAACAGACAGCATGTAGTAGAGAAAGCCACAGATGCAAAAAAAGAAAAACAATGTACAAAGAGGAGCGATTTCTTTGTGTAAATGGGAAATATATGCGTCACATAGGATTAGTATATCTGAATCTGACACTATATACCTGCTGGGGAGGATACGCAATTGAGTTCAGCGGCCGCGCAATTCCAAAGATGTGGGTTGGCAGGAGAATGTGACCACCCCACCGAGGGAGGCTATAATCACACCAGGCACCGACGATCTGTGAGAGATCACCAGGAGTGGGTGGTATATAAAGAGTTCATGGATTCGGGTTGGCTGTGTCACCAAAAAAAAACTCTTTCTTTTCTTTCACATATTTTTCCCTCATATTACTACTATGACCTCGCCAGTATCGTCGCCAGCGCCGGTGATCGGCGCCCGGCTGATAAACAAAACAGTGAGCAGCACACAGCCGTTGCTGCATCGCACGCCTTCGCAAGCCAGCTTCAGCTCGTCGATACTGAAGGCTGGCACAGCGACGCCCAGTCGCACACAGCCGCTGAACGAAACCGGCAGCGTGCGGTGCATCCAGTCGCTGACCCAGCGGCCCGCAGGAAATGCCCTGGCGCTAACCGACGATTCGGGCGACTCAGTACTGACATTAGCGCAAAGCGACGACTACGTATTCAGCGGGTCGCAGCACGGCAGCATCCACGTGTGGAACCGCGACACATACCAGCTGGAAAAGGTCCTGCACGGGCATACAGCCGGGTGCCTGTCCCTGGCGCTGGACATAGGGCGCCGAGTGCTGTTCAGCGGCGGCGGCGATGGCAAAGTCCGAGCATGGGACATGGACAGCCTAAAGTGCCTGTATGTTGTGCATGCGGGAGTGAATTCTGGCGCCGTGCTGTCTTTGGAGTATGCTGAAGCGTCGGATTTGCTGGTGCTCGGGTGCCAGAACACGTCGATCCAGTGGTTCAATGTGGGCCAGAAAGACCTGGTGAGCCGCAGTGAGCGGAGGCGCGAAATGGAGAGCCGCAGGTCGCGGTTCTTCGACGACTCGGTCGAGGCCATTTCGGTGTGCGTGCCATCTCTGCCTTTGGCCAGCGACGACGAGCCGGACAGCTCCGAGTTCTACGTGATCTCTGAGTCCAGCATTGTGCAGTATGCGCACAGCGGATACGTCTACGGGCTTTTGGTTTCAGGCAATGTGTTGTTTTCGGCCGCCAGCGACGGCGCCATCAAGCAGTGGCAGCTGGCTGAGCATGGCATGGAGGAGCTGGCCGAGCTCTCCCGGTCGTTCTCCGATGGCGACTTGCCCGAGGACCTCAGCGTGCATGCACTGGCGCTCGATGACGGGCTGCTGTTCGCTGGCCTGCAGAGCGGCGACATCGAAGTCTGGGATCTCGAGACCAAGCAGCGCATCCGCGTGCTGCACGGCCACTCCGGCAACGTCTATACGCTTCTGATCCACAACCACAGTCTGTTCTCGGGCTCGGCCGACGGCTCAGTGCGCATTTGGGGAGCCGACCTGCAGAGCCTCGGGTGGATTGCCAGCTCCGGCGACGCCGTGCTGTCCCTGGCCATTTCCATGGACGACATCCTGATCAGCGGATCTAGCGACAACGCCATTGCCTTCTGGGACGTGTCGGTGATGGAGCCGCCAGCCGACGCCCCGGTGCCTTCGATGGCTGTGCCCAGAAGACGGCGCGGACGCCGCATGATGCAGGCGCTGGATCAGTGGATCAGATTCAAGTCGGTGGCGGGCGTGCCTGAGCTGCAGCCCGAGTGCCGCCGCGCCGCGCGGTTCCTGAAGGACCTGATGCGGCAGCTGGGCGCCAACGACGCGCGGCTGATCTCCAGCACGCCCGCCAGCAACCCGATCGTGTATGCACGGTTCGATGCGTCCCCGCAGACAGACCTTTGCGAGACTCCCACAGTGTTTGTCTACGGGCACTACGACGTCATGCCAGCCGGCGACGAGCTTCTGTGGAAAACTCAGCCCTTCGAACTGGTGGGCCGAGACGGGTATTTGTATGGCCGCGGCGTCACTGACAACAAGGGCCCGGTTTTGGCCACGCTGTTTGCTGTGTCGGAACTCCATGCGTCTGGCGACCTGCCGCTGACGGTTGTGTTTTGCATTGAGGGCGAGGAGGAAAACGGCAGCCAGGGCTTGCATGAGACCATTGCGAGCAATCGCGCGCTGTTCGGCCGCCCGCGCCTGATCCTGCTTTCGTCGTCGTACTGGCTGGGCGAGTCCACGCCCTGCCTGACGTATGGCATGCGCGGGTCGATCCGCGCCAACCTGCGCATTGAGAGCACACGGCCGGCCGATGTGCATGCGGGCGTGTGGGGCGGGGCGGTCACTGAGCCACTCACGTGCCTGTCCCATATTCTGGCGCAGCTGGCGGACCCGTCCGGCCACGTGACCATCCCCGGCTTCCACGACTCAGTGCGTCCCGTCAGCGACAAGGAATCTGCGGCCATGCGCGAGCTGGTGCAGTGGATCTCCGCGCACGAGTCGGCCGCTCCACTGGTCGCCCGCACCGTCATGTCGCCGCCCGAATCCCACGCATCACCCAAGTCTACCGCCAGCTGGGAATCGGTGGGGCCCATAGATGCCCGCGATGATCTGTTCGACCAGCTGATGCGGCGCTGGCGCTTCCCGACGCTGACTGTGCATCATGTGGACATATCCACTGTGGCCGCGCGCACCAACACCACGTTAATTCCGGCTGCCGCCCAGGCGTCGCTGAGCGTGCGTGTGGTACCCGACCAGTCGCTGGAGGATATCTGCCAGAAACTGCGCAGCCATGTGGAGACTATTTTCAACCAGATGCAGCAGACACGCCATGCCAGCAACAAGGGTGTTTTGGACAACCTCAGGCTGCACCTGGATGTCCACCCGAATGCCCAGTGGTGGCTGGCCGACCCCGACACGCCTGTGTACCAGGCGGCCGCCAGGGCTATTCGCGAGGAGTGGCAGATGGCCAATCAGGCGCATGTCCCGCTGCTGATTCGCGAGGGCGGGTCGATTCCGGCTGTGCCCTGGCTCGAGGAGTTCTTTGGGCCCAATGCCATAGCTGTCAATCTGCCCATGGGCCAGTCCTCGGACAATGCCCATCTGGATAACGAGCGCATTTCGCTGGTCAACTTGGTGCGCGGCCGCCAAATCGTCTGGCGCCTGCTCAAGGACATTGGCCAGGCTTTGCTGATTAATCCGCCTTCCCAGCTCTAATCAGCACCCCTACACCAACCTACTGACGACACTTCTAAAAACCCCACCTCTTCCTTTTCACATTCACGCATCACTTTTTTTCCTACTCTTTCATTCTTTATTACCATGGGCATAAAGTACGTCTTCCTAGTTAGTCGCCAGGGCAAATTGCGCCTAGTCAAATGGTACATCACCTTGCCGCAGAAAGAAAAGGCCAAAATTGTCAAAGAGGTCAGCCAATTGGTGCTGGCGCGTCGGCCCAAGCTGTGCAATTTCATCGAGCACAAGGACACCAAAGTGGTTTACCGCAAATACGCCTCGCTGTACTTTGTCGCCGGCATTGACATGGACGACAACGAATTGATCACTCTCGAGATAATCCACCGCTTCGTCGAAGTGCTCGACCGCTACTTTGGCAATGTCTGCGAGCTCGACCTGATTTTCCACTTCCAAAAGGCGTATTTTGTCCTGGACGAGATGATCATGGCCGGCGAGCTGCAGGAGTCGAGCAAGAAGACCGTGCTGAGAGTCATGGCGCAGCAGGACGAGACCGAGGCCACAGAGAATGCCGAGCGCGGGTGGGGAGATATCAAGTAAGTACCAGGGGAATAGGGCGCGATGGCTTGCTGTGTTTTATCTGTCAATTGAAACCACGACACTTTTCCTTTTTCCTATAGACTCGAAGATATTTTGGATGCTTTCTAACTACCTTACCCTTTTTCTTGATATTGTATTTTTTAGCTTGGAAGGCATTGCCCGTACTGCCATGGTTACCGTGCAAGAGTTCAAGCAGTCGTTCACCCGCTAATACCCGTTTTTCATTTACTCCATAAACTTGCCACAATATCATTTCTGATTTCAGAAACAAAGGCCATCGACATCAGCTACCAAAAAAAAGAGAAACATCCATTTGCTTCAGCTCGCTCTCTAAACAAACCGCAGCCATTCGCTGTTCCATCGCACTTCATGGGTATTATCGCCGACCTGGGCGGCTCAGCCGCCGCAAAAATCACCTCAACCGAAGAATACCAGGATGCATTGCAGCGCAGTTTTCTGACACCGCTGGCCCATGCAAGCCCTGGAGACCAGGCCAACATAATCGGCGTGGTCACGCACTGCACAGAGCCCAAGGAGACACGCACCCACGACTACTCGGTCTGCATAAACCTGGTCGATCCCTCACTACCGCTTGCCGGCTTTCTTCCCTGCATTGCATTCCGCGCATCACTCAACCAGTGCCGCAATCTGGTATGTGTTCCCGGCGACATAGTAGTATTTGACCGAGTCAAAATCCAAGTGTTCGAAAAGGCGCATCAGGCCGTCGGCTTCAAGGACAAGGAGGCGGATATAGTGCGCGTGGGCATGTCGGTGGCCAAGATGCACCCAGTGGTCAGGTATCTGCGCGAGTGGTGGCAGCAGCGACCGGTTAGCGAAATCCTAATCCCGGCCAAGATGCCATTAGAGCATATGGAGGGTATGCGGACAGAGAAGCAGAGGCCGGAAGTCACCAGCGGCAGCCGACCGCAAGCGCCCAAGCCCATGTCGGGCTCGAAAAACCTGCAGCAGGTGCACCAGCTGGTTCCCGGGAATTTTTCCGACATAATCGTCGAAATTCTGCATGTCACGCACCACGACCGGTCCTGGCACTGCCTAGTCACGGACTACTCTGAGAACCCGCTAGTGCACGAAACCAAAACACCAACCACGCCCGTTGTCGGCGGCAAGCGCCTGGTGCCGTTGATAATCAACAACCCACAGTATATCCCTGGCCTGCCCAGCGAGCTGTTGCTGAATGCTTTTTACAAGTTCCGCCGGTGCCATGTACGGGAGACCGATATGGATGGTCTGCAGCTGATGATGATGCCGGATGCAATGTATCCAGACAAAATCCTGGTGCGCATGGTGAAGGAGGACAGCGAGGATTTGCGTCCGTTGCTGAGGCGCCGCGCAAAGTGCCTGAGGCAAGTGAAGCCGCGCAAAATGTCAACGAGACAGACGGACTTGGGCGCAGGTACCAAGTCCGCCGAACCTATCAAAAGCGCTTACCGAAATGCCGCAGTAACACCGATCGCGGATATTCTTGGTGGCAGTGAGGTGAGTCTTCTTGGGGCTCGGTGGAATACCTGGCTGTTAAACACATGTAGTGTGCATACCTTCCTATGTCCGAGAACCGCCCACAGGTATTTGAGACCCGAATGCACTTTGTGCTGACTGAATAACCCTTCCCGTAGATGAATGCGCAGTACCGCATTCACGCCCAAATCACCAGCACCTACCCCGCGCTAGTTTCCAGCTGTTCCGTACATGTTTGCGGTCACTGCCACACACGCCTGGTGACCAGCACAGCCTGCTGCACTGGCGCAGGATCTGTCACCGAGCACCGCTTTGTGCTGGAACTGACCGATGCCTCAGCCTCTGTTCTGGCCGTCTGCCAAGGCAGCTATGCAGAGAGATTGCTGGCGCGCGTGCCTGCCTCGCCTGGGGACGGATCGCTACGATCGCTGTGGCCGGCCGGCCAGCCGTTTGACTTTGGTGTGGCGAGTGTGCTGCTGCCGGGACCTGGACCGGCGCATGGATCGCTGGTCAGGACGCTGGTTGTGGTCGACATGTAAAGACAAATTGCCACAGTGTTTTTTGGGGATGGCTGGCAAGGCCCTGTTGTTGTGATTTGCTATCTCAAGACCATCCCCCGGATTTCTAAACTCCTCGCAGTCACTCGGTGCTCCGCACGCCTGGGTTAATTTGTTAAGAAACCAGGTGCCATATTTTTTCTTATCTTGCAGGCATCTTGCTTTTTTCTCGACTTTTGCGCTACCTGTGTCCACGGATTACGGACATGGGCCACGGGCGGAAACAGATCTTTTTCCCTTTGCAATACCTTCCTGATCCGAACATTTCACGATGAATCATAAGCTGCCCTTTCCCACATGTGCACTGTTTGTTCACACGGTGATGACCCCCCAGACATGCATATCTCGCAATGTGGTCAAGTTCGCTGGTCAGTAGAAGAGCGCGTCTCCTCCCACCCACAAACCAGTGTCTGTATAACCTGCTGCGCATTGAGTGGCACACACATGTCTTTGCTCTTCCGTGATGCCTCACATTTGGCACCTCCTTTGTCATCCAGGTCCCACCAGTCCGAAGTCCGAGATGCGGAAACGCAGTCTTATTCGCACAAAATAAAAATTGCGAAATTCAGATCGACATTTTCCGTTCGCAAAACCCAGGATCATTTAGACGCTCTTTCTCTTTGAGAAACCTATTTGGCTCAAGTTCCGAAGAGATTCGCCTTTGGGGAAGGCGATAGGTTTTTTTTTTTTTTCGCTGTGACTTGTTTCCCGAGAGGAGCCTTGCCCAATGCCCCCCACTGGGAACTCGCGGGTAGCTTATATAAAACGGCCATGTGCCTGCGCTTTTCCTTGTTTGAAGTATCTGCTGTCTTGCTGGTATCGCTACATTCTAATATTCCCTACTATTCTGCTCAATATCCCTCCATCAGATTTCTCCTAGCCTCCTTTTTCCATACACGGAATCCGATCTTCGCTAAATACAGTATAAAGACAGACACCACACTGCATAATGTCGCACATCAAAAATAACAGCGACGTGACCACGTCGGAGATTGAACACACTATCCGAGACACGGACACCATGTCCACAGTGAGTAGCCGCAGCCCCTACACCGACAAAGTATCGGAGTACTCTGAAGATGGCCGGGACAACACTGCCGACGAGAAGGGAAGCATCCGGGAATCGCCCTCATCAATAGATGTCTCGCAGCCCCCGCCCCGGTGGTGGGAGAGTAAGTCGTACGAAGAGCAGCCGGTTGACGGTAAATATGGGTGGATCGTGGTAACCGCCGGTTGTTTCATGCTGATGTTCTCTATGGGCTGTGTCAACAGCTACGGGTCGTACCAGACGTATTACCATGCACACCAGTTCCCAGAAGAGGACATGTCGACCTTAGCATGGATCGGTACTCTGCAATTCGCTGTCATGAATGCGGTCGGCATCCCAGCCGGAATCCTGTGCGAGCGGCTGGATTCTCGTCTGGTCACCTTCCTCGGTGGTATCATCATGGGCGTCTCCCTGATCATCGCGTCATTCTGTGACTCAGCTGTCTGGAAGCTGATTCTAACACAGGGAATCGCCTTCTCACTTGGCGCATCCCTGGTCTTTATCCCTGCTACATCTATCCCGTCCCAGTGGTTCGTCAAGTACCGCCCGCTGGCCATTGGCATTGTTGTCGCTGGCAGTGGTATCGGTGGACTGTGGCTGACTCCGGCTACCGACAGTATGATCAAGAACCTTGGCACCGGCTGGTCTCTGCGCATCACCGGCATTATCATTATCGCCGTTAACTCTGTGTCGAGCATTTTCATGCGCAACCGCTTGAAGGTGCAGTCACGCGATAAAGTCGTCGATTTTGGACTTTTGCGCGACATCCGGTTCATGTTCATTTTCGCCGGCTCCATCTGTGCAACCACTGGCTACTTCACCCCCTTCTTTGATATGCCAACCTATGCGGCCAAGGTCGTCCACATGGAGGAAAACCTGGCCAGCAACCTGGTCACTATCATCAATGCTGCATCGACTGCCGGCCGTGTCTTGACAGGCCAGATTGCCGTAATCCTGGGCAACATCAATGCCCTGGTCCTCTGCATGTGCATTGCCGCACTCAGCCTACTGGTCCTGTGGCTGCCGTTTGAAACTCCTGGTACCGTCATTGCGTGCACGATCATTTACGGCTTCTTCTGCGGCGGCTTCATCAGCCTTTTGCCCGTCATTATTGCCAATCTATGGGGCGTCAACCGCATCGCGACCATTATCGGCCTGCTCTATATTGCCAATTTTATCGGCACCCTTTGTGGTGCCCCGTCGTCGAGCGCTATCCTGGATAATATTGGTCATGGCACCAATTTCCGTCCTACTATTGCATTCTCGGGTTGCTTTATGGCTGCCGCATTCTTGATGTTCTGTTGTTTGCGCATTGCAGCCAGCAGGGATTTTAAGAAGAGGATCTAAGCCCTGGTCTTTCTTTTTTGCACTTTTTATTCACAACCAACAACCCATATTATAAATGCACTACTTTTTGGAATCCATGTTTGTACTGTTGTGTTTGTTGAATGTATCAGAAAATTAGATTACTTCTCCTCACCCTTTTCCTATTCTTTCCTTTTATTCTCGAATCGGTCCAGTCACCAGCCTGGTCTCTTTGCTTCCTTTTTTTCGCCAACTCCCTATTAATCTCTTCAAGGCTGCTTTGGTCTGTCTCTTTTCCAATATATTCTCTTTTACTTGGGTGCTACAGCCCGACAAAACTCAATAGCTCGTAACCTCAAACACTCTTTTGGTTGTTTGCTTTTGGCTGTGTCTTCAGCCGCGTCAAGCTATGTAGTGGAACGTGATCTTATGTGCTTATATTGATATATGGCACACTACTGGTCACATAATGCTCCGTTGCTTATTAGCTGAGCGGAGGAATCACAATAGAGTATTCACCCACCCTTGAAGTATGCAGCTACTCTACAGGGTTCAAGTGTGTCTCGTTCGGCATGCTTTGGGTGGTATGGATTATCATCGGCGTGTATATTATTCGTCTGCGCAACATTCAGCCCAACTACAACGATTTTTGACATTTCAGTGGCATCTACGTGCTGTACCTAGTTGCCATGCTGTTCACAACACTTGTTCATTTTATTCGCCCACGATATCCTTTCAGCCGTATCTTGCGCTGCCTTTTAACTCCAGTCGACCTGGTTGCCGGAAATTTGTGCATCTGGATCCTGATGGTATATCCTGCCAACCAGTGTATTTTCCACCGCGGCGAATACCTGAATACCTGGCCGCTTCGCCTGACTCATTATGAACAAAAGGCGGATATCCAGGCTAAGATGGAGTAGACTGTCAGAAGGTTACAAGCGATACAAGTATATTGTAGAGAGGGCTGAAACATCTGAAGATATATGTATTGAGAAAGTGTGAGAGAGTGCAGGAAGGTACTAAGCAAGTAGAAAATATAGAAGAAAGACAAGAAGGATCTGGTCTAGTATTGGACTGGGTAGCAAAATATAAAGAGAAAATAGAACAATGAAATAAGGAAAATCTAATTCTGATATAGACTTCAGAAAGTACCAGCAGTATACTACATGCCGATATGGCTGCTTTCCAAAGACAGAACACACACTTTGCTAGAGATACATACACGCTAAATCCAAACCCATATGGATATACTGCAAGCATAATCGAGCACGCCATGAGCCTCAACCAACCAATATATCCCGAAAGCTATTCTCTAAACTCTGACGATATACAAGGTTCTTATGGATGTTCAGAGCGTATTCTATATCACATTTCTTAGCTGAGAAATATAAGCCAAGATGCATTTATTGTGGTAATCTACTGGTGATAGCATGAAACTTTATAGGGTGGCTAGGAGTTCCTCGCTCAGTGCATCTACTTGGTAAGTCAGACTGGATGTTCAGCTGGCCGCCTAGCTCAAGCTCTCCTGGCTGAGCTGGAAGTTCTTTCTCGTCTGCTGTATCGTCTTGGTGCGAGAATCTTACACTGACAGATTCCGAGTATTCATCAACTTTTTTGTATACTGACGCTATCCTGTCACTCTCTAGCTGCAGTAGCCAGTCTTCCAAGTACACTCGCCGGTAGAATATACTCCTAAACACTGGTGTGAAAAGTATAATCCATACTGAAATATTTGTGATGCATGTATCAATAATCGCTGACATTGCTCGATACCCTATGTTAAGCGGGTAATACGGAACAAGTCTTGTGAACAGAGCCGTGTGTAGGATATTAGATATTCCCAGGAACAGGATTATTAAGAACTCGCCGATCTCGCTAAACAATGAGTAAATTTCACGAAGACGCCAGATTATAAATCTACAGGCGGTCAACGATATCCAGACGAATGCCATTCCGATATAGAGAAAGTACAATGAGATACTGCACATTTGTACACGTGAGATAAAATGAACTGGTGACTCACCACCAGCAGCATGTGCGCTGGTACAGATTACGAATATGATAGTAAATAATGCTGCCATCGGTATGTAAAATGGCAGTCCCCGATCTTTCTTCCCTTGAGCAAAGATGAGATCTATCGTATAGGCGCGCATAAGTATGGCAGCAGCATAGGAACATACGAAGAATGCCCTTACCCAGATCACCCACAGCTTGCAATTCTGCCAAAATCCAACAGCATTAATATGGCCATTTGTGACCATGTCGCCTATATACCAGATGATGCCAGAGAGATACATGAGTGTTGTAAGCGGAAGATTCTTTGCTCGAATTGGCGGGTAAGAGATGTTGAGACATGCGTATATAACTAGAAGTTATGTGGTACCAAGGATTAATGTGCATGCAATTATTGTTGCACGGTCAGATATCCCGACAGGATCCAGTGCTTTTGACAAAAGGCTTCCTGCTGCTGCAATTCGGTCGGTGTCGGATATAGCTAGGTACATAAGGTATAAATATGAAGAAGAAAAAACAAACTATGTAGAGGGCCAAATGAAAATCGGCCGAGAATGGGGTGATAGGGTAAGTATTATAATCAAATATTTGCACAGCAGAGCACTCAGGGTTGTCCAAAGATAAAATACGCAAAAGGGTAAAGAACACGCTATTCACAATTGTCCAAAAAAAAAGTATGTAATAAAAATACATTGCTTTTTGCCACTATTCATGCACTATAAACCATGCTACTTTGCAGCTTTTATTATGTTCTATATCTAATATCTATGGTTGAATAAGTCTCATTTAAAGAATGCCATCAAAGTCTGGAACATATAAAAAAAGCCATTGCAATGGGTATGTATATCGCTGGCTTATGCAAATAAGGAAAATATGGCGACATGTTTAAGAAAAAGTACAAGAATGAAAAAAAGTAACAACAAAGCAACTGCTGGTTGCTAGAATATTATATTTGTGTATATATTATTTTCTAACGAAGTCATGTCGTGCGTCTGCGACGTCTGGGCTTGAAGCTCCGAGTCGAGCCCCCGAATTGCCCGATGATCCGATGTCCGAGTGATCGTCAATGACTGACTGCTACTGCGCCACCCGATACTCCATATATGGGTGGTATGTATGTCGCGACCTTCCATGGTTGTGCATAAGTGCCCGACGCTGACAAATGTAGTCGACGTCGCCGTGTTGAGCAGGGTAATGTCCTACTATAAAAAGTATGGATTGTTGACAGAGAGAACCAGGGAGAGGGACAGACAGACAGAGAACGACCGACGACCGCCGAACAGACTTTCTATATTAGTGATTTCAATTTATTACTTCTAAGCACTATCATGACGACGCCCGCTTCTGCGGGTATGCCAAGGGGCGTATGTACCGCAAGCCCGAATGCCCCCCAACCCTCTGTGGGAGCAGTCACCCCCGACCAGGAGGAAACGCTGCTCACTGCAGACACGACAAGTCATCAAATGGGATGCCTTCTTGGCTCAGTTGGCAGAGCGTCTGCCTAGTAAGCAGAAGGTCGCCAGTTCGATTCTGGCAGAAGGCAGTGTCTCTTTTTGCCATCCCTAGTCTCGATGTGGCGAGAGTCCAGCGCAGCTGTGTTTTTTTGCGTGGCCAGCGTTTATTTCCGCAAAAAAAAGCCCTACAACGAAATGAGCTGGTGCAAAAGACACGGGGCTCTGCCGGGGATTGAACCCGGGACCTCTCGCACCCTAAGCGAGAATCATACCGCTAGACCACAGAACCAGTGAAATATTTTTCTCTGCTCGGCTTGAAATTTTTGTATATATATAGTAATAGATCCACATGCCAATATTCAATTTTAAAATTTTCCATATTTTTTTTAAAATAGGGAAGCATTGTTGCGCGCCCGCTGCAGCTGTCCCTGACGTCGACATGTCAGTCAAATCAGGTGATGGCAAGCCAGCCGCCAACAAGACCCCCACTATAGCCTACAATATAGAGGCAATATTTAGCCTCTAATGAGTTGTATAGATTGCCATATTGGAAATACCCCTAAATAACTCATCTATTCCTTTTTCCTTCTTTTATTCAGTATTAAATATATCCTTTAAAACCCCCATACATTCAATAAATACAACAGCATAACTAGACTAATTACTGGGGGTCATTCTTAGACTTGTAAATTTTAGTAAATTATAGTTTTGTTAGTTATATATTTGATTGATCATTTTCAGAATAGATTTTTAATACTAATTATTTTTATCATAGATAATACTAATTTTTGTATTTTATTAATCATTTATAAACACAGAAATATTCTGGACACAATATTTAATAGCATCTATACTAAAAATAATTACTAGTAAAAAACTATTCTGAAAATGATTATTCAAATAGCTATCTAACAAAATTATAATTTACAAAAATTTACTAGAATAATAACTAGATATGAAAGTGCATCTCTATGCAGCATGCAAATGATGGTAGTACCAATATACCCACTGATACTGGCAGTATCATTTTATGAGTCTGTCAGGGCATCAGCTGTGGTTGCCCTAGTAATAGTTGTGGGGTGTACAATATCCATGAATGCGATGCTGAGTGCAGAGTAAAGGCAATGATAAAAGTAGTAAGACAGCCTTGAGCTTATGTTAAGAAAAAAGTCTGCCTAAAGAGGGAATTTATTGGTACCAATAGCCATCGCCACGAGTACCTACGCATTTTTGCGTTAGGATAATGCCACAAAAGAGATAGCATAGTCGGTTTCCCAGGAACACACAAGCAACGAACGGAATAAAAATGGGAGCACGAGGCAAAAGGAATCGTCAACAACAGGATTTGAACCTGTGCGGGCAGAGCCCAAGTGATTTCTAGTCACTCCCCTTAACCACTCGGGCATATTGACAACCAGCACAATCACTGATCCGAAACACTCATGTTGGAGGGCGGAAAATTAAAATATACAAGAACAGCAGGAAATGCTGCTAATAAGGGGGTGTGGATAAGTTTGTATTTCAAAACTTTAGAAAAAGGAAAAGAGAATGGAAAACTAGTAATGCCATGCATTAGCCTTTTTGAAGATTCCGCTGCAGTGTGACGTCTGACCTCATCGGTGAAACTGGGGCAGAGAGCTGTGATTATAGTGGTCACAGGTCTCTGCTAGATATCTCTATTGGTTTAGTATAAGAGCTGCTCTCATTGTTAGTTGACTTAATAACTTATGTAGGCCATTCATAAATAAGGAAAATCAAAGAAACTAAATATCTTTTATTAGAATAACCAATTTACAAATTATAAATCAATTACTAGTAGTAGATAAATATTTTAAAAATCAGAATGTTTACTAATGGCCAAAAAAATATTAGCAACTAGATTAACAAATAAACAAAAATGTAAGAATGGGCATTTCTATGAAACCCCTATCAGCATCCTGAAAAATTTCAGTTGATTTCTTATGACCCAGCCTCTATCTCAGTAGAAGCATATTAATTGTATATCAACTGAAATTTTTTAGGATGCCAATAGGGGTTTTGTAGAAGAGTAAAAATAATAAAAAAAAAGTTTTATAAGTTATAAATATATTTTACCTTATTTAACAATTGTGAATGACCTCCATAAGCATGCTTTTACACTCACTGCATCTATTAATATAAAGATCTCAGTGTCACTGGCTATTTTTAAACCTCTAGATATCATCAGAAAGTGGATATAGCCATCCTAATTATTTCATCTATGCTATTCAGTATTATTGAAATGTTTACCAATTACTCTTAGTAGAACTGAAGATACTATCCTATTCATATCTAGAACCTGCCACTTACTATATTCATGCTCCTTACAGCACTAGTATGGTTTATTAGTAACATTTCAATCAATGAGAATGTGATTATTATTAGGGCATAGTAGCTTTGCAACCTGTTCATAGTATTCTTTTGCATTTCATCAATATATGCATTTTCATCAATATTATTTATCTGCATCTATACCCTTGGTCTCATTTTCATCCAAAAGAAACCATACAGTGGCTGGCTTTACTATCTACCTGTCACTGTTCCAGTGGCCTGTAGTATATGCATAATAGTAGTTGGGCTGAGCTTGCCTAATGAGGAGACTATCCCTTTTATTCTTAAAGTTTAGGTATGCATAACAGAGCACACACTTTCATATTCACTCTATAGCTTCCCTTTTGCTATCTAGGTCACAATCTGTGTGGTCATGTGGACATTATGAGGAATAGGTTGAGGGTTCAATAGGCTCAGGATTTCACAGCGATTACAGCCTTAAGATTGGCTGATTTGTGCTTAGTAATTATTTTGGTAGCAGTCAGTCCTCATTACTTCCTATATGGAGGTCATTCAGAGCTAGTTATCTGCATAACAACTATTTATACATGTTTAAACTATTGGCAATTTCAGTGAAATAAAAATTTCACCCAAACCGCCATCGGCATCTTGGAAAAGTTTCAGTGAACATAATTTCCTTGTGGTTGCTTAGCCACATCTATTGAGATATTGACTTTTGTTGCCCAATGATAATTAACCCCAAATATGCAAAGGTTTTTCTTTCTGGTTGAAATTATGTTCACTGAAACTTTTCCAAGATGCCGATGGCGGTTTGGGTGAAATGGCAAAAAAAATATTTGTATTTTTAAAATCAATTATACACACAAAAACATTCTGGACACAACAATTATAAATATCTGTTACAAAAATATCTAGTAGCAAAAAATAGTTCTGAAAACGATTATTCAAATAACTATCTAACAAAATTGTAATTTACTAAAATTTACAAGTCCAGGAATGACCCCCTTCCAAAGTGAACTAAGAGCATTACTAACAAGAGTGTTGTCAGAAAGAAGAAATATGCCTGATGTTGCTGATGCTAGGTATACTGCTAGAGGTGTAGAGCAACTTGGATTTAAGCACTCTTCTGAAATATTTGTTGACTCATTCATTGTTGAGGTTGTTGTTGAGAAATGCAGTGAATCAGATATAAAGGTGAAGCAGAAGTCAGCTAGTGTTAGATTGCATAAAGTATTTGGAGAAGGTTTTGGTTATAAGTATGTTAGAAGCAAGATTAGTGAGCAATATGGACCAGTTGCTATTTACAAAGTATCTACCCCAAACATTGCAATAACTAGTTCTTTGTTAACAGTGAAGTTTGCTACTATGGCTGATCACAAAATATTTCTACAGAATTATGACATCACAATGGATTGTATGAATATCTCATCTAGAAATATTATCTATAAATACCTTTTAGAAAGAGGAGTTGAAAAGAAAGATGTTGTAGATGATTTACACAAGTCTGGCTCTAACTGTATTAGCTGGTTTACAAAGAAAGGAGATGTTAAAGTTAAGAACAAAATTTATAACAAGTTTATTCAGCTTCTTGAGAGTGGTGAAGTTCGTAATCCTCTTAGTTCCAAACTTTCTGAATTTGTAATGCCAACTTTGCACAACTTTGGAGAAACATTGTATGCTTGCAGAAACTCTGGTTTGACTAGGATAGAACTAACTGTACATTCTTCTCAGATGCAAACAGTTGAATGGAATAGTAACTTGCTTCTTAACACAGTTCAGTTTATGAATGAATGCAGAACATTTGCAACTTCTTATGAAAAGCAGTGGAAAGCACTTGTTGATAAAGTTAGTAGTTGTTATACAGTTTGCATTTATGTGAGACAACAGCATACTCTAGCATATTGTCATTGGTTTAACTCTATCACATCAAAGAAGCAAGGAATTATTAAGAAACTAAACAAGAATGATGATCCAATGGTAGTTGTTGCTAATCTCTCATTCAACAACAGACCTACACTTTATCAAATATATGATTCACTTGAGAGTGGTCTTGAAACAGAAAAAGTTCTTAGAAGAGTTGATGAGAATATAACTATTGTTCCAAGTCAGAGAAACTCCTTCTGGTCAACTTATCCTACAACTAAGCAGTATCACACTTTTGAAGAGATGGGATTAGTTAACTATAAAGGAATGCATATTGGTTGGATAGATAGTAAGCAAGCAAAGAGTAAGATATGTCTATCAAAAATGTCAGAGGATAAATATTCTGCAAAAGAGGAAAACATCAATGCATTAACAACAGCAATAGACAATATCACACTTGATGAAACTAGCCATATATTTATCAAAGAGAATACAGATCTGAAACCTTCATTGTATAGAGTTGCTTACAATGTTCTTCAGTTAGGTGATGAATTTACAGCTACACATTATGCACTCCATACTTTTAGAGGACATTCATACTTCTATGTTGATATTCTTATTAAAGGGAGAGATAAACAGCCAACTCTTATTAGGACACCAGTTGACAGTTCTATTGGAAAAGCAATTTCTCAACAGTTAGGAGAAAGAAAGCAACAAATATATCTAAGAGTTATAAGTGTGGGATATAGAACAATCACAGTTGAATAGCAGCCATTTTAAAACATAGTATAAGCAACCATTCTCTCCATATCTCTATGGAAAGTATGACAAACATCATACACATGTTCAACCCTTACCTCACAATCAGTAGCAATATGTTGGATCCAATTACGCACTTGTATTGCTAAGTCATCACTCATATCAAAGTCATGAATAAGTAGCAGAGTAAGCATATCTCTTTCTTCCTCACACATCTCAGCTAAATGTTGCTTGAAGAAGTTCTGGAATGATCCCATTTTCTAAAATTGATAAAAGTTGAAATTTTTATTTATGACTACCTCACACAGATGGACAATCAATTACAAGAATTAAGAGAGAAGGAGTGGAATGTGCTCTACACAACAAAGTGGAGATTTCTTGATGAAGACTGGTTAGTACATAAACAACAGAAGTACTATAGGAGTGAAGCTCATGAAGTGAAAGAAATAAAGCTCATCAAAGATACACTTGTAAAGCAACTTGGAATGATCCCTGTGTTCTTCTTCTTAAATGTTCTATTTGGTGGAAAGCAGTATCCATGTCCTTACAGAAATGTTGAGAAAGGACTCTTGATTTTGTACCAGTTAGTTGCTGGGCTATCAATCAATGAGATGGAGAGGTTTATTCCTAAGAGCAGCTACCAAGTAATTCATAATATGTTCTATATCTCAGAGTTAAGTGAGTTGAACAAGAAGCTTTCACACTACTTGCACACAATGTTCTCCACTCCAGAACTAAGAGTGATCTCAGCAAAGATTCAGAATCCAACAAACTTTAAGCATATAACTCTTATGTTAGATGGACATGACTCACGAGCTCTACATAATGGTGCATACAAACCAAATCTTTATTCCTTCAAGTTGAAGAAGTCAGGATATAGAACACAAGTTTGCATTGATTTGAATGGAATGGTTGTCCTTGTTTCACCAACTGAGGAATGTAAAGACCACCCAGACTCTAAGATGATTAAGAATATGTCACTATTGAAATACATCTCTCCAGTAGATTGTGTTGTTTTAGATGGTGGTTATCCTCAAAGTATTCTGGAAGAGTTAACAGAAGCAGAAGAGAATGAGAATTTTGGAATGCATAACTTTTGCTTACCAGTTAGAAAGCCAAGAGGAACCAACTTAAGTGAAGCAGAGTTAGAATATAATAGCAAACTTGGGTCATTTAGATCAATGGTTGAGAGCACATTTGGAGAACTAGGTAACACATTTAAGAGACTATCAAATAGAGAAGTTGTGAGAATTAGAAACACAACTGTATACAATGTGCAGTTTAAACTCTGTTGCTTACTCTACAATATGAAGAAGATCCTAGCAGCTAGTAAAGTTCCTGTTGAACATCACCACACACTTTGGGTTCTATCTAACTTTGACTACCCTAGCAACAACCAGGAGAGATCAACACATGCTGAAGTTGGAAGTACTTTACCACAAAAAGTAGAGTTAGAAGCTTCAATGAGAGAACTACAAGATAGACTGATTCAAGCTAAAATTGATGAGTCAATGAACTTCTATGTAGACATGTCATAAGTAACTTTTAAAATAGGAATTCTCAGTAAGAAATTTGCATTGATAGAAAATGCTTCAATAAGGAGGTCATTCAGAGCTAGTTATCTGCATAACAACTATTTATACATGTTTAAACTATTGGCAATTTCAGTGAAATAAAAATTTCACCCAAACCGCCATCGGCATCTTGGAAAAGTTTCAGTGAACATAATTTCAACCAGAAAGAAAAACCTTTGCATATTTGGGGTTAATTATCATTGGGCAACAAAAGTCAATATCTCAATAGATGTGGCTAAGCAACCACAAGGAAATTATGTTCACTGAAACTTTTCCAAGATGCCGATGGCGGTTTGGGTGAAATGGCAAAAAAAATATTTGTATTTTTAAAATCAATTATACACACAAAAACATTCTGGACACAACAATTATAAATATCTGTTACAAAAATATCTAGTAGCAAAAAATAGTTCTGAAAACGATTATTCAAATAACTATCTAACAAAATTGTAATTTACTAAAATTTACAAGTCCAGGAATGACCCCCTATGTGGCACTTCAGATAACAAGCACTCTGGTCGACGTGCTTATGGCAAATATCATGATTTGGATCTTGCTTGTGGTCCCCGTCTACTACAGCATTTTTGATCATGATATGTATTTGCAAAAGTGGCTCCAAGTTTTGTTGAATGAAGGACTAGGACAGGGCTATAATGAGAGCCTAGTTCGGTCTGGGGATGATATCCAATGTTACTCACACATGGGGGATGCCACTGAGAGCAAAGATCATACACGATCCTTTGAAGATAAGAGAAACATTGAGATATCGAATGAATGATATGTTGCTTGAGAGTAATGAGTCTAGAGACTAGTATTGAGAGTATGCATAAGCAAAATCAGCTCTTTGCTGGGTTCCCTCTGTTAACTTGGGGAATAAGTGGTTATAGAATATATGGAAAATAATAACTTCTCAAATTGACTGAGGGGAAGAAGGAAGGCTGGTCGTCTGTCCGGGCCTTTGTACGTATGCGTTTCGGTCTTGTCTATGGTGGCGCAGGGGGACTCCGGACCCCAAATGTCAACACCCTCAGCCGCTGTACACTCACCCAACAGTTCATTTGGATGGTATTGATCGAGACTCTGCAGGACATATCCTTTAGTCTATCTGGTGCTTTTACTTGCCAAGGCTTTCTTTAATATTAGAATGCATTTATTATTCGATAATAGAGCTTCCAACTTTCTATTAAAAACAACAGCTGCAGACTACTTTCCTATGTGTTGTATACAGTTGCTCAAGTTTGAATTCGCTATTTGGCAGTAGGAACATTGTATCCAGAGCATATACCACTAGTGGACTCATGTATGTAAATGAGATCGACAGTCAGGCATCACCTGACCAAATGACAAGATCATCCAAAGTAAACAATCAGTTGCTAGATGGGGTTTCATTGGTTTTCGGTTTGCTGCCATCAAAAGGTCACATTTGCCCAGATCGTCGAATGGATGTAGCTTGGTGTATTTCAAAGTTGGTAGTGATCTGCACAAGGCTGTTTGAGCAACCGTACATCACATGTATTGAATCTATACAAAGAGGGATGAGCAGCTTCTAGAGCCAAAGCGTAACTCGAACTGCCCATGGCAATTAGCGTTATTCGCGCTTGGAAGGCAGTTCTGGATACAAGCGGCCAGGGTCGACTAGCCTAGGTGAACAAAGTGTGATGGCTGCAACCAGGGTACAGTCCATGTACCCACTAGCAGCAAGATTGGAATGGAGCTCTGAACATATACATTAAGTTAGCCAAGACTCTGGTGTTCTTCCAGCCACTGCTCTCACACTTGACTGCTTTCGTGGAAGGATCCAATCAAGACATCATCCAGCGCAGCTTGAGAGCGCCGTGGTAGGAGATTTATGAGCATGCATTCAGTATGATAGTGTACTAGAATTGCCAACAGGTCATGTGTCCAGTAAGAGTTTACATCGGCCATGCAGACGAATACATGGCGGGCGCATCAAGGATGGCACCAGGAAAGCGGTAAACTTGCAGACAGAAAGGCATGTGTGTGGCTCGATGCTGCTTTTTATGAAGGGGGAGAAAGGGGGTGGGAACAGGGGGTATATGATGACAGTAGCCAGGCCTTTTTCGAGACATTAAGGGGGCAGGTGGAAGCGGCAGATTGTTTCAAGGTGAAACTCGGTCAGAGTATTTGCACGCAATGGCCGCTACAGCCGCGAACGACAACAAAAGCCTCCCCAACTTCGCCTCTCCCCCAAGCCGGGCCGCTTTGCCCCAGCTTTCCAAGAATGAACAGCCATCGCGTGCGCAGAAGAAAGGGAGGGGATTTGCAAAACCTGATGTGAGCATTATGTCCCAGTGCGCACGGGGCACGCAAAAATAAAAAAGCAGTGTTTACAGCGGAGGATGCCGGGAAAGGCGAGCAGGTTTTCCGACACCGCAAACAGGTGGTGGCGGGGTATGGTTTTTTCTCTTGCTTGGACTGGCTGGAAAGCCTCGCCTTTCGCCGGGCTGCTTTTTCCGACATGGCTTTATGCACCAATGTGCCCGATATTGCCCGCTTACAAAAGGAGAATAAAGCAAGATTATCATTGGGCCGCGGCCATGTATATATAGCCAGAGCGGCTGACGGGGATTTGCCGCTGAACTACCACATTGCACTTTTTTTCTTCTTCGCTCTCCCTACACTTACTCAATTGACCTCTGTAAACGATGGCACCTACCATGGCCGAGACCACGTCTTCCAACCAGTCTCGCAGCAGCACGCCTGACCTGATCGCCTCCAGCGCCGGTACCGCCTTGCCCTATGCCACGCGCTCCGCCATGCACCTGAAGGGCCTGGTTCCGTCGGGTGTCGAGAACTTTGACATACAGGAGAAGCGCGTGCTGGAGCAGCTCCAGCTCAAAAGCACAAATATCGAAAAGTACATATTCCTGTCGTGGGTACGAACGACCAACATCAATCTGTTCTATCGGCTGGTGCTCCACAACCTCAAGGAGATTGCTCCCATCATCTACACGCCGACCGTGGGCAAGGCATGCCAAGAGTACTCGCACATTTACCCGTTCTTGGCGCCACCCAATGCAGTCGATGGCCTGTACATTCCAATAACCGAGGTCGACAATATTGATGAGATTATCAGCAACTACCGCGAGTCGATTGAGGGGGACGAGCCCGAGATAACAGTCATCACCGATGGCTCACGCATCCTGGGCCTGGGCGATCTGGGCATGAACGGCATGGGTATTCCGGTAGGCAAGCTGCAGCTGTACGTGGCTGCGGCTGGTCTTCATCCCGACAGATGCCTGCCGATTGTGCTGGACTTTGGCACAGACACAGAGCAGTACCTCCAGGACCCGCTGTACCTTGGCATTCGGCAGCACCGCCCGGACAATGGGACATTCTATGCTGCTGCTGACAAGATCATCACTGCGCTGCACAAGGCGTTCCCAAATATGTTTATCCAGTTCGAGGACTTTAGCACTGACCATGCTTTTGGCCTGCTCGACAAATGGCGCAACCAGATATTGTGTTTTAACGACGATATCCAGGGCACCGGGTCAGTTATCCTTGGCGGCTTTATCTCTGCCGTGCAGCAGGCTGGAATCCCACCAAAGGACCAGCGCATTCTGTTCGTTGGGGCTGGCTCCGCCGGCGTTGGTGTCGCCAAGCAGCTGGCTGACTACTTTATCATTGAGCACAGAATTCCAGAGGAGCAAGCCAAGGCTATGTTCTGGTTTGTCGACTCGCGCGGCATGATCACGGCCAACCGCGGCGACAAGCTGGCCGACCACAAGATTTACTTTGCCCGCCACGACAACGGGGCTACACAGTGCAAGACGCTGGAGGAGACGCTCGACTACGTCAAGCCGACGGCACTCATTGGTCTGTCAACCATCTACAAGGCGTTCCACGAAGGTATTCTGAAGCGCATGGACGAGCTGAACCAGACGAACCGCCCGATTATTTTCCCGCTATCGAACCCCGAAACCAAGGCCGAATGCTCGTTTGAGGAGGCCATGGTGCATACAAACAACCGTGTGCTGTTTGCATCTGGCACCGCGTTCCCGACATATACGATCCCCGGGACCGGCGAGGAGCGTGTTCCCGGCCAGGGCAATAACATGTATGTGTTCCCACCCATTGGGCTTGGGTCGGTACTGTGCAAGCCTAAGCGCATCACCGACACCATGATCTTTGCTGTATCAAAGGCGCTGGCCAACTCGCTGACCGACGAGGAGCATGCTCGTGGCGAGCTGTACCCGCGCATCGAGCGCATCCGCGAAACCTCGGCGCAGATCACGGCAGCGTTTATCCACCAAGCGGTCAAGGAGAACCTGGCGCAGGAGGACTCGTGGATCCAGATGGTCAAGGAGAGCAGCGTGGCAGGCACTGCCGACATTCCTGATGGAACATACTCAATGGAGGTCGTCGAGGAGGTCAAGAAGAGGATGTGGTTGCCGGCCGAGAACTTCCAGCAGCTAGTCACGTCGTGCCCGCACTACCACCATCACCCGCACACGCACATCAAGCTGTAGAGGGGTTTTAGAGAGAAAATTGGAAAGACAATAAAGAAAAGAGAAAGGGCTAAAAAGATGACAATGTTGGTTTGGATGAAGAGGGAGACGGTTTTGGATTATGCTTACTTGCCACCAAAGACACTCCAGTTGGGCTTTGTCGGGAACTCAGTCTCCCACTTGACGTTCTGGGCAAACGAGAAGTGGTCGTTGACAGGCAGATTGTGGAACGAGGCCTTGATTTCGTCTTCGAACTTGAGCTTGTTCTTTGACGAGCTCATCATGACTTGCTCGGGATCGAAGCCGGCGCCGCCCTTGTACGCGTAGTTGAACGAGCGGTGCTCAAACGCCTCTGTGCGGGCCTTGTCGGGCTTGTCAGCGTGCACGTGGCGGAAGCTGTTCATGTGCTTGTGCTCGTAGGTGCGCGCGGTGCCTGCCTTGGCGTTCTCCTGGTGCTCGTGCTGGTGGTAGTAGTGTGAGCGGTCGTGGAAATGTCTCCGCTTGCCATCGCACTCAACCTCGTGGCCCTGCTGGTCGCGGTCCAGGGACAGGTGGTCGAAGGCACGAGCCAGGCCCTGCGTCGGGTTGACCATGTGGTCCGAGTGCTGCACGTGGCGCGTACGGCGGTCTGCCTCCCGGCCCTTTCCGACCTCGCGGTCCGCCTGCTCGTTGTACAGCGAGTGGTTGAAGTGCTGCGTGTGCTGCTCGTCCTCCCACATAGCCTTGGTCTCCTTGTACGTTCCATAGCCCTCGTTGGGCTTGGTGATCGTGCCGACAGGCGGCTTGCCGACCCAGTCAGCCTGGACAAAGTCGACAGCCTTCTGCTCCTTCTTCTTCTTGATGGTCTCCTCCTCGACCTTGACCTTGACGGTGACCTCCTCCTTTACCTCCTCCTTCTTCTTGCACTCCTGCTTCTTCTCCTCCTCGACCTTGACGGTGACCTTGACCTCCTCCTTCTTGCATTCCTCCTTGGGCGGCTCGGCCTTGCAGGGCGTAGGCTCCTTGCTGGGGGGGAACATCACCATGATGCTGCTGATCGTGCTGTGCGTGAACACCTCGTCCTCAGTCATGCCCTTCTTGGGCGGTGGCAGATGGGTGGCGATGTTGTGGATGAACCGGAAGCCCTCGTAAATCGACGGGCGGGTCATGAGCCGGTCAAAGCGCGCAACAACCTCAGAGCCAAACTTGCCCTCGACGCCCGTCGGGTGGCTGGTACGTGCCTTGACACGCTCCTTGCACACCTTGACGTCAATGTCAAAGTACAGCGCGTCCACCGGCGCAAACGCGTCCTCAGCAATCTTGACCCAGATTTTGCGCTGGTCCTCGTCAAAGTTGCACCGATCAATGACCACATTCTTGCCCTCCTTGAGGAACTTTGCTGCGTGCTGCTCGCACAGGGACCGGCTGCCGGACTCGTCCTGGTTGATACGCTCCCAGCTGTGTCCGTGCGCCGCTAGGCGCTTGGCGAACGCCGTTTTACCACAGCCCGGCAGGCCGATGAGTACAAGCATTTGCGGCATCTTTTATACAGTGTGTTTCGTGTAACAGTGTCTATATGGGCTATGTTTTGGCTGTTAGCTTCTGCTGCTGCGTCGGGGTGTGTGTGGAACGTATTGTTTATTTTAATTTCTGGTGGGATACGGAGACACAAAGGGCTGGTCGTGGATGTGGGAGTGGCGGGCGGGCCTTACCTAGTGGATATAACGGCTTTTTGGTGCCTTTTTTCGTAAAGTAAAAGTAAAGTAGCTTTTTTTGCACAACGGACGCAAAAAGAAGGAAGCAAAATGCAGCTCAGACTAGTTGAATAAGCGAAGAATTGGAGAAGTAAAGAAAAATTTTAGACGAGCCAGCATTGAGAGCGACCTTGACACCCATTAAACTTTATACCGTCTCTGCTAGCACTCTTCCTGGCGACCTGTATAGTGCGCACATCCCCTCCGGCCCTTGGCCCGAGTCACACTCGCGGTTTCAAAAAAAAGCCCAAGGTGCCAAAAAGCCAATCGAGCTCACTATACCGCAGAGATATGCGCGCTTTGCCCTGATATTCACCAAAAACACCCCATCCAATTGCGGGCGCCCCCTCCATGCTATTGCTCCCTTTGGTTCTGTCACGGGGGATCTATAGTACTGCGCAGTACTTTGTCACCGGCACCCGGCTCGGCTCAAGCCTGGCATCACTGCGAGCCGGCCTGCAGCATTATTGATGCGGCCTAGCGATACCTTTGCGGCTCGCCCTATCCACGCAGCTTCCCTCACCTCTCCCCAGTTCCCACACGCATTCCTGCTCCTCCAATTCGCACACCCGCTCCTGCATACCAACACAAATGCCTGCGCTCGTCGACAGAATTCGGGCCCTTTTGCGCGGTAAGGGCCAGGACAAGACAATAATATCCGTACATCGCGACCGTATAGTGGTAGTCCTCAGCATATTATCTGTGTTTCTGTTGGGCCTGCCGCTGTGGTGGACGACAACACGCGTATACCGCGCCGACCTTCCCTCTACCGAAATTGCACAATACACACAAGCCGATGCACTGGAAATCCCTTTCACCTTTTACGTCGATTCGCCTGACATTTCGCTCAATGAAGTGCAGAAGCTGGTTGACACAAAACTCGCAAAGAGCAGATTGCCATACAAGCCCGGCGAATGGCGCGTCGCATTTACCGCCCAGGTGCAACGTGGACTGGCGCCTGATCTACCCGGCCATTACACTGTCGAGACACAGGAGGAAGTCAGTGCAACAGTGGGGACTGCCCGGTCGGCACAGATTCCGCTGCCAAGCACGGCAGACACCAGTGAGACTGTTGCCAAATGGATCGCACGCATCGTGGCAAAAGAAGAGCGCGAGGTACGCAGACCTGAGGGCCGTGCACTAAAGTACTCGCCAGAGTACGCTGTCACATTCACGCTGATCAACGAGGATCCAACCGGCGGACTATCAGTGGACTGGGAGATCGAGCAGGCGCTGTCCACCTACCTGCAGCCACTCATTGATATTGTCAGACCGCTGACCAAGCTCTCAGTATCCTCACAGGTCTTGCACCACGCCGGCCCACTGCCAGTCACCCCCCAGCGTGCCGCCAACTACACGTATCTGACCTCAGATGCCCTGCCACACTTTATCAACTCTGCCAGCTGGAACCTAGCATCAACCGACCCGGTTTCACCGATGCTCAACTTTATTCTGTTTGTGCCGAAACGTGACCTGCAACCCATGCACATTCTTGACGACCACCACACACAGTCAAAGACCAACGCATTCTTGATCCCGCAATGGGGCGGCATTGCTGTGGCCAATTTCCCCAAGACCGCAAGTGGCCAGATAGTGGTCTCACAAAGAGACCTGCGGCCGTACATGGGCGTCTTTGTTGCCCAACTGCGCGAACTCTTGGGAATCCGCAGCGACACGCCCCTGCCGTCTGTCAAGGGCCGTGTGAACGTACAGCGAGCCACCGCAACGGGCATCAGCGGGTGGGAATATGATGCGCTGGCAAGACGCTGGCTTGCAAACAACCGCCAGACAGCCGTCACCACCCTGAAGTCGCTCATCACCTTAGTCGAGTCTATGCAGAATATGGTCGTCATGGATAGCATTAAAGGGCAAGTCGATGCTTCGCTTGCAGCACTAGCTAAAATCACTCGCGCACACGTTGCCCATGACCATGCCCGCGCATGTCAAGATGCTATCGTGGCGGCAACAAAGGCAGAGGGTGCGTTCTTTGACCCGTCCATGGTTTCAATGCTGTACTTCCCCGATCAGCACAAGTACGCCATTTACCTACCGTTCTTTTTGCCTGTAGCCATCCCGCTCTTCCACGCCATCAAGCATGTCATCAAAGATATGAAAGCCAGGCGTAAGAGTAAAACGGAATAAACCTTTGCTCTAAGACCAGCAGCTGTAGACTACAATTGCCTCTTTACTTTATGAGGACCATACGATGGCAACATAGACATTGAAGGAAATGCAGCTGGATAAGATGTCTGTATTCAAAAAGGGAAAAAAAATAAACGGCAGAAGCAAAAGTCGACGCCTGCAGGATTCGAACCTGCGCGTAGAAACTACAATGCCTTAGCAGGGCATCGCCTTAACCACTCGGCCAAAGCGTCAAAAACCGGCGCTTAGCCAATCCGATTTATACTCTGATGTTATGTGTTATTTCGGTGGCAGAGGAAGCAACGGAGTGGAACTCGGGGCTAGATGGACTACTTGCGGACGTGTCCGAGTCAGGTGAAAGAGCAGGAGGACGGAGTCGGGGGATCGTGTTGGGTTCGGGTTGAAGTTCAAATAAATTGTATTTGAACTCAAAACAGGAGGAAACAGAATATACGAGTAGGGAACTCTAGTAGACACTGGATGAAGAATTGTCTTGGAGTCTTGTCGAGTCGAAGCATATATATGCTTCGGTGCACTAGTGTCTTGCTAGTGACGTTGCGTTGCATGAACGACGGGAATACCGGTCACTGGTCTTTGCGGCATAAAGGTACTGCATTGTTGTACCACGTGCAGACTTGGATCCGTGGGAGCCGGGTCAGGGGATATCGTGGGAGTTCGAGCCGAGTCATCATGTTCATGCTCGTCGGATTCGAGCATAACACTGAAATTTTTCGTATTAATGCTGGGGACTTTCTCCCGGTAAACATATGGAGCTAGCTAGCCAAAACATATAAACCTGACCTAGGACTTGGGTGATGGCTCAGGTACTACGGTTGCGATGGGCTCCCGGGCTTTAGCAAATAAATCATCATAGCTGTGTGGACAGTTCTGCTCTAGTTCCCAACTGGTACCAATATTTCTTAGTAGCAATAACTGAACTGTAAATAGAATTATTATTCACTTCTAGGATAAAAGGGTAGTTCATATGCAATGATGTTTATAGTAAGACTAGTTGGGAGCTGGAGCAGAACTGTCCACACAGCTATGATGATTTATTTGCTAAAGCCCGGGAGCCCATCGCAACCGTAGTACCTGAGCCATCACCCAAGTCCTAGGTCAGGTTTATATGTTTTGGCTAGCTAGCTCCATATGTTTACCGGGAGAAAGTCCCCAGCATTAATACGAAAAATCTCAGAGTATAAATCGGATTGGCTGAGTTAAGCGCCGGTTTTTGACGCTTTGGCCGAGTGGTTAAGGCGATGCCCTGCTAAGGCATTGTAGTTTCTACGCGCAGGTTCGAATCCTGCAGGCGTCGACTTTTGCTTCAGTTGTATTTTAATCGATCCTCGCACATTTTACTTGTTTTTTGCATCGCCACTTTGCTCAAGCTGAACATTTAAAATTGTATACTCTTCAAATGAGCACGATTAATTGCAAAAATATCAAATTCATGGTTACTTGGCATTTCAAAAATAAAACAGCGGTTGATAAAAGATATAATTGAGAATACTAGAAATACTCTGCTTGCGATGCGAACTCGGCTGCTAGTCAGCATGGGTTGACACGTTGATAAAAGCATCACGGCGAACCGGTCATTTGAACGTGTCGGATGGTTGTTGGTGCAATGGCGATCACGGACATCCTCCATCTTGGTGGCCTGCTCAGCGCAGGCGCTTCAGTGCTGGTTCGCTGCTGCTGGAAGCAGAATCGCCTGCTGCTGCACGCCTCTTGCACGACCTCTTTGTTGCAGGGGTGGTGCCAGAAGCATCGGCAACAATGGCCATAAAGCGACAGAACCATTCAGGAATACTGCCTGAATCACAGAGTGACTGGAAAACGAGTCTGAAGTTTAGAACTGCTGCGAAATCGCGGTTCAAGAGCCGAGACGAATAGGCTCGTCTGTATTGTGCCATGGCCCGCTTACATGACTCGCTTGTACAGCGGAGAAGGCCATGGCACTTCACAGTTGGGTTCTTCGATCTCTGGTAGGGCCGCGGGTTGGGAACATGCCGGAATGTCTGCAGCGACTTTTCGCAGCAGAACGGGCACATCGACGATGTCCGGAATTCGTCGATCAGATAGACTTCAAAGCCATGGTGCTTGAACTTGTCGCGCCATCCCTTGCCACAAATCGGTGCATGGTGTCGGGCCATCGCCGCACTCCAATTGCCCATGATCAGCACTGGATCTGGACCGAACTTGCTCCGGAGTTTCGCGGCAAGCCTGTGGTCTGCACGGGCCTGGTTCATGAATGAATCAAGGCGCAGCTTGCGGTGAAGCGGGTACACCTTGGGACTGGTCCCAACACCCGGATGGGCCATCCAGCGCCTCTGGTGCTGCTTGTTTGACTTAGTGAGTTGCTGCTCTGGTAACCTTCATGCTGTCATTGTGTTGGCATAAAACGGTGCTAGGACACACTGCACAGATGCATGGGCAGTAACATAGGCACGGAATTTTTCTGGGCCAAGGGTCCAGCAGCAGTGCTTGGAAAGCTCTGCCTCTGCTCTGCGGACAGCATCTTCTGTGACTTGATCCTTTGTAGCCTGACGAATCCTGTCATAGTGGCGCAGCTTGAGCTCCTTATTGCGCTGCTGCCATGTGTAGCGGTAGAGCATCTTTTCACTCTCCTTCCCATTACTGCTATTTTCATGCATCATGTATAGCAAATCGCCCTGACCTGGATCGATGAATACACAGTGGCCTTTCAGATTCTGCAGCTCTGGCTGTGGGATTTGGTGGATATAGCAATAGTCAGCTATAGTATTGCCTCCTGCAGCATCAGCATCTACTGCACTATCAGCCTTAGGTACCTTGTCTTATAGCAAAATGCATATCACTACACTATCTGTTGTCACCATTCTGTGGTATTTTCTATCACTATGCAGGAGGTCATTCAGAGCTAGTTATCTGCATAACAACTATTTATACATGTTGAAACTATTGGCAATTTCAGTGAAATAAAAATTTCACCCAAACTGCCATCGGCATCTTGGAAAAGTTTCAGTAAACATAATTTCCTTGTGGTTGCTTAGCCACATCTATTGAGATATTGACTTTTGTTGCCCAATGATAATTAACCCCAAATATGCAAAGGTTTTTCTTTCTGGTTGAAATTATGTTCACTGAAACTTTTCCAAGATGCCGATAGTAGTTTGGGTGAAATGGCAAAAAAAATATTTGTATTTTTAAAATCAATTATACACACAAAAACATTCTGGACACAATAATTATAATTATCTGTTCCAAAAATATCTAATAGCAAAAAATAGTTCTGAAAACAATTATTCAAATATCTATCTAACTAAATTGTAAATAACTAAAATTTATAAGTCTAGGAATGACCCCCAAAGAAAGATAAAGAAAATTTATTATTATTTATATTAACCATCCTTGTTTGGACTATACCTATACATTTCTTACCTATATTGTATTATCACATATGTAATCCCTTATATTCAGTAGATGTTCTTTTGTCAATTCATTAAGAATCATCATTTCCTAGAAGATAATCAATTATAATTGCAAACTATAAGAAATACATATTCTCCATTTTTTCATTGGAGAGCTCTTGCCAATGCTTCGACAAGGTGCATTGGAGCTCGGCATCCCTTTTAATGAACTCGGAACTGTCGATGCTTTGCTGCACATACTCTGTGAGGTTCAGCCTGTACTCGTTCTGGAAGTCAGCTTGGATCTGAAACTCCTTGTGAAGAATCTCCATCAAATATCTAATTATCGCATCGTAGATGAGCACATGGTTTCTGCTCATGCATTCCTTGCCTGTCCAGTTGTCTTGGCATGATTCGACGGTGCTCGGTTTACCGGTGAGAATCGTTTCTCCTTTGAGCTCATTTGGAAGGGGTGCCTTGACTTTGCCTGCCACCAGAACGCTCTCTTGCTCGATAGGATGGCGACCCTTCATCTGCTCTTGTGATTTGGCAACTGGTGTGGCTATTCCTAACCTACCCTTCATAGCCATTGCTTGTGCCGCTGCACGCTGGTCCTGCCTCGCGAGTGCTGCTGGCCGACGACTGCCAGCCATCAGTGCTGTTCTTGGGTGGCTCTGGTGGTCTGTATGTGAAAGCGTTACACCTCGCTGCAGCGCTTTCGTCATAGTCGATGGCCCGTCTGTATGAGTGCAGTGATGTTTGGTTGATATTCTTATGATATTTAGAAATAATACAACGACATTTAAGTGAAAACACATATATACTTCTCCCACAGCTTGCTCGTAAGTGCCAAGGGTGTTTCCACACAAGCCACAGGGAGTGGCCGATGCGTGGCTCTAGTCCTGAACAATATATTGCGAAAGCCCCATTAGCACCTAATCCTGGAGCTGTACAGCTTTCACGGGTTAGGGAAGACCGAACAAAACGAGAGGATGCTGATATGCAACCAATACGCACGCATACCATAGTAGATGGATTCAACTCTGTTGCTAGCGAGATCAAAAAGAAGGTAAAAGGAAGGTTCCACCGAGATTCGAACTCGGGTTGGCGGAATCAGAATCCGCAGTGATAACCAGCTACACTATGGAACCAATCCACATTCTGAATATCAGAAAATAAAACTGATGATGAACTAGACATGATCAGCACCATTTGTGCCTGCAGCCATCGAGAAGGAATACTGAAATATCCACTACTTATAAGGGCAATAGCCATGCATCTTATCACAAATATCTATGCACTATCCTAATTCCACTGGTGACTAATAATTAGGCACTTTGCTATCCCCTTATATAAAATTTATCATTAGAGGCCATTTAAAGGTTTAAAATATCAACCTACTGTTGTATAGTCAGTGATGACTGCTATGATGATGCCATAGAAGTTATCGAATTGACTGACAATGAGAGCAGCTCTCGCGCTGAACCAATGGAGATATCCAGCAGAGACCTGTGACCACTACAATCACAGCTTTCCGCCCTGGTTTCACCGGTGAGGTCAGACATCGCAATGCAGCGGAATCTTCAAAAAAGGCTAATGCGTGGCACTATTAGTTTTCCTTTCTCTTCAGTTTTGAAATCCAAACTTATCCACACCCCCCTATTAGCACAACAATAGCAAACACTTTGGCGACAAAAAGCAAAAATGTGCTGTTGCCTGGAATCGAACCAGGGTCGACACGGCCACAACGTGATGTACTGCCACTATACTACAACAGCCAAAGCCCTTAAGCGAATTCTGAAGTTTTCCGAAAAATAAAATATACATCAACATAAGGGCATCAATACACGACTCAACCTGATGCGCAATTCTCTGCTTTCTCTCTATATCGCTAAGAAATACCAAGTGTCCTGCTTAGCGATTGAATTAATTCATATCATAGCGTTGCTCCCCCGCTGCGGCTGTCCCTGATGTCGAAATGTCTGCCAAGCCAGGTGACGGCAAGCCAGGTACCAGCAAGAGCTCTGCTACAGCCTACACAACGAAGGTAATATTGGACCTCTGATGAATTGCACAAATGGCAGCATTGAAGATACATCCATAATACCTATTTTTTTCTCTTTTCTCTCTCTTCTTCGGTATTAAATATCACCTTTATAACCCCCCACACTAAATAAAATGGTAAGTACTGCTGGCCCAAAAGGCATAGTGGCAGCTCCTCCTGCTGTGTTGGTTATTTTTCTGAGTGGAAACCAAGTGCTACAGAATTCACACAATGCTGGTTATTTTCAAATTAGATAGGCTATATATATGCTGGACCATACTGTGTGTGTGTGGGATCTATCTATTGTAATGGAGATCAGTCCCTATCATCTGGCACAGTATATTTTGGCTTACTCCACCCTCTTACATTGGTGATGTAATGGTGATATAATGTGCCAATAGTGCTGTTACAATAGACCTAACTATTAGTTGTATGGATGTCTGATCTTTAGATTCACTACCTATTAACAGATTCTACTACTGCCACATATCTGTGTCAGGAGGTCATTCATAATTACTAAGCTGGGTAATAATTATTTAAATCTTCTAAATATTTTTTTACTTAGTTTAGTGATTGTGAATGACCTCCAATCATTCTGATTTTTAAAATATTTATCTACTGCTAGTAATTGATTTATTAATTGTTAATTGGTTATTCTGATAAAAGATATTTAGTTTCTTTAAACTTTTATATTTGTGAATGGCCTCCAGAGATGAGCATAGATTCTAAATCAAAGGGGAGCTGTTCCAAATCTAAACTTGTTATATATTATTGACAATGTTCTTAAACCCGAGAAGTATGCAATAGTGAATGTGAATGCAAATACACAGCAATGGGCTAAGGGATTCACAATCTGCTACTGCTATTCCGTCAAAAGAATCAGAGGTAAACCAACTAGTTTCAGGGACAGCTTGGGTACAGGCGCATGCGCGGATTTACAAAACAAATACTATCTTTTTATTTGGAGGTGTTTGGGTCTGGCAGAAAGTTGGCTACAAGCACTGCAAGAAGCATATGTTTGCTAAACTGCGTATTGGTTGTATCTGGTCAAACTGGTCATTGGTGGTTCTAGGTAGCAGCTACCTTATATAGTCCTTCTCTGAAGCAGGTATTCTTAGTACTATTTTTTGGCATTGTGTAATGCAAATAAACAAAAAGATTGTCATGATACCTGCCTTGCATAGATTTCCCTCCCTTGTTGCACCAGGCCCTATGAGGTGTTCGCATTCCCCTTTGCTGTTTAAGCTTGAGAGAATGCTAAGATGATATGATGGGGTCCAAATCATGCTTGAGTTTGTTAACGAATGGAACCTGGCTGAAAAGTTTATTGACCATATTTTAGCTGTGTAGAGAGCTGCTTTGCACTGCATGTAGAGTCAGACTGATGTGCAAGCCAAGAGATGGTTCAACCTTCATAAACTGAGGATTCATGCTTGAATTCTGTGCTGTGGCAGCTGCCCCATTCAGTAATAGGTTCAATCTGCTAGGATCCTCTGTGGTTGCTACCTGTCATTAAAGCACCACTGGCCAGATCATCAATAAAATTTGGAAGTAAAACCCCAATAGCATAGGTTGTAGGAGCCTTGTATCAATTGCTTGAATAATTTCTCTAGATGTTGTTCCTTGTATACATTGAGCGGCCATCAAAATAGTAGGACTTCAAATAAATGCAGTTTTAGCTTACACCTGAGCAATATAGCCATTATGTCTTCGATAATGCCCTGTAGTTGGTCTAGAGCATTCATTATGCTATATAGCGTGTTGTGTTGATTAATCAATTATCCTTTGAACATAAGGCGTCTATTGAATTAATATTACGAAAAATGCTGTAGCGATCTAGTGAATGTGAATTTTGTAGAAATTTCGTTGCTACGAGTAAAATTACTTATAGCTGCTGGTGTTGGAGGGGGGATGGGTGGTAAGGGCTTCTCATCGAGATTGATATGCTGGAATGCATCTGAGGGTGCGCCGATATTCAAATCAGGTAAAGGATATTCAGATGCTGATGAGCTGTAGATGGTTGAGCCGCCGTCATAGCTAGAACCATGGATGCTACTCATGCCATCATCACTATCAGAATCCAATTTTGTGGTAGCAAAAGACAATGGGGCAACATCATACTCATTTTCAAAGCCATCACGAGTGAGCCTCTGCAACCACCTGTGCTCGTAATCTTTACGAAAGACACGCATATACACTGGCTGGCCAAGAATGATCCAAAGGCAGGCGTGCGACACTAATAGATCCGAGAAGGTAACGTACGCGCGGAGTCCACGTTTCAATGCATAATCTGGGGCACACACCTGTACGACAGTAGTGGCTACGAGAAGGTATAGTGCTAGTACACAGATGATAACACATTCGCGGACCTCGCGGAAGCTAGATTCGATGTTGCGTATCTTGAACATAGCTACAGCAATTGCAATCCATATTATTGCAAGTAGGCCCATGTTCGCATAGCGGAACGCGACACCAAACTTGCAGATCTCGATAGTCTCTATGAAAGCCACAGTCACGCTGTCGTCCAGCCACTGGACAGTGACGCTAAAGGCGATGATAATTATAAACAGAGCCCATATAGGACCATAGTACGCCCAGCCAGTATACGATTTGTGTTTGTTGAACACCCGATCTAGAGCATAGATTCGGATAAACATGAGCGCCGAGTATGTGAAGACTGAAGCGTCGCGGCACCAGATAGACCAGAGCTTACACAACCGCCACTTTCCAGTTAGACGAACATGCCCGTTGGTAGCTAGATCACCAAAGTACCACAGCACACATGCACAGCACATGAGTGTCGTCAAGCGAAGGTTTTTTGCGCGAATGGGCCGGTATGTCTGGTTCAGCCAGGCAAAAATGATCAGCAAAACAGTTAGAATGTTTAGAACGGCACCAACTGCGATAACAACATAGTCCGAAGGACCAACAAGCTCAAGCTGATAGCCTAGTAGCGTTGCGATCTCAACTTTATCAGTGTCTGAAACTGCTCGGGAAGCTAGTAAATTGGTATGTGGCGGATGCATGGAAATATGCAAAAGCGAAAAATGCAAATGATGAGAGTTGGGGAGATGCTAATGCAGACTCACTTTTCGGCCAAACATCGGCAGCTTTATGTCAATCGTGAAACGGGGACCTGAAGATTTTAACAGGTGAAAAGCGCTATAAATAGACTGGATTGTCTAAATCAACAAAGGAGTTCGCTGCTTTTCTATGAACATTCATTATTAAAGTCCAAAACGCTTTGCAGGTAGTCTTGGCACAAGGAAATAATTTTAGTAATAGGCTTGGCATCTGGGAACCTTCCATGACAGGGCGTAGCCATGCGAGCTATCGATAGCTAGAAAAATTAGCAATCTCTGAATTCGAGTCAAGCGTGATGTGATAGTCGGTGGCATAGGTTCGGTCGTTACTGCTAAGACTTGTGAGCTGGTGGCCACTCCCCATCTTTGCGAAATCCGACGTGTTGGCGCTGCGATTCATTTCGATCTGGTATTCGCGCTGGAGACCATCGCGGGCAAGCTTGGCAAGCCATTCATGCTCGTATTTCTCGCGGTAGAAAATACGCTTGAAAACTGGATAGACCAAAAAGACCCAAACACTAATGTTGCCGCATACAACATCAACATAGGTTGTAATAGTACGAAGGGTTCTGTTTAGTGGATATGTTGGGAATATTCCGTGAACCAACGAGGTCTCCAGCAAGGTAGTAAAGGCAATAAAGAAGACGACCAATGCTTCTCTAAATTCGTTAAACGCAGTCTGGATATGGCGAATCTTGATGTAGTAAAAGAGCGATGCAAACCACACCAGCCAGAGCAGCGCCAAGCTCCCCCACTTGAACCCTTCCACATAGTGGCAAATCTCCAGTTTCGGGAGGTACGAGACAGTGAGCTCATCACTAATTAGCTGGACCGTTAGACAAAAGATCAGTAGTGCAGCGGCAAGGATGACGATTGGCATATAGTATGCCCAGCCAGTAAAGCTCTTGCGCTGGATGAAGATGCGGTTGAGCGCGTGGGCACGCAGCAGTACAATGGACGAGTACAGATAGCCGCCCAGGTCACGGAACCAGATGACCCACAGTTTGCACTTGCTCCATACACCGACGTTGTAGACGAGACCGTTGGTTGCAATATCGCCTAGAAACCACACAATACACGCAATATACATCACAGTGGTCAGAGGCATATTTTTGGCGCGGATTGGTCTGTAGTTTCGGTGAATGAGGGCGTAGAGTACCAGCAGCCCAGTCACGCCGTAGAGCGAGGCAGAAACTGCAATGGTCACAGTGTCCGTCACTCCAACTGGCTCAAGCGTCTTCCCGAGGTCAGCAATACCCTATAATAAACAGTAGCGGATAAGTGAAAAACGAGTGCTCCTTGAATCAGAAATCGGGATATACGCTTAGTCTTATCAGTAGAGCTTGCTACCTTTATTCGATCCGCTTCCGATAGTTTCGGGGCCCGCTTGGATAGTGCTAGGGCGGTGGACATAGAAAATTAATACAGGTATGGTGTGTACAATAGCTAATGATGAGGAGATAGTTTACAAAAATGTCGTTTGAGTAAGTAACAGCAAAACGAGATAAAGGAAGGGAGTGAAAAAGATAGAAAGTGGATGGGAAGCCACTCAAGTATATGATGCATGACTGCTGTGGGCTTGGGCGGCTCGTACGAAGGGGGTGGCAATAGCTTTGCCAATGTCCAAAAATGCAAACATGCTGGCCAATGATTAACACCCTTACGAGAAAGGGAACCATAGTCCATGCAATATGCAAGCGGTTAATTAGTTTCAACGTGAAGATGCATAACAGAGGAGTGGAAAGCCGGTTTTGTACACGGTGTTTTGGCCTGAACCGGAAGCGCCGAACTGTTCTGTTGGGGGAGACATAGGCCACACTTGGCTCATTTTCCAAAATACCGAAGTAAACTATCCTGAGGTGTTCTATTCGGGCGGACAAACGCCCAATAAAGTGTCCTCAGGCGAAAAAAAGCCGTAGGTGTGCATTTTTCTGCATGTCGCCAAGATCAGTGCAAGGTGTGTACTGATAGCTAACGCAGGGATGATAGTGGAGCTTTAGTAATTAAGTATGGAGCAACTGTGAGAAATGTGGGGACAGATCATTAATGGGGATAGCCGAATGATTTAATGGACGATCATTACCTGAATGGTTCTCGCTGAGGAGCAGCAGCACAGAATGCAGTATTAGGGATGCCGACTAACCGAGGCAGGCCGCATGGATTGGGGGCATTGATAATGCCTAGATGATATAAAATAGAATCGAGAAATCTGTCAAAGTGAAAGCTATACCTGAATGGAATTGGTGAGGGGTGGAGAGGAGCAAAAAAAACCAGACGATGGAGCACAGTATCCATAGTATTTTATACATCTCAATTTACCAAAAGTTCAGCAAATGGGATGCCTTCTTGGCTCAGTTGGCAGAGCGTCTGCCTAGTAAGCAGAAGGTCGCCAGTTCGATTCTGGCAGAAGGCAGTGTCTCTTTTTGCCATCCCTAGTCTCGATGTGGCGAGAGTCCAGCGCAGCTGTTTTTTGCATAGCCAGCGTTTATTTCCACAAAAAGAAGCCCTACAACGAAATGAGCTGGTGCAAAAGAATGGGGCTCTGCCGGGGATTGAACCCGGGACCTCTCGCACCCTAAGCGAGAATCATACCGCTAGACCACAGAACCAATACTCGTTTTTCACTGAATTTTGAGAAAATATTTTCATACAGGAATATGCGGTTACACATTGTATTACTGCCAGCGCTTGCTTGGCGTTGAAGTCTTACCTATATAGCTAAGCATTTGATTCCAGCGATGCTTGATTCATGTGATGGGTGTTTGGAATTCGTATGCTGCTTGCATTAGGGAATGTGTCAATAGGTAATCTCATTTTGCCATGAGAAGCAGTCTGTGTTGAGTCCTATTTTTGTTATCATCTATCCCATGAATAGTCTACCTGGTATTGCTGCTCTGTGTGGCAAGACATGGTGCCTACGTAGTGCACACTAGTGCTAGCTTCGTATGGGAGTATCGCAGGAGAGCGCCATAACCCACTTGATCCCCCTAAGCAAATGGTGCACGTTTTCCTGGGAATGTGGCAGGGGCTGGGTCCATGCTCAGTGAGTGTCCAGCAACCGAAGAAAGGTGTACTTCAACAAGGCAAATGCATTGCACCTGGACTGCCGCGGAGTGGGCGCCATGGTTGTCCAATAAGCTGGAAAGCAGCAGTACGCCTAACAACTCTGCCTTCGCACTCTTCTCTTCATTCTGCCTCTACTTCTTAAAGTATCTTCCTCGCCATTATTAGGAAGAGCAAAAGCACGTATAGCTGCCCATATACCGCTGGGTGTGCTGTGTACTATCATATCTCAGCCAAATGTGCCGCATCCCTATAACGTGACCAGCCCGGATTCTGAATCCAGTTTGGTGCACAACTAATGACTGATAGCTGAATAAAATGGCGATGTCGGTTTATTTCTCAGTAGGTAGTTGGTATCAAAACCGGTCCTGCTGGTGCCTCTGCCTAAATTTTCATATTTTCATATTTCTCTCTCCACTAGGTAGGAGCTCTAGCTCATTATTTATTTCCAAGTTTCAGGATAAAGTCGTATTCGCCAGCCTTTACTGGTTGAACCGACAACCTTCCGCGCTTGATTAGAACCATATCCTTTAACTCCTGGTACCCTTTCAGGGCCGAAAGTGGAATAATGTTACTGAATTTCGACTCAAACTTGACATCAACCTATATATAGCTCATTAGCGATTAATGCTGATGAGAATCTACAATGTCTCTAAAGTATACCTACCATAAACCACTTGGGTACATCAGCCTTGGATTTTGGGTCGTAATAGGGGTGCTCTGGGTCGAACGCTGTGTAGTCCGGGTATGCCTCTCTAACCACAGTAGCGGTTCCCGCAATACCAGGTGTCTTGCAGTTTGAATGATAAAAGAGCACCTACTTTTAGATGGTTAGTATGGTTGGCATATGCACAGGTCTGTGCCGCGCGTCTATAGCCTACCTTGTCTCCGATCTTCATTTTGTCGCGCATGATGTTTCGCGCCTCGTAGTTTCTCTAACGATGTTCTCAGTGGGCTAGTAATGTCAAACGCTCCAGTAAAATGGACAAGAACTGGCCAGCTACATACCACTCCATCCCAGCACGACGTCGAATCCTTCATCTCATAAAGATCGTCAATGCTAAATTTCACGTCCTTTCCTTTGACGATGCGCGACTCGGGCTCAGCTTTCATCAGCCAGTATCCGTAGATCTAGTAGCGGCATAGGGTGAAGTTATCACATGCAACCATGCACAATGCTTAAAATTGCAGTAGCTGTAACCTACCTTCGCATCGTTGGATAGAGCAGTAGTGGTGTGCGACTCTCCACTTTTGCACGAGCGAGTAGCCTTCTTTGCGAACTCGTTGACTCTCGCAGATCTCCGCACAGGTGGCATTCTCAATAGGAAGTTGACCAACAAAACAAAAAGGCATATGTAGCCATCAGAAGCTTTGCTGGTATGAGCGGGGAGGTGCGGACCGGAGCAGTAATTTTTTTAAATAGTTTTGTCTCTATGGGACTGAAAGTGAGTGCAATTCTTTGAAGCATGTTATTCTCGGCTGATTATGATACTAGCATGGGCAAATGCGAACGCAAATAAAGAATTGATGTTACCTCAATGCCAAGGCAGTTATGCCGCCAGGGTATCATGTGGGGGGGGTCTGCTTTTCACGGACCAATGTCGACCTTTTAGCCGTGCATGCAACGTTGGGATATATTCCTAACAAGTTGGGGGTGTGTTATATGGCATATTGAAAAATTGGCCGACGCATAAACGTAGTAGGAACGTTTTTCAAAGAATGGGCATCAGAGTTAGAAGCTATGCGTGTAGACGCCTTAATCAATACGCATAGGGCATTCTTGAAAGGTCATGTATAAAATACGTAGCGCATTCCGGACGGGCTTGGTGTCATATTCATTATTGATTGCTCACTCTTTTTTGCCCTTTCGTACCTCACTCCCTTGCTTTCTAAATCCCTTCATCCATTTCGCCTTCCATTTGTGATCATGCTCGGTTTTAGCAAGATTCTCTCTCTCTCGTTGATTGCGATCCCTCTTTGTGTGGCAGCGCCTGCGCAGGTCGACAAGCGTGCGCTACTCCCTGCCCTTCTCGGAAATGTGAACCTCGACGCGGCTGCCTGCCCGGATGTCGCATTGAACGGTCCTGGAGCCAGTGGAAGTGGCTGTGGTGCTCAGCGCGTTGTCAGCAGCACCGCGGCACCTGTTCTTCCTGAGCCAGTCAACCCCGCACCTACATCTAGCGCTCCAGACTACAATGGTGGTACGGCGCCCTCCAACCCAACACCAGCGCCTTCCAATCCGGCGATTCCTCAGCCTGTTAACCCGGTTCCTGTTAACCCGGCTCCTGTCAGCCCAGCTCCTGTCAGCCCGGCTCCTGTTAACCCGGCTCCTGTTAACCCGGCTCCTGTCAGCCCGGCTCCTGTCAGCCCAGCTCCTGTCAGCCCAGCTCCTGTCAGCCCAGCTCCTGTCAGCCCAGCCCCTACCAAACCTGCACCCGTATATCCAGCACCCACCAATCCAGCACCCACCAATCCAGCACCCACCAATCCAGCACCCACCAATCCAGCACCTGCTAACCCGTCTCCTGCCAATCCAGCCCCTGTTAGCCCAGCTCCCACTAACCCAGCTCCCACTAACCCAGCTGGTCCAACTGCCACCCCTTCTAACCCTGCACCGGCTCCATCGCCTCCGTGCACCAGCTAAATATCAGCTTTCATTTTTACCATCCATCGATCGAAAATGAAAATAAAATGTCGCTTTCTATTGCAAATCTACACTACGCACATTGTATCCAATACCGCATGGGCATCCTTAACTAGTTCGTTGAAGGTGTCGGTGGTAGTCTTGTCACCCTCACCCCTCAGGGTTTTGGCACTGAATGCAGTCGTATGCTTAATGGCGCGGAGGCGCATAACGACCGAGTCGATGTTTTCCACAGGCAGGTCCAGCCGCTTGCAAATGTCACGGCGTGCAAGCAGTTTTCCTAAAAGACTGCCGATGATCCTGCCTTTCTCGATAGAGAGCTCAAAGCCCTTATCGAACCCTTCTTGCATGTGGTCAGTTTTGCTGGCATCGATTCCATATTTGTAACCGGCGTTACCGAATGCCAATTGCAACTTTCCCAGAGACTGGGCTGCTACCACACGCTCGCTTTCAAAGTCATCCTGGTCCAGATCCCAGACGTCGTCAACGGCGTTGTTGTTCATTGCAATGAGTATCGGCAGTATGAAAATACGAAAGGGGGAGGGATCCCAGAGCCTAGGGGATTCGCTTGGGGAAAGAGGGGGCATGGCTGGGATTCAACTCTATGTATTTTGGGCACGGGTGCGGAAAAGTAAATCGATGCAGTCCCATATCCAAATAGGGGCAATATGGTATCGCCCGAGCAGTACCAAAACGTGAGCACTCTGTATTGGTGGTAGAAAGAGCCAATCGCCATATCTTTGCATCGGGTCTGGACGGTTTTGTGCAGTAGCGCCTGGTTTCAGGAAAGACACAAATGCAATAATTTTTACCACGTTTTGATGCAGCAAGCAGACCCACAAACCGAGATGTGGTTGGGTACCAGGCATGCCCCTTTATGTCCTTTCAAAGCAGCGAAAACCGGCTTGCGTTTTTGGGCGCACATGAAAAATCAAGTGTTCTCAGCTTGAAAAGTGCGTTGGCAATCACTCGCTTGTGATAGGACTGCGATTTGGGAGACAAACCGGGACGGATATTGGCCATGCGTTCTCGGTGGGAAAAGTATGCATGCATATATGCATGGCTGGCGGTGGCAATCCCTACAATGAAGCTGGGTTGGTTTGGAAAGACATCCAGGCCGTTTTATTCCCACCGTCCAAACCACCCTGATTTGCGCGATATCGAAATGGCCCCGGGAATATGCGGCATGCCACGCAGTCAATAATTGGCCGAGCGTCGTACAGTGGTTCGCGACAGAAGCACACGGTTTGGATAAGATATTTGGAAATGAAAGCTGTGCTAAGTCGTAGGTATGTTGGGCGACTAGAGGTACTTGAGGTGATGTTACTCTGTTTGGTGCTCGATCTGCGGGCAAGAAAGTCCATAAAGATTGCCGGGTGGCACTAGAGGCATACTGCAGACGTAGCAGAGCGTATCCGCGATAGCACAGATGTGCTTACAGGCCATAGGGCGCTTTGAGCAGGTAGGTCCAGTGGGTGATGCGCAAGCCAAGAATAGCATTCCCGCATCACCAAACCATTCGCTTGTTCTCTACCCAACAAGCTATTTCTTTCTGTTTTCAGATCGGTAGTTGGCGGCGCTGAGGATGGCCAGGATTGCTCGTTAAGATGTGCAGCCTGCAATCGGATATGGAGCCTGCGTACAGCAAACAAATTGCATGTCCAGCGCAAAAAAAACAGACGATAGGGCGGGAAAAAAGAGCATCGCTAAAATACTCTGTCCGGTTTAAAACTTGCCCAGAGAACGCTGACAGGCTGTATGGATGGTCATTTGCTCGAGCGGTTTGGCAGCCCTTGATGTGGTAAAATGCATGTCGGATTTGAATTCTCGTGAGGGAAAGGGGAAGACTGCTCGGAGGCAGTTTTTTCTATGCATCCTTTTTTGTGAGGGTGCTTTTTTCTGCTCTGCCAAAGCCCACATGCTATTTCGAGTATAAGAAACTTGTAAGGGCTGACCCCTGCGGAATAAAAATGCATGTTGGCTCCACCCTTCCTCTTCCTTCCGCTTTTTGCATGTGCTATTTCCAAAAGAGACCTTTCATTTCCTGTACCGGCCTGTTTCATATTGTAATATAGATTTTATCTGCTATACCATGAGCGGCAGAGATAGTCCCTGGTGACCTATCACCATGATGAGAGCAGCGACATGTTTGCAAACTACCTGGAGCATACTGTCGAGCGCTCGGAAGTCAGTGGATTCGCCATGCCGCTCGACGATGAGAAAGCCACGCTCAGCCCATGGCGTCGCAACTCACTCAGCGATGGGCGCGTTGTATCAGCAGCTCCAAGCGAGGACTCGCCCTACAGTATGGTGCGGTCTGCAGTTGCTCCACGAGACACCCATGTTCCCTCACTGACGTTCAGATCTGTGGTGCTTGGCTTGTTCTTTTCAGTTGCCCTAGGGTTCGCCAACCAGCTACTGTGGTTCAAGGCCACGCCTATCACTATCGGCGGGTTCTTTGTGCAGATTGTGTCGTTTCCGATGGGATACCTGATGTCGCGGATACTGCCGACACGGAAGTTTAATACCTTTGGGTATACATGGACGTTCAACCCTGGCCCGTTCAGCATCAAGGAGCACGCAATTATATCAATTTTTGCTGCATCGGCGGCTACCAGCGCGTATTCTATCGATATCCTCGTGGTCGAGACCATTTACTACAATCGGCCGATGGGGTTTTTACCAGCCATACTGATTACCCTCTCGTCGCTGATGCTGGGCTACAGCTATGCTGGTCTGATGCGCGAGCTGCTGGTGTACCCGGCGGCTATGATTTGGCCGTCATCATTGGTCAGCGTGACGCTATTCCGGACATTCCACGAGAAGACATCGTACCTGCACCACGTTTCGCGCCTAAGGTTCTTCTGGATTGCGTTCGGGTGTATGTTTGTGTACAACATCCTGCCCGGGTTTGTCATGCCAGTGCTGACGTTTGTGCCGGCTCTGTGTCTGGCTGCGCCCAACAATGTGATCGCCCAGCAGGTCGGCGACGCGTTCCACGGGCTGGGCGTGCTCAACTTCACCTTTGACTGGTCGGTGATATCGTCGGCCTACTTTTCTTCGCCAATCGCCATTCCGTGGTACATGGCATGCAATATGTTTGCAGCCTTTGTCCTGACCATGTGGGTTATTACGCCCGCAGCATACTACAGTGATGTCTGGGGATCCGGCAATTTGCCAATCTATTCAAACAGTATTTTCTTGGCCAATGGTTCCTACTACGACACGTCTCGGGTCATGGATGCCAAAGGCCATTTGGACCCCCAGAAGTACGCAGAGTACGGCCCAATTCGCATGCCGTTCCAATTCGCATACGTTTACGGTCTGTCGTTTGCCGGCATCGTTACCCTGGTTGTCTACACAGCGCTCAACCATGGGCGGGATATCTACAACCGCCTTCGCCACTTGAATGTGGGCGACGACGATGTGCATGCGCGGCTGATGCGAAAGTATCTAGAGGTTCCCCGGTGGTGGTATGCAGTCACGTTGGTCTCAATGCTTGCATTGGGTATCACGGCGTGCGAGGTATACGGCCTGCTTCCATGGTACTACATGCTGCTTGCAATCACAATTTCCTTCATCTTTCTGGTGCCAGTGGGTATCGTCCAGGCTCTGAGCAACCAGCAGCCAGGGCTCAACGTGATCACCGAATTTTTGATCGGGTACCTGCGGGCTGGTGACCCTGTCGCCAACATAACGTTCAAGCTATACGGCTATATCACGATGACTCAGACACTGATGCTCGTCAGCGACCAGAAGCTGGGCCACTATATGAAGATTCCACCTCGACACGTATTCATCGCGCAGGTACTGGCACAACGACCTGTGGCTTTGTGCAGTGCGGCGTCGCAATCTGGATCCTGCGTGCGATCGAGGGCATTTGCACGACCAACGAGGTATGGAGCTGTGCCAGTGCCCGCACATTCTACTCTGCATCGGTCATCTGGGGGCTGGTTGGTCCGCAGCGGCTATTCCAGAACGGCTCTCCGTACTCGCCTCTCTTCTACATGTTCCTGGTTGGTGCAATGCTGCCTGTACCGGTGTGGTATCTGCAGCAGCGCTATCCAAACAGCCTGTGGAGATACGTCCATCTGCCCGTGTTTTTCACGGTGCTAGGAAACATGCCGCCGGCACCATCGGCATCCATGACCAGCTGGTTCTTTGTCTGCTTTGTGTTCCAGTACTTGATCCACAGGTACCGCTATGGCTTCTGGCAACGGTACGCGTTTTCCTTGTCAGCAGCCTTGGACTCGGGCGTTGCGCTGTCGACAATTCTGATATACTTTGTCTTGATATTGCCCAATGTCCATATGCCCGACTACTGGGGCACAAAGACGCGCCTGTGCCCCTTGGCCGCTAACGGCGGCGGGTACAAGAACTACCAGGATTTCCAGCCTCGTACGTGATAAATAAATCCAGTAATCGCCATTTGCCTTTGCTCGTTTTTTCTGGTTGGCTGGTGTTGGCGCTTCTGGCAGGGGGCGGCTGCAGCATTGGGGAGGGTGAAAATTTTCTACTTTTTCGCAGGCAGATTCACACTTTTCCCCTTTCTCTAATTTTCCCCTCAGCTTCCAATTTCTTTTTCTTTTTTACAAGATGGCTGCCGCGGATTCGAAGAACCAAGCCAAGCCCATGACGGCTCTGCTCAATGAAAACAACGACCTGGGAGCTTTCGACATTAGTGCGATTCCGGCACATTTGGCGTCGGTGTTGGACATTGAGGCGACAAAGGAGGTGACATCGGTCAAGGTGGACCCGCTGGCGGTGCTCAAGATTGTGAAGCACTCGCGCGAGGCGTTCCCGACGTCGGTCAATGGGCAGCTGCTTGGTCTGGAGATTGACGGGGTGCTGGAGGTGACCAACGCGTTCCCGGTGCCGACACAGCCGGGGTCAGAGGAGGACATGACGAACTACCAGATTGAGATGATCCAGTGCCTGCGCGAGGTGAATGTGGACAGCAGCTCTGTGGGATGGTATCAGTCGACGCGGCTGGGGGATTTCATGCAGCAGCCGCTGCTGGACGTGCAGGCGAGCTACCAGGCGTCGCCGAGCAGCTCGTCAATTGTGCTGATCCACGACACGGCCAAGTCGGAGCAGGCGGGCAACCTGTCGCTGCGGGCGTTCCGGCTGTCGCAGAAGTACCTGGACCTGGCGGCGTCGGGCAAGTTCACGACGGAGGAGCTGGCGACCAAGGGTCTGACGTATGGCAACATTCTGGAGGAGCTGCCGATTGAGATTGAGTCGTCAAACCTGGCCAGCGCGCTGCTTGCGGAGCTGCAGTGGCCGGGAGGCAGCGTGCAGCAGGAGCTGCTTGACAGCCTGCAGCGGCCGTCGTCGTTCAACGCGCGTCTGCGCGCGCGCAAGCTGGCGGACCGGTCGGCAATTGCGGACGATGCGGAGAGCGACTCGCTGAGCTCGCTGTCAAGCCTGCTGCCGTCGCGACCGGCGCACCTGGCGCGGCCGTTCTGCACCAATGCGCTGGATCTGACACCGTCGGGGGTTACGCGCCACCTGGAGACCATCGGCGAGCTCATCGACGAGCACATCCACGATGCCAACCAGTGGATGTACTGGCAGCGCGGCGCCGCCAAGGAGAAGTACCGCCGCCAGCAGTATGTGCAGCGCCGGAAGAACGCCAACGCCGCCCGCATCGCCCGCGGCGAGAAGCCTGAGCCTGAGGAGACCGACAAGGAGCTGGACAAGATGTTCCGCACCCTGCCCGAGCCCTCGCGCCTCGACGCACTGCTCAACACCGCCAACCTCAACCTGCTGACCAAGGGCATCACCCAGAGCCGCGGCCCGGCCCTGACCAAGCTGTACATGGCGCAGGGGCTCCACGAGTCGGCCTAAGAATTTCCTTATAACAAAAAATACATACCGCATACATACGGCCCAATATCACCCAGCCCTTGGCACACAGTGGGCATTGCATGTTGCATGATACGTCAGGTCGGTAAAGAGAGCCCATGGAGTGGCCCCCTCATGATTTTTTGCACGAGGGAAGACTTCAAAGCAAAGAGCAAATTACTACTGAAAGAGTTTACTCCTCCTTGACAATGTTTGCCCCTGGCCGAGACGTAGATACCGTCAAGGAACTTACGGATATCCTTGTTGCGGACGCGGGTGGCCTGCTGGATGGAGGCGGCCGACTGCGAGACGTTGTCAATATCGTTACCGGTGAGGACGATCTCGTCCTTGACGTTGATGGACTGAACGACCTCGACGCCCTCGAGCATGGGGACCTTGCGCACGTGCTTCTCGCCCAGGAAGTTACGGATCTCGATCAGGTTCTCCTTCTTCTCGATGTTAACGCTGATGGGGAAATGGGCATAGACAAAGCGCATCTTGTACTCGAAGCCCTTGGTGACGCCGATGATCAGGTTGTTGATGATCGAGCAGACCGGTGCGGATGCAGGCAATGTGCTTGCGGCCGCCCTGCCAGACAATGACGCGGATGGTGTCGCGGGTCGGGCGCTGCACGTCCATGTTGATGTGGCGCAGGTCACGCTGCAGAGTGCCGCGGGGACCGGTAACGCGGACCTGGCGGGCCTTGACCTCGACAGTAACGCCCTCGGGAACGTTGATAACGTCGTCCTTGAAAATGTGCTTCATCGTGTTCTAAAAGGTGGGTGGGAGAGGGCGCGGTTGAGGCTATTAGTGCACGGCACTGCTTCGTTACTCATTTCGAATGGACAGCATTCCCCCAGCGCTAATTTCGCATTTCCGGAAATTTCCTCCATTTCCAGGGCGTATCGACAATTTTGGGCACATCCATCTCATCCATCCATCCACGCCCGGGAATGGTCCTGCGCTCGTCAACTTTGGCCCGCCGCAAGCTGAATCGATTCATGTCCCCTTACCGATTTAAAATAAAACGACCTGAAGATGGTGTCTGGAAAGGAAGAACTAGCACCATTTCCTGCCAGAGCCAGCGCTAACTAATTCGCGGGCTAAGGCAGGCCACTTGGCCACACAAAAATTCGAAATCGGTCTTGATCTGATTGGCACCAGGAATCACCAGGCAAATATAATCGGGGGATCTGCCTGCCAGCGCCTTTGCTTTTTTCCTGTTATCTTCCAGCCCGCTTTATGCGTGCGCTCTCGCTGTATACAGGCGTGTGCTCTCGCTCCAATTCGAGAATTTAAACTCGTAGTTGTTCAATTTGTACTATTTAACAGCCTACACTTTTCGCTTTCTATACGTCCAATTTATTCCCATTAACAATATCCATTTTGGCCCAATGACGTTCCAGAGATTGGCTGCTCTTTCGACCCGTGCGCGCATTGCACCCAGGCTTGTTCGCGGCGGACATGGCGCACAGCACTTTAACGAGCCCGGAGGCTACCTGTTTGGTGTCAAGGTAAGGACAGGGAGCACTCGCGCCTGCATATTTTAGCCGGGCCACTACTGACTGGTCGCGTCACGGTAATTTTCGATATATGTAGCCCGGACAAAAGTACGAGAAGGAAGGCTGGGAGACGATCTGGGTCGGGCGGGTTTCGGGTTTGCGTTTGCTCTGGCGGCCGTCGGTCTTTACTACAAGCCGGACACCAGGTAAGGGGACCGCTTTAGATGACCTCATTGCCCTTGTCCGACGACAAGCACGGGCACAGTGAGGGGGCGACAGGAGACAGTTCTGCCTGCCAACACTGCCGCTGATTGCGCACCAAAGGGCACTGATGCTAACATTATTCTATGTGTGGCATTTTTTTAGGGTTCGTACCTGGGCCAGGCAGGAGGCCGAGAGGCAGATGCGTGAAGAGGGTGACGTGTTGGAATACAAGCACACCGAGTACAGGGCTTAGACTTAGTGCTTCTTCATCCCTGGCTTTTCGATAAAATTAAAAATATCGTATTCGCGCCCTGCAGGGGTGGGTACGCCGGACAGGCACGGATGGATGGTGGTGTGGCTGGAATAAGCAGCTTTAGGAAATTTAAAGTCACCAGTTTTCCCTGCTGCGTCCTGATGGGACGGGCTCCCAACAAAGACCGGCCTGGGCACCGCTGGTCTCACTGTATTGAAGCTCAGTCATTTGAGGAGCAATGGCCGTCCACTCGGGAGAGGAGCCAGTGGTCCGACAGTTGCGTGGCCTGAAGCGTGTGCGGCAATGGGGGAAGCAGATTAGCTAACAAAGTGCTATTGGGGACGAGTCTTACCATCATCAACCGGTCCCCCCGGCTGCCCCTAGAAGGTTCGAGGCAGCGTTATTTTAACATAGCGGCAGGTGTGTCAGCTGGCGCCGCTGCTGTTGGCTAGATAATTCCCGATGGCCAAGCCGGGAAGAACCTCTCTTGGAATACCATGAGGCATCAGCACCCGATCGAAGGGGGCGCTGGGTATCTCGGAGCATGCGGGGTGCTGCATGTTTTTGCGCATGGGCGGGGCCAGGCCCAATTTTGGGGCAGAATTCGGGATTAGACCACTAGCCCAAGCAAGCGTCAAAGTGGGATGCTTTCTGGTCAGTCAATGAGCAAGTCCCAATAGCCGCTTGCTGCTGGTGCTGCTGCGAGGGGGCGATATCCTCTCCATTCCCCATCCCGTCCACCGGGGTGGGCTAAAGTGGAAATAGGGGCACACCACTGATCACACCAGCTGCCGGCCCCCAGTCGAAAAAGAACCCGGCTGCATGTTACACTCGTTGCATTATTGTTGCAGGATAAAAGCGAGTTTTTTGTTTTTGGTTGCTCTTGGCTCCGTCTGACTCGGCGCTAAAGGAGCTGAGCGGATTTGTATATATAGTGGGTCCCGGTTGCCAAACTACCCACTGCTTACCAAACACAGCTACAAGCTACATTATTCGTACAGAAACACACTTTTCCTACACTTTTGTTATATTTCCTCTCTCCGCTCTGATAGCCATATTTCTCTCTCTCGCTTCCCACTAAATAATATCATCACCATGGATACTGCTGTCTCAAGTGGCCGTACTACCCCCGACCAGGGCGAGCCCAAGGGAGCTCCGGCTCCTGTCGTCAACTACGCCGGTTACCCGTATCCCCAGGACATGGGAGCACCGCGCGAGATCCAGATTGTCGCACCACCCCCGCAGTTCCGCCGCTTCGGTAACGCAGCAGCGCTGGGACTGATCACCTTCGGCATGTGCACTGTGCAGCAGTCGATGATGGACGCCGGTATGTCTGTGGGCTATGGGCATGGCACGCGCTCGCTGGCCGGCCAGTGCATCGCGGTGGCCGGTCTGGCGCAGTTCGCGGCCGGTCTATGGCAGATCGCCAACGGCGACACGTTCGAGGGCGCTGCTTTCACGTCCTTTGGCGCCTCGTGGCTGGCCAAGGGTCTGGCAATGGTACCCGGCATCGGCGTCATCGACTTCCAGGCCAACGAGGACCCTGAGATCAAGCGTAAGCAGAACGGCATCCAGTCGCTCGCCTGGAGCATCTGGGTATTCATCCTGCTGGCCGGTAACGTCAAGTCGCACATTGCGAACATCCTCATGTTTGTCCTGCTGAACCTCGAGATCGACCTCGACACCGCTGGCATCTGGCTGGGCAAGGAGTCTGTCATCAAGGCTGGTGCCTGGATGGGTTTCTTCTGCGGTCTCATGGCCATGTACAACTCGGCTGCCATCCTTCTGAACGAGGAGAACTTTTGGTTCAACCTCCCGGTCGGCAACTGGTACCACCCGCCCCAGCGGACCACCGACGAGGAGGAGGGCTACGGGGCTTAAGCAGCTGGCAACCGTGCCCGTCACCTCTGTCTCTTGTGAATATATACCTGTCTCTTGCAAAGAGAAAATCCTTTAAATATATTTATTACCAACATGTACGCACCGTATGTGTACGCTTGGGTAGCAGACAGCGAATTGGTCATGGCGGTGTCAGAGGGATAGGTTTCCTCAGGCGTTTGGAGGATGCTGTGCCTCTGGGTGGGGCTTGTTTTCCGCAGACGCAGGGCGCAGAAGGGGACAAGTGCCCACCAATGCCCAGGTTTTGCACGCCGTTAAATGAAACGAGGAATTGCGAAAAAAAAAAAAAACGACTGACCCAAGAAAAGCTGTTTATTTGGTTGATCCTTCTTTGCAAAAGAGAAAACTACGAAACAGCCAGACAAGTCAGCAAGCGCACAAGAAGAGGGGGCGCACTTAGTCGGCCTTGAGGATGTCCAGGAACTTCTTGGAAGCGGACTTCTTGTAGGCAGCCTTGGTGGTCTTCTTGTTCTTGCCGAGGATCTCGGCACGGCGCAGAACCTGGGCGTACGGGTTCAGACGGACCAGAACCTGCGAGTTGCGCAGGGGGTTCTTCTTCTGAGTGTACGGGCGCTTGGTGAAGCGCGACTGGGCCGGGCGGACAACAGCCTGGATCTCGTCGGAGGCGATGAGGCCAGCGACATCCGGGTTGGAGATGACGGCGGTGGGAAGGGTGTAGCCCTTCTTCTGCTCGGAGACCTCAGTCTCGGTACCGAAGACCTTGTCCAGAGCCTCGAAGGCGGGCTGGGTCCAGATCACGAAGCGGCCAAGGTGACCTCCGGGGGCCAGCTGGAGCAGGTTGAGGCGGGTGACGTCAATCAGCTCAACACCAGGCAGGTTGCGGAAGGCGTGGGTGATACCGTTGTCCTCGGCGTAGACGACCAGGGGACCGCGGCGCTGGCGGTGGCGGCGGTTGCGCAGCTTGCCACGGCCGGCACGGATCGAGCGGGTGTTGCTGACCTTGGCGACGTCGGCGTAGGCCTTGAGGGCCTTGAGCACGTCAGTGGCCTCCTTGGTCTTCTTGATCGACTCAACCTCGGCCGAGACGACAAGAGGAACCTCCTCGATGGCCTGCACGCGGTGACCGCGGCCGACAACGAGGGCGGTGACGCCCGAGGCAGCAACAGCGGACACAGTAGCGTAACGCTTCTGGTTCACGTTGGTGCGGACGTGCCACTTGCGCCAGACCTTGTTGGGGGCGAACATGCGACCACCACGAGTCATGTTACCGAACGCGGCCTGTCCAGCGCGGTGCGTACCACCACCCGAGACACGGGAATACGCGCAACAGCGCGACCGGTACCCCACGACTCGGCCGAGGTCTCCTCACCAGCCTGCTGCTTGGCAGCGTACGGCTGACGGTGGTTCTTGGCCATGTTCTTGTGAACAAACTGGACAAGATCCGGGCGGATCGGGGCCTTGAAGACCGCGGGGAGGGGGACGGTAGCGTCGAGCTTGGAGCCGTTCAGGCCAAACACAGAAACAACGGGGCGGGCAGCCTATATGTTGGAGTTCGGGGCAGATGGGAATTCGAATTTCCGCCATTTTAATACCGTGCAGCTCGCATCAATCCATCATCCGATTCTGTTGTCGGTGCGCATCTCTGCGTCCATCCGTCGCGTGCCGAATCCATCGCGCCGACACCTACCATTTTTATTTTCGTTGAATTCGGAAAAGTTCAAGGGGAAAAGGATGTGACAAAATTCAAGCGCGCTTGTTGGCACTATCTTGCACCAACTGCTCAATAAAAAAATAACACACCTGAAGCGAAAAACGCACTGATCACCATCCCGATCACCATAATCAAGGATGTCAGATCACTGGCTCTGGCCTAGGCGAAAAAAAAGGCTGAAAACGCGTCGACATGCTTGTGTTGTGATGCCCTTGAAGGCAATTTCAAGTTCTCCCTCCCTCACACAATTGACGTCTCCAATATTCTGCCTGTCCAAACGAAATCATGAGCTTCATTTGCGCAATCTCGGGAGAGGCGCCAGCAACGCCGGTTATCTCTGCAAAGACCGGGCGCGTCTACGAGCAACGGCTGCTGCAAAAGTACCTGGACGAGGAAGGCCGGGAGCCAGGAACCGAGCACTCGCTATCCGAGGACGAAATCATTTCTGTGCATGCGGACCCACCAGCAGTGAAGCCACGGCCGCCCACACTGACATCGATTCCTGCGCTTCTGTCGACCTTCCAGAACGAGTGGGATGCGCTTGTCCTCGAGACGTTTACGCTGAAGCAGCAGTACCAGCAGGTGCGCCAGGAGTTGTCACAGGCACTGTACCAAAACGATGCATCGTGCAGGGTCATCGCTCGGCTGATCAAGGAGCGCGACGAGGCACGCCAGACGCTCGAGTCGCTACAGGCACAGGTCGGTGAACTGAGAACCCAGCAGGCAGTAGACGCAGATGATGCCGCTGGTGCTTCCATGGAGGTTGATGCTGGCAACCCCGAAGAGGTGTACTACGAAAAGTCAGCCGAGGTGGCCACGGAGCTTCGCAAGGGTCGTGTCAAGCGCAAACTGCCTGCCGATCTGACCCCTGCCGACCAGTGGAAGGCTGCTGCTCTGGCATCTACCGTGGAGTCGCTCCACTCGACGACCCAGCCTGGAATCCTGGCACTGGATGTCGATACCACAGGTGAGCTTGTGCTGACTGCCGGCGAGGACCACCACGCCGAAGTCTATGCGCGCTCGAAGGACCAAACCCTGGCCACGCTCAAGGGCCACACCAAACGTGTCAATGCTGCGCTCTGGATCAACGGCGGCGGCCTTGGAGAGCGCATTATCACTGCGTCGGCCGACAAATCGGTGCGGATCTGGCAGCCCAAGGCCAATAACACTCATGAGAATGCAAAGGCGATCGGCTGGACAAAGAAGCATGTAATCAAGACCCATGCGGCCGAGGTGACAAGCCTGTCTATCCATCCTGGTGGCGAGTATTTTGCCAGCGCCTCAATTGACGGGACCTGGGCCATCCACACCATCGACGGCGACACTGTCATCACAGAGCAGCTCGACTCGCAGATCACTCAGATCGAGTTCCACCCTGACGGCCAGTTCATTGGTATTGGCACCGCCGATGGCCTTGTCAAGATTGTTGACGTCAAGCAAAAGCAGACCTTGGCTACTCTTGACGTGGCAACCGAGGCAGAGGCAAAGCAGGTTGTTGGCCTGCACTTTAGCGAGAACGGCTACTACTTTGCCACCACAAGCGCAATGTCAGCTGCCGTCTGGGATCTTCGTAAGCAGCGCAAGGTCCGCGAGTGGTCGTCTAGTGACTTGGAGTCTGACGATGCTTCTGCCTTTACTGCTATCAGGTTCGACAAGACCGGCGGATACCTGGCCTTTGCCAACAACAAGCTTCACATCTTCCAGGTCAAGGGGTGGCACCATCTGTGCGCGCTGGGAGACAGCAGCGCCATCACCTCGGTTGCCTGGATCGGGTCTCTCTCGACTGGAATCGTTGCTGCCTCATCCGACAACAGCCTGCGTGTTTTCGAGCCCAAGTTGCTGGAATAAAAGTATAAAGTGTGCACTCGCATGTAGAGTTGCCTGCCCTAAAGCACAATTTATTCCTCAGCAGAAACGCGACAAGCAAAGCTACACTGCAAAATGGATCCGAGCAAAAATATCTTTTACCTCTGGCTGGTGGGCAAAAAGGAAAAGAAGCAGCTTCCAGCCTAAGCACCAGCTGAATGCCAGGTTCCACCGAGATTCGAACTCGGGTTGGCGGAATCAGAATCCGCAGTGATAACCGGCTACACTATGGAACCCGTAGCTTCTGATGACGCCTACCGGTTAAAATTCATATCTAGTCAGAAGGATCTTTGGCCACATCCAAAATTTAAGGAAAGACTTTACGATAATTCTCTAACGCTACCCTGCAAAAACACTTCTCTCGATTTCTAGTGCCTGGCTTGCTATACATGTCGCCTTCACCTACGGCTATCAAACAGCTAGGGTCTGTTGGCTGCTTGCATTACCAGATTGTATTCGCAGGAACCAAGCTACTCTTGAACTCTGGGCATTGTTTGATAGTGTGAGTGGTTGTTCTAAATATTGCTAGCAGTGAGAATTAGCATTGTCACTTTCTGTTTCACATACTATTTGCATCACTTTACAACCTGGGAGTGCCCGTCCTTGATATTGTATGAACGGTGTCAACATTCCTGATGCTAGGTGTCGCTTTACGCTAAAACCCACTGCATATAAATTGGGCTGGTGTTTGGCTACATGGAGTGCTCGCCTCATCCTTGAATTCTAATAAGAGACATCCTTTTCAGTCTACTCTGCTATCGTTCTTCAGCCATGCTCAACAGTACCATCGCTCTTCACGGAGTCGCCATCAATGTCCCAAAGGACGTTTACGGCGACGCATCCTACTTGGCCAGCGAATTCGTTCCCAGTAATCCTACGGCCCCTATCATTGTCTTGTCCGAGTTCATCGAGTACTGCTCCACAAAGAACTCTGGCGTTGCTATCGCTGCGTTCCAGCATTTCCACGCGTCGTACTGCTCAGTGGATAATATCCATGTCGTCATCTTGGATCACAAGTTGTCTAGGGACCAGGCGCACGCAGTTCTCCGAGGTTACTACTCGGTATGGACAGAGCTCGAGTCGCGTGGAATTCTCCCTGATGTTCCACGTCCAGCTCTGTTTACCGATGGCAAGGCAAAGCTTGTGGCTATGTTTGGTGGCCAGGACGGTATGAATGATTATTTTGAGGAGGGCGCTTTGGTGCTCCATACCTTTCATACGGTGCTGCACGAGTTTGTCAACGAGATATCAGGCTTTGTCCGACGCACGTCTTGCGACAAAAGACTGGCTGCGGTCTACAAGTACCCCTTGGATATGGTTCGTTGGATTACTTTGCCAGATACCCGACCACCAGCCCAGTACCTCTCTCGTACGCCAGTGTCTATTGTTACTGTGGCAGTTGTTCAGCTAATGCACCTGATGGTCTTGTATAAGACGCTCAGGCTTAGTCCAGGCGAACTTTCTCGGTCATTCAAAGGTAAGTCATCTCTGCGTGCTATCTGGTCATTCCTCGATAGTGGTTCAATCTACTAACATATCTGAAACCACATTTTAGGAGCTATTGGCCATTGCCAGGGACTTGTATTTGCTACATTGTTCGCTTCGTTGACTGATGAACAGTCTTTTTATGATTCCTCCAAGAAGGCGCTGGGTATTCTGATGGTGGCTGCGGCAAAGAATCAGATGTGCACGCCTCAGGATACGCTCAACAGCGATAGTTTTGCCGAGTACATTTACCGCGAGGGTACGCCTTCCCCGATGGTTGCGGTTCGTGGTATTAACAGACCTACTATCGATGCGCTGATTGCTCGGTTTAACCAGCACAGCACCCGGCCGACTGACTGCGTATTCCTGGCGATCATCAACAGCCATGATAGCTTTGTTGTCACTGGTCGCACCACAGTCGTTTTCCAGTTCATGAAGATGGTTCGTGCAAGCTATGCCCATCCGGACGAAGACCAATCGGATATCCCACCCTCGCTACGCAGGCCAGTTGCACCACAAGGTTTCCTGAACATCAACATCGTTGGCCATTGCGAGCTTTTGCAGGAGTCAGCCAACTGGGTGTATCCTGTTATTGTCGATGAAGGGTGGGGCATCGCAGCTTCTGACCTGAATATCGCTGTCTACACTGGAGCCGATGCCCATGATCTTCGCTCAGAGACCAATGCTACACGTACAATTGTTGATGAGCTTTGCATTCGTCTTATCAACTGGCCAGCATCTGTTAGCAGCGTGGACGCAACACATTTCGTCGACTTCAGTACGGGCGGGTTCAGTGTTTTCTCTCGGCTGACGCATAGTGTTATTCATGACAAAGGCACGACCATCATTAGTGCCACATCGCTCACTGCAGATCCCAAATCGCGCTTCGGGTCCAAGGCCGATCTCTTCAGATCAGAGCTTGATCGCGTCTTCTCTGCACCCAACTGGCAAAACGACTATACCCATCAGCTAGCCCGCTTTGCTCTTGACGGGAGAATATACATCGACTCACCTCTGGCGCGCATTCTTGGCTTGCCGCCAGTTATACTTGCAGAGGCATCCCCACCCGTTTCCAACGACCGGTTTGTGGCAGAGGCTAGCAATGCCGGGTACCACGTCGAGCTGTGTGGTAGCCATATGTACCGCGAGAAGGCGTTCAGGGAGAGAGTCCACAGAGTCCATGCATTGCTCACACCTGGCCATGGCTTTGCCGTTAACATTGACTATGCGAACCAGAACCAGTGGTCATTCCAGTATCCGGAAGTCCTGCGCATGCGTAGAGACGGTGTTCCAATCACTGGTCTCACCATCAGTGGCGGCGTTCCGTCAGCTGATACCGGCAGTGCAATTATCCGCGACCTTCAAAAGACTGGGATTCGGCATGTTTCGTTCCACCCGGACTCAGCACTTGGTATCCGTCAAGTCCTCCAGATTGCCACCGCCAGCACAGGGTTCCCGGTACTGATACAGTGGATGAGCAGACACACCAGTAGCCAAAAAACAGCCAAGGATTTCCACCAGCCAATTCTCGAGACATACAGCGAGATCCGATCGCTGCACAATGTGTTCCTTGTTCTAGGACTCGAGTTCAGCGTAGCTGAGGAGGCACTGCCATACTACACTGGCGAATGGAGTCTCCAATTCGACTGCGCGCGTATGCCAGTTGACGGTGTGGTTCCATTGTCAAGCCAGGTGATGGACACTGCTGGGGATACCCCAGCCGATGACATCAACCTTTCCTTGGTGCATGATGTCCGGGTTATTAAGGAGCTGTATCAGCTTGTATTCTCGCATCCGGTGGACATGCATGCTGGCCTGCTCACCACGCATCGAGAGCAAATTATCAGGCTACTCTGCAGCTATTCTGCGCGGCCATGGTTTGGCATAAATGCAGATGGAGGTGTGGTAGAACTGCAGGACATGACATATATGGAAGTCATCGGCCGCCTTGTCGAACTCATGTATACCTGCCACAAATCACAGTGGCTTGACATTTCCCATCGGAATTTGGTCAGCAAATTTCTGAGACGTGTAGAAGACAGATTCTCCAAATCCACGCGGCTGCGCATATTCCAGAGGCATAATATGATAAACGATCCGGCCGAGAAAATCGAAAACTTGTTAGAGGTTTTCCCTGCAATCTGCGAGACCCAGTTGTTTGCTGAAGATGTTGACTACCTCGTCGGGCTTTGTAGACGCACAGAAGGCAAAGGCATCCCATTCGTCCCTATTGTCGACACAGACATTTATGCATGGCTCAAGAGCGGGGACTACTTGGCGGTCAAGGACTCGTCTCTAATTGCCAACAGTGAGCCCTGGGAGATGGTTGTTCGGGGAAGTCATGCACCGGGCGTAAACGCAGATATGGTCTGGCTACATACACAAGGCATGGTCAGTAGCATTAACGCCGTGCTTGTTGACCTGATCATCCAGAATCAGTACGATGGCGATATTTCCAGAGTGCCACGTGTGGAGTACATCAGCCCGGATATTGCGTCAGCACCACCTGTCTCATCGGTCACATCAGCTATTAATCCGTCGGAACTCACATACGTGTTACCGGCCGAGAAGGCCCGGCTCCCAAGTGCTGATTCATGGTTGAGCACCCTGGCAGGCGCAGAGAAGAGCTGGCTTAGCGCGCTGCTGACCGCATCAGATATTATTAGAGGCACGAGGTATGCCAGAAATGCTATCCGGCGGATTTTGAGGCCGCTTCCCGGGCATTCGGTAAAGGTTACACTGGACAACGGGTTTCCATCCAGGCTGGAAGTTTTTGATCTTCAAGGAATGACCGATGTCTCCATCTCTATCGACAAATCCCGTGCCATTACTGCGACTATCTTCCACCGCATCTTTGAAAACACTTTCGAGCTCGAACTTGTCTACAAGTATGAGCCGACACTGCCAATATCCCCAATAGTCGAGATTGGTGATGGTCGTCTTGAGAGAATCCAGAGCATCATGGTGGCAGCGCTGAAACTGGGGGCAGACATCCCAGATATTGAGGCTGTCGACGTGTCCCTTGATGCTGTGCCTGTGAAGTGCAAGCCGTACACTGTTACCGAGGGCCTTGTTCGTCGCCTGTGTAACAGTGTTCCCAACATGTTGGATAGCTACATGCGGCATTCGGACGGCACCCAACTTGCCCCAATGGACGTTCTGTTCTATGCTACCTGGCCTGGTTTTGCGGCCATACAGATGTCACCTGCGTTATACGATGGCGCATTGGACAACGTCCACCTCTACAACAGGTTTTCACTGTCAGAAGGTGCGCAGCTGCTTCATGTGGGAGATATAGTGGACAGCGACATCCGCGTCACATCTCTGGAAAACACTCCTATTGGGAGAAAGGTGACGCTTGTGTCTCGTCTGTTCCGAGATGGAGCTCAGTTCGCGACAATCGAGAGCGCCGTTCTCTCACGCAACGTATTTGCTGACTATTCTCAGACGTTCAAGGCTGTTGATGAACCCATCTCACGAGTAACACTTGTGACCGCTGAGGACGTTGCTGTCTTGCGGTCCAAGGAGTGGTTTGTTTACCCTATGTCATCCACAGATATAGAACTGACTGTTGGCCAAACGCTGGAGTTCAGCTTGAAATCGGTTTATCGTTACAAATCCGACAAGCAGTATTCATATATCCAGACAACAGGCTCAGTTTATATTGTGGAACTAGCAGCCAAACGCTACCATATTGCAAATGTCGATTATATCAGCATCGATGTGTATGGTAATGCTGTCGTTGAGTACCTAAAGAAATCTTCAGTGGGTGTGGATCAGGAGAATACCTACGAGAACGAGGGAGTACCTATTAGCAAGGGTGATGCTCTTACTGATTCCTTTGTCTTCGCACCTAAAGATAACTGGGAGTATGCCCATGTCTCAGGTGATTACAACATCATCCACACAAATCCCTACGTTGCCAACTACGTCGGGTTGCCTGGACAGATCTGCCATGGCATGTGGACCTCGGCATCGACAAGGGCGCATGTCGAGCGGTTTGCTGCTAACGGTGACCCTAGTCGTGTGCGCTCTTACCAGGCCAACTTTGTTGGAATGGTTCTGCCTGGAGACCAACTCGATACCAAGCTGCTCCATGTGGGCATGAAGCGTGGGCTTATGCTTGTCGCCGGGAAAACACTCAACCAGCATGGTGACCTCGTGCTGACTTGCACAGCAGAGGTGGAGCAGCCCAAGTCGGCGTATATATTCACTGGCCAAGGGGTGCAATTTGCTGGGATGGGTATGGATCTTTACAAGACATCAGCAGTCCGCGCGGACTGTCTGGAGCCGTGCTGAGAGATATATGACACACACCTATGGTGTATCGTTGATGCACATACTGAAAAACAACCCCAAGGAATACTTGGTGAAGTTTGGTGGTGATGTTGGGCGCAGAATTCGGTCAAAATACCTGAGTCTTCAGCGCACACATGCTGGTGTAACGACGCAGCTTGTTCCGGGGATCACAGAGAGTTCACATCACTATATTCACAAGTCTGCCAATGGCCTGCTTAACGCCACGCTGTTCACTCAGCCGATACAGACAGTTATGTCGCTGGCGCAGATTGCTGACATGCGCGCACACGGGGTTGTCCAAGAGGATGCTCAATTCGCTGGCCACTCACTCGGGGAAATCGGATCACTAGCTGCAATGACTGAAGTTTTGTCTGTTGAGGACGCGGTCGACATTGCACTTTACCGCGGTCTGCTACTTCATGCATCTGTAGAGCGCGATGACCAAGGACTCTCGCAGTATGCAATGGTTTCAGTAAACCCAAAGAGCATTGGCAACGGGTTCAGCGAGACCCATCTCCAAGAAATCATTTGCCAGATTCGTAGCCGCCGACAGGAGCTACTTGAGGTCATCAACTACAATGTTGATGGCATCCAATATGTCGTTACTGGCCATACGGACTCACTCGAGGCAATGAAGAGAGTGATAGGCGCATTGGTCAGGGAGCACGTTGTGTGTAGCGACCCAAGCAGCATGGCCACTATACGCTCGGCCGTGCAGAGCGTGCTGGCGGAAACGATTGCTGGTGTTGCTCTCGAGAGCGGCAAAGGCACCACAGTAATCCCTGGCGTCGATGTCCCGTCACACTCTAGCCAGCTTGTTTCCAGTGTGGACTCGTTCCGGGGTGTTCTTGTGCAGAGAATCCCGGTAACTGATTGTTTGCCCAAGAAGCTCTGTGGACGCTACATTCCAAACATGACAGGCACTCTATTCAGCATTTCGCTTGGGTTCATTCAGGATATTTATGATATCTGCAAGTCAGATGCCATACATTCGATACTCAAGTCTTGGAACGATTCCAAGTACGAGGAAAGCTCAGCAAGGGCACAGCTTGCGCACACTCTCCTCATTGAGCTCCTGGCATTCCAGTTTGCCTCATCGGTGCGCTGGATCGACACACAGAATACTCTGTTTAAATACTCCGCGATTACACGGCTGGTGGAGATTGGACCAAGTGGCTCGCTGTGCCGTATGGCGCGCCAAACATTGACACCAGAGTATGGTGTTCGAAGAGAGGTGGAATTTCTTCATGTTGGCGATGACAAGGATAGGATCTATTTCCTAGACGATCCCGAGAACACCGACCCTGCTGCAGCTGACAACGTGTCGGAAAAGTCCGTGACCGAGTCAAAGCATGAGTTGCTACCTAGTCCAATCGATAGCTCGCCATTACTCATGGAAGCTGACACAGTGCAGCCGTCAGTGGCAGCTCAGTCAATTGAAGATGCTCCTCTCCAAGTGACACATATTCTTCTCTCGGTTGTCGGGCAGAAACTGCGCAAGAGCATGCTTGACATTCCATTGAGCAAGTCAGTCAAAGAGCTCGTTGCTGGCAAGTCCACGCTGCAAAACGAGATTGTCGGCATTATGCAAAAGGAGTTTGGGAAAAGCTTCCCTAATAATGTTGCCGAGAAGCCGCTGCAAGATGTTGCAAATAGCCTTGGGTCAATCGTGAGCTCGCTTGGGAAGCATTCAACAGCAGCCATCCAGCGCTTGTTTGCAGCCAAAATCCCAAGTGCATTCTCGCAGGCAAAGGCTCGAGCATATCTCAAATCGACCTATGGGCTTGGTAGGGGTCGACAGGATGCAGTTTTGCTGGTTGCAACCACTCTCGAACCAGCTAAGCGCCTAGAAGATGAGGCCGTGGCAAAGCCGTGGTTGGACGATGTAGTTCACAAGTATTCGATGCTTTCTGGGCTAGTGTTGTCAAGGGAATCTGCCCATGCGATTACTCCCCATGGCCACGCTTCGACCGTTGTCGATAGCAGAGAACTGGAGGCTCTGAAGAACACACAAAACAGTCTGGCTCTCAGGCAGATGCAGCTGCTTGCAGAGAGCATTGGTGTGAATCTCCAGGAAGGAACCAAAACAGTTGAGGAAATTCGCGAGAGGCTCTTGGAGCAGACCAAGGAGATGGAGCATATTCGTGGGGATATCGGTGATGATTTCATCCAGAAAACAAAGCCCCTGTTTAGTTCGCTGAAGGCTCGACGCTACAACTCGTACTGGAATTGGGCCCGCCAGGATGCTATGCAGTGGATATGCGACATTTTGTCAGGGAAAGAGGATCCCGACCAGGAAACAGTCTCAAAGAGACTGCATATGCTGCGCAACCGCTCGACATCTGGGCTGATGAAAATGCTAGATGGAATTATCGCGACTTTGACTGGGTCCACAGATCCACTTTCAGCGAAAGCACTCCTTATGGCAAAGAATATGCACGCTACTTGCTTAAATTCTACACAGGCAGATCCTGTTTATAGACAGCTGTCAGCTCCATTAGCTCCTCGTACATATATCAATGTAAAGGGTGATGTGATATATTCCGAAATCCCACGTAATGGCGAGTCTGATATCATGGATTACGTTCGGAATATGCAGAAACCTGATGAAGAAGGGGTGCCGCATATATATATGTGCCAGAAGGACAAATCAAGAAACTGGTTCTATTGCGAGTCACTGTCAGCTAAATATTTCCATGGCCTTACTGAAATTGCTACAAGAGGGTTATCATTTAAAGGCAGAGTTGCGCTGGTTACTGGATGCGGCAAAAACTCCATCGGGTCAGGGCTGGTTGAAGGGCTGCTTTCAGGAGGAGCGCGGGTGATCGCAACAACGTCGAGCTTCAACATGAAGTCAATTCGCTTCTTTGAAGAAATGTATCGCAAGTTTGGCGCCCGCGGTTCGGAGCTGGTACTCGTTCCATTTAACCAAGCCTCAGTCCAAGATGTTGAGCAGCTGTTCGAGTATATCTATAGCAAGGAGGGACTTGGGTTGGATATAGATTTCGTCCTACCGTTTGCCGCTTTCCCCGAACATGGAAAGGATATGACCAGTGTTGACTCCAACTCAGAATTGACCCTTCGAATTCTGCTTACCAACCTTTATCGAATGTTTGGCCAGATAAAAGCAGCCAAAATCAAATACTCCAACCTTATCACCCCTACAGTTGTTGTGCTACCACATTCACCGAACCAAGGATTAATAGGTGATGATGGTATGTATGGCGAGACAAAGGCCGCCTTGCATACATTATACAATCGTTGGTACACTGAGTCTTGGTCCGAGTACTTGTCGATCACTGGGGGCGATATTGGCTGGACACGCAGCACAAACATGACATATGGGAGTGTTAATGTATACGACAGTGTTGAAAAGAATGGCATTCGAACATTTTCCCGAGACGAAATGGCATTTAACATCCTTGGACTTTTAACGCCAGAAATGATTGAACTTTCGTACAATTCTCCACTGTTTGGAAGCTTTAACGGTGGCACTTTATACGACTTTGATATAAAGAACATCCATGCTAGTAGTCGAACACAGATGGCGAATGAGCGTTCAATGCGGAAGGCTGTGTTGCAAGCACTTGCAGAAGAAGGGTATGCTGAACTGTTAGAGGACGCTGGGTTATTAACTTACCTGCATATCACAGACCCACTTGCAACGCACAGCATAGCAAGCCCTAAGGTCAAGTCTTATGAACAGCTATCTCATCTGCACTATTTGGAGGGGATGGTAGACTTGGATAAGGTTGTGGTAGTTACTGGGTTTGGCGAAGTTGGTCCATTTGGAAACTCCGCTCTGCGATGGGAGAGAGAGGCATTTGGCGAGTTTTCAATTGAAGGATGCATCGAGCTAGCCTGGATCATGGGCTTGATTAAGCACATCTCTGGCAAGCACCCAACAACCGGTGAAGACTATATTGGATGGGTTGATGCCCAGTCTCTGGAGCCGGTCCGTGATGCTGATATCAAGGCCAATTACGAGGACCAGATTCTTGCACATACTGGAATTCGTGTGCTTGAGAAAGACATGTGCGAAAGCGGTGATCCATACCAGAAGAACTTTGTTTCTGAGCTGCAGGTCGATCAAGATCTGGAACCGTTTGAGACCACTGAAGAGGAAGCTGCCAATTACAAGCGCAGCCATGGTAAGAGAGTCGACGTGTGGGCAAATCCGGCTGGCTCGTGGTCAGTCAAGCTGCTCAAAGGCGCGATTATTCTTGTTCCGAAGGCGCTGAGGTACACGCGGTCGGTTGCTGCCCAGCTTCCAACTGGATGGGATCCCGTTAGACTGGGCTTGCCTCAGAGCCTTGTTGGCCAGATGGACCCAGTAAACATCTATGCGGTGGTGGCCACAGTTGAGGCACTAGTTCGGTCAGGAATCACCGACCCCTATGAGATCTATCAGTACTTCCATGTTTCTGAGGTTGGCCACTCAGTCGGGTCATGTATTGGAGGGAATACGAGTCTGTCGGGTGTGTTCCGTGGACGGTGGGCTGAGCGCGTATCAAATCCAGAGGTTCTACTAGAGGCCTCAATCAACACTACAAGCACATGGATTAATTCTCTCATCCTATCGGCCTCAGGGCCACTCAAGCCTTCTGTCGGAGCGTGCGCTACATCAACGATGACACTTGATATCGCTGTAGAAACAATTCAGAGCGGTAAAGCCAAAATAATGGTTACTGGTGCGGTTGACGCACTATCACAGGATATATCAAACGAACTTGCTATTATGAGTGCCACCGCTGATGCCGATGATGAGGCCGAACATGGGCGGTTCCCATCAGAAATGTGCCGACCATGTACAACAACAAGGAATGGATTCACTGAGGGATATGGTTCAGGAATAGCGGTTCTTATGTCAGCATCAGCTGCTATCGAAATGGGTGCGCCAATATATGGCGTTCTGGCCATGTCAACAACTGCATCAGACAAACTGTCTCGAAACTTTACTGCACCTGGCCAGGGAATTTTAACCATGGGCCGGGAAAGCGAAAGCTCTGGCAATTCACCGGTTCTAGATATTAGGTTCCGACGCCGCATGTTCAACCATAACATTTCGTACATTGAGAGCATGGTTGCTGAAAGCGTACGTAGTGGTAACGACATTCCACAACACCAAATAACAAAGCTAAAGAAGATCGCACAGAGCTCGTGGGGAAACGAGTTTTACAAGAACGACCCAACTATTTCACCTCTACGTGGTGCGTTAGCAGCTTGGGGACTAGGACCAGACGATATTGACATCGTATCATTCCACGGTACATCCACAACACTCAATGACAGGAATGAGTCGGAGGTAGTCCATACTCTATTGTCACAATTAGGTCGCACACCTGGACTACCAGTACCGGTGGTATGTCAGAAATGGCTTACCGGTCACCCAAAGGCTGTGGCAGCCCAGGTGATGATGAATGGGCTTCTGCAGGCAATGGATGCCGGAATAGTGCCTGGCAACGAGAATGCAGATAACATCGATATGGGATTCGAGCAGTATGACTATCTTGTGTATCCGAGCAGATCATACCGTGTTCCTACGATTAAAGCAGCTCTGCTTACATCGTTTGGTCTTGGCCAGGCAAATGGCAGTGCCCTTGTAGTCCACCCGGACTACTTACTTGCTACGTTGACAAAAGGGGAGCTTGAATCATATCAGGCGAAGAATAGTGAGCGGATAAGAAAATCACAAGGTTACGTTTCAGATGTGTTAGCAGGAAAGCACACATTTGTGCAAGTGAAAGAGGCACCACCATATAGAACTGATCAAGAAAAGCATGTGTATTTGGATTCACTTGCTCGAGCAAAATATGATCCAAGTACAAAATCGTATCATTACTAACAATAACTCATAATAGTAACTTGTATCCAAGTTGTCACCATTAATGGAGGCCATTCCTAAGTAAGAAAGTTTAAAGAAACTAAATATCTATTATCAGAATAACCGATTAATAATTAATAAATCAATTACTAGCGGTTAATAAATATTTTAAAATACAGAATGTTTAGTAATGGCCAAAAAGATATTACCAGCTTGATTAACTATTAAGCAAAAGTGTAAGAAAGGATGCTTCTATGAAACCCCCTTTGGCATCCTGAAAAATTTCAGTTGATATATAATTAATATGCTTCTACTGAGATAGAGGCTGGGTCATAGGAGGTCATTCAGAGCTAGTTATCTGCACAACAACTATTTATGCATGTTGAAACTATTGGCAATTTCAGTGAAATAAAAATTTCACCCAAACTGCCATCGGCATCTTGGAAAAGTTTCAGTGAACATAATTTCCTTGTGGTTGCTTAGCCACATCTATTGAGATATTGACTTTTGTTGCCCAATGATAATTAACCCCAAATATGCAAAGGTTTTTCTTTCTGGTTGAAATTATGTTCACTGAAACTTTTCCAAGATGCCGATGGCGGTTTGGGTGAAATTTTTATTTCACTGAAATTGCTAATAGGTCCAGCATGCATAAATAGTTAATAGGCAGATAAGTATCTCTGTATAACCCCTGTATGCTTGCAGAAACTCTGGTTTGACTAGGATAGAACTAACTGTACATTCTTCTCAGATGCAAACATTTGAATGGAATAGCAACTTGCTTCTTAACACAGTTCAGTTCATGAATGAATGCAGAACATTTGCAACTTCTTATGAAAAGCAGTGGATGGCACTTGTTGATAAAGTTAGTAGTTGTTATACTGTTTGTATTTATGTGAGACAACAGCATACTCTAGCATATTGTCATTGGTTTAACTCTATCACATCAAAGAAGCAAGGAATTATTAAGAAACTAAACAAGAATGATGATCCAATGGTAGTTGTTGCTAATCTCTCATTCAACAATAGGCCTACACTTTATCAAATATATGATTCACTTGAGAGTGGTCTTGAAACAGAAAAAGTTCTTAGAAGAGTTGATGAGAATATAACTATTGTTCCAAGTCAGAGAAACTCCTTCTGGTCAACTTATCCTACAACTAAGCAATATCACACTTTTGAAGAGATGGGATTAGTTAACTATAAAGGAATGCATATTGGTTGGATAGATAGTAAGCAAGCAAAGAGTAAGATATGTCTATCAGAAATGTCAGAGGTTGAATATTCTGCAAATGAGGAAAACATCAATGCACTAACAACAGCAATAGACAATATCACACTTGATGAAACTAGGCATATATTTATCAAAGAGAATACAGATCTGAAACCTTCCTTGTATAGAGTTGCTTACAATGTTCTTCAGTTAGATGATGAATTTATAGTTACACATTATGCACTCCATACTTTCAGAGGACATTCATACTTCTATGTTGATATTCATATTAAAGGGAGAGATACACAGCCAACTCTTATTAGGACACCAGCTGATAGTTCTATTGGAAAAGCAATTTCTCAACAACTAGGAGGAACAAAGCAAGAAACATATCTGAGAGTTGTAAGTGTAGGATATAGAACAATCACAGTTGAATAGCAGCCATTTTAAAACATAGTATAAGCAACCATTCTCTCCATATCTCTATGGAAAGTTTGACAAACATCATACACATGTTCAACCCTTACCTCACAATCAGTAGCAATATGTTGGATCCAATTACGCACTTGTATTGCTAAGTCATCACTCATATCAAAGTCATGAATAAGTAGTAGAGTAAGCATATCTCTTTCTTCCTCACACATCTCAGCTAAATGTTGCTTAAAGAAGTTCTGGAATGATCCCATTTTCTAAAATTGATAAAAGTTGAAATTTTTATTTATGACTACCTCACACAGATGGACAATCAATTACAAGAATTAAGAGAGAAGGAGTGGAATGTGCTCTACACAACAAAGTGGAGATTTCTTGATGAAGACTGGTTAGTACATAAACAACAGAAGTACTATAGGAGTGAAGCTCATGAAGTGAAAGAAATAAAGCTTATCAAAGATACACTTGTAAAGCAACTTGGAATGATCCCTGTGTTCTTCTTCCTAAATGTTCTATTTGGTGGAAAGCAGTATCCATGTCCTTACAGAAATGTTGAGAAAGGACTCTTGATTTTGTACCAGTTAGTTGCTGGGCTATCAATCAATGAGATGGAGAGGTTTATTCCTAAGAGCAGCTATCAGGTAATTCATAATATGTTCTATCTCTCAGAGTTAAGTGAGTTGAACAAGAAGCTTTCACACTACTTGCACACAATGTTCTCCACTCCAGAACTAAGAGTGATCTCAGCAAAGATTCAGAATCCACAAGGGTTTAAGCATATTACTCTTATGTTAGATGGACATGACTCACGAGCTCTACATAATGGTGCATACAAACCAAATCTTTATTCCTTCAAGTTGAAGAAGTCAGGATATAGAACACAAGTTTGCATTGATTTGAATGGAATGGTTGTCCTTGTTTCACCAACTGAGGAATGTAAAGACCACCCAGACTCTAAGATGATTAAGAATATGTCACTATTGAAATACATCTCTCCAGTAGATTGTGTTGTTTTAGATGGTGGTTATCCTCAAAGTATTCTGGAAGAGTTAACAGAAGCAGAAGAGAATGAGAATTTTGGAATGCATAGGGGGTCATTCCTGAACTTATAAATTTTAGTTATTTGCAATTTTGTTAGATAGTTATTTGATTAATCGTTTTCAGAACCATTTTTTACTATTAGATATTTTTAGAACAGATAATTATAATTGTTGTATCCAGAATGTTTTTGTGTGTATAATTAATTTTAAAAATATAAATATTTTTTTTGCCATTTCACCCAAACCACCATCGGCATCTTGGAAAAGTTTCAGTGAACATAATTTCAACCAGAAAGAAAAACCTTTGCATATTTAGGGTTAATTATTATTGGGCAACAAAAGTCAATATCTCAATAGATGTGGCTAAGCAACCACAAGGAAATTATGTTCACTGAAACTTTTCCAAGATGCTGATGGCAGTTTGGGTGAAATGGCAAAAAAAATATTTGTATTTTTAAAATCAATTATACACACAAAAACATTCTGGACACAACAATTATAAATATCTGTTATAAAAATATCTAATAGCAAAAAATAGTTCTGAAAATGATTATTCAAATAACTAACTAAATTGCAAACATCTAAAATTTATAAGTTTAGGAATGACCCCCATAAGAAATCAACTGAAATTTTTCAGGATGCCGAAGGGGGTTTTGGAGAAGCACCATATTTGGCATCTGAACAAGAAAACAATAAAAATATTAATAATTATTAAATAGCTAACCAATTCTGACTGATCTCCTTATAGAATTAGACTTAATCAAAAGCTTCCATTTTAAAACATCATGTTCAAGTCATCAAGTCATTATCATCCTATTTATAACTATTCTTCTAATGCCAAGCAATCATATATATCATCAATTTTAAAAAGAATCAAACTATGCTATTTTAAAAAATCATAATAAATTCATCAAGTTGTTAGAACCCCATCTGTAATAAATAGATATGTACCAAGCAATCATAGGGGGTCATTCCTGGACTTATAAATTTTAGTTATTTGTAATTTAGTTAGATAGTTATTTGAATAATCGTTTTCAGAACTATTTTTAGCTACTAGATATTTTTGGAACAGATAACTATAATTGTTGTGTCCAGAATGTTTTTGTGTGTATAATTGATTTTAAAAATACAAATATTTTTTTTTGCCATTTCACCCAAACCGCCATCGGCATCTTGGAAAAGTTTCAGTGAACATAATTTCAACCAGAAAGAAAAACCTTTGCATATTTGGGGTTAATTATCATTGGGCAACAAAAGTCAATATCTCAATAGATGTGGCTAAGCAACCACAAGGAAATTATGTTCACTGAAACTTTTCCAAGATGCCGATGGTGGTTTGGGTGAAATTTTTATTTCACTGAAATTGCCAATAGTTTTAACATGTACAAATAGTTGTTATGCAGATAACTAGCTCTGAATGACCTCCTTATTGAAGCATTTTCTATCAATGCAAAATTCTTATTGAAAATTCCTATTTTAAAAGTTGCTTATGACATGTCTACATAGAAGTTCATTGACTCATCAATTTTAGCTTGAATAAGTCTATCTTGTAGTTCTCTCATTGAAGCTTCTAGTTCTACTTTTTGTGGTAAAGTACTTCCAACTTCAGCATGAGTTGATCTCTCCTGGTTGTTGCTTGGGTAGTCAAAGTTAGATAGAACCCAAAGTGTGTGGTGATGTTCAATAGGAACTTTACTAGCTGCTAGGATCTTCTTCATATTGTAGAGTAAGCAACAGAGTTTAAACTGCACATTGTACACAGTTGTATTTCTAATTCTCACAACTTCTCTATTTGAAAGTCTCTTAAATGTGTTACCTAGTTCTCCAAATGTGCTCTCAACCATTGATCTAAATGACCCAAGTTTGCTATTATATTCTAACTCTGCCTCACTTAAGTTGGTTCCTCTTGGCTTTCTAACTGGTAAGCAAAAGTTATGCATTCCAAAATTCTCATTCTCTTCTGCTTCTGTTAACTCTTCCAGAATACTTTGAGGATAGCCACCATCTAATACAACACAATCTACTGGAGAGATGTATTTCAATAGTGACATGTTCTTAATCATCTTTGAATCTGGGTGGTCTTTACATTCCTCTGTTGGTGAAACAAGGACAACCATTCCATTCAAATCAATGCAAACTTGTGTTCTATATCCTGACTTCTTCAACTTGAAGGAATAAAGATTTGGTTTGTATGCACCATTATGTAGAGCTCGTGAGTCATGGCCATCTAGCATAAGAGTAATATGCTTAAACCCTTGTGGATTCTGAATCTTTGCTGAGATCACTCTTAGTTCTGGAGTGGAGAACATTGTGTGCAAGTAGTGTGAAAGCTTCTTGTTCAACTCACTTAACTCTGAGATATAGAACATATTATGAATTACCTGATAGCTGCTCTTAGGAATAAACCTCTCCATCTCATTGATTGATAGCCCAGCAACTAA